TGCTTCAGGGCATCTGTGTTAGATCCAAGTTGTCTCTTCCCACCAGAAAGCTGAGTCCTGCTCTCTTACGTAACTTTACGATGCTCTGTGGGTTCGAGCTGCACAGTTCACACACACACACACACACACACACTATTCCCCTTTCTGTCACCTTATACACACTCTTAAACGAGCTTCCGACACGCTAAACTTTTTCCACCGTGGCAGCAGAGCAAGCCGTTTAATCACCCTGTCACCACCGCTTGCTCCCTTTCTTCCTCCCTTCTCTCTCAGGACATGACTTCTCTCCGCACGTCTCAATTTTCATGCACCCATTTGGATAATTGCATTAGAATTACGTTACGCAATGTGTATTTCTCTGAGTCTCCCCGCGTGTATTTGTGTATTTTAAAGTATACGACCTCAGTATCGTGTAATTTGGTTCATGTGACCTTAGAGGCGGCATGAGCTGAAATACCAGCAGTCTGTTTTTATGTGAAATGCCATACTGCCAGAGCGCCATCGCGGCGGACCAGAGCAGGCAGCGGGGCACTTGCTCACTCCTCCCTTTGAAAAAACAAACTGTCTTACCCTAAAACACCTGTCGCCTCCCCCTGCCCTGTCTTTCTCTGTGGTCTTTCTTCTCCTCTCTCGCCACCTCACTTGGATACTTTTATTCCCTGTTACTTCCTCTGGATGGTTCCAACATCAGCCCTTTCTCGTAAAGCTGAGGCTCCCCTGATGGTTTTGCGTATCGTGTTGGGCCTCTGCGGTGACGGGGGGGCCCGTGTCAGAGTAACGGCACAATTTCACGCACGCCGGCTCCCTGACTTCACTTTGTCTCCCAGACTGAGTGTGCAGGCTTGAGTCACACTCTGTTCACCTCATTGAGTCGGTTGTAGAAAATAACTCATTTAGTTTATTTATTACTGAAATGCAATTTGGAGGTACTTGTACCTTACTTGAGCATTTCCTCCATCCACTAAATTTACTCAACACAATGTCAGAGGGCAACATGGTTCCTTTGGCCGAACTACATTTATATAATTGCAAAAGTTACAAGTACTTTAGTTTGCAAATTGACTGATACTTTCTCATTCCCAACTTGCAAATACCAACGCTGATGCTGCGGCCTTGAGCTTCAAACCATGGCCCGATCCCCATCTCCTCACTTATGGACTCACCGTTTATGGTCCGTTCCCCACAACGTCTGTTAAGGTTTAGGGCTGTGCCGCTGTCACATGTTTGAGGGCTCTTTTTCTCACATATTTTGAGCCCTTCGTGGACCAATTCCGTAAACCTGCATTTCTGCAGACTTTGCCCAAGGGCATTACCCAGAATTCCTAGCAATGTGACGTTAAACACGTTATGACAACTGGAAGCATAGAGACGTAAAAAAAAAGGGGGTAAACAAAGAGGACGGGACTTGAAAAAAATGAAATCAGAGAATATATTACGCAGATCTACTCATCCAGCTTTTCATTGAGTCATTGAAGCTGACAATAACAAGGAAAATGATTATTGGAAATTACCTCATTTTGTGAGGAAAGAGCCTGGAAGACATTCAAATCAGGGAGTAATAAGTTAAGATAAATACCCACCATTGTACATAATGTTTTTTTTTATGTTGGCATGGTAACGTAACATGTTGCAACAAGGTTTGTATATTTACACCCTTTATTTTATTTTTTTATTTAAGCCCTTAACGTCTCTCACATTCAGCCACGTAGCAGGTGACGCCAGTAAGTCTCTGGGGGTTGATGGTTTAAAGGCTTTTCAGGAGGGACATTCGGATCGCGCCTTTGAGCCCCGTCTTTAACACTTACTGTAAATCTGCATTTCTGCAGACTTACAGTAACTGCCCAAGGGAGTTACCCACAATGCAAAGCAATATCACGCAAAGCGCCGTGTTGGCAGTGAGAGTGCTGAAGATGAACAAAGAAGGCCGCACATGGGTGTTCAACAGCATGACATGACACATTTACTCAGAAACATTGCGGATTAAAGGTGGAACATGAAAACACATGAAAGCAGAGCAATGCAAGCAGAGACTATATTACACAGATTCATGAGTAGATGGTTTGTCAATTACTTCTCAGCTAAATCAGGGAGTATAATATACAAGCACACAAATATAGAAAACATGCTATGACGTTGTCATAACGTAACAAGACTAATCGCTCATGATATTCAAATTGGTTCCAATAACAAATACGGTAAAATAACACTCTAAAGGGGGGCCTTCTGCATGATTAATGCTTCTATTTAACAACTTTTTGTAGATAGGTTAAAGTACACAAGTAGTGGCACAACTAAGTAGCCTTTGCATGAAAATAATTTGACTGAGACACAAGTTTGAATAGGAAATAAGCTGATCCCAGGTCGCTACCGTCAGCATACCTGCAGCTTCATGTTGATCAGACAACTATACTGTATAAGAGCAGCATCCCTCTTACATCTGTTATCGCTTTACCTAAAGGAGTCTTTAGGTGTGTCTAGTAACACTCAGAACCATGATTATATGTAAGAACTACATGTGGCAGAGCTATGAAACACTTGAATCAGACGTTTGCCCCGACGGTGACTCACTCTAGTTTGAATCCAAGGATTTATGAGTTGATAGACTGTTAAAACCAAACAGACGGAACAAACATAACCATTAAAATTCTCACAGGCAGGTGCTCACATAATTAATTACAATTATTTCCCTTTATGACCAAACGACTGGCCTATACTTCACACAAGATTGCTTTGTCTGATTTCCTCTCATTCGCCATGAGAGGAGAGGTTGAAAACAGAAGCGGTCGCAGGCCTTTCAGATCTCCCCCTGTACCATGAAAACCAAAGGATTAAAATAGACGGGCCATGACTTTGTCTGCTTGGTCACACCATCACAGCAATGACTGACAGCTTCCTGAGGGTCTTACCTTGTTTTTTTAACTGAGCCGTGTCTCCAGTCCACAACCTCTAATGTGTAGTTTAGCTGAACGTTGGTTGTGAAAGACGACTGTCCAGCCTGTTTCACTTGTTTAAAGCAAGATTCAACAAAGACAAATACTGGCCAGGTCAGTTCAGGGCTACAATAAACTGAGGATCACAAGTTTCAGGCTTTGTTGAATAAGAAGTGTTTTTTTATATTACATGTGTTCACTTTCTTGATGACGGTGAGATGAGAATTTTCCTTTTCTCTCAACAGAAATCAAGAAATCCGCATTCCCAAAAGCTTGTCCTACACCACCTAGTCACCTCGGCAACGGTTTGGTATTTTTTGTCGTTTTTTCGGTAAGTAGAAGAATGAATACTACCTTAAGGAATGACATTGATCATGGAATAATCATGAACAATTGAAAGCTTCATGGTTTTTGTGAGGACTACAATCGCCTGCCAACCTGCCAAAGTCTGGAGTAAGATTTATTCTTGGAGAGGAGGAGGAAAGATGACCAGCTGAGAATGTTTACTGTTCCTGTGATTCATCTCTCTCCTGAGAGTTCACGTAGTAGCGAGTCTATTAGGACTTTGGTGAGACAGCATTGCTTGGAAAGGGACCAGACATGGAAGGGTGTTCATCCTTCAGCACAAGTCATAAAAACCTCTGAGGGAAAATGTTTTATTTTTAGAAATCTGATATCATGATCTGCATTCAAAGTTTTATTTGTTTACACACAATTGTATATTTTTCAGTGAAAGGCTGAGCTTAAATTAAATTTAAAAAAGAGAGAAAAATAGCAGTTATTTCACAACAGAAAACACACCTCAGTAAACTGAAAAAATGTATATTATATTTATCAGGGACAGCAACATACACTAATTGCACAATATCCCCAGCTCAAGTGTTATCTTCAACTGTTCCATTAGGTTTGGATCTGCCAGAATTGTGCAGGTTGACCCAAACCTAAAACCCAATAATTCTCCTATTTTAAACCTGAAACTATATATATATATATATATATATATATATATATATATATATATATATATATATATATATATATATATATATATATATATATATATATACATATTATATTGTTATCTCCTGCTTGAGGGTGATGTTTAACTAAACCATCGGCACAGAGATTTCCCAGCACCCATGAACACCACAGCCCATGCTAGAGACCTTGTGAGATGTTTGGCTTTCCTAGCGTCTATGCCAGAACTATGCACGGACATTCATAGCAGGAATCTAACTTTCAAGCCTGTGCCTATCACATTTCTCTCATCAAAGGAGGTCTCTGTGTCAGGGCAGGTGTGGCTGAAAAACCTGTGGTTGAAAAGGAGGAAGAGGAGGAAGAGGAAGGAGGAGGAGGAGTAGGAGGAGAAGAAAGAGGCCAACCCTCATGTGAGCTGACCTTAAAACAATAACCCACCATTCTTTCCAAGTGATAATATCCGCATCACTCCCATGTCAGCACCATGTGGTCAGTGATAATAGTCTGAGACAGACGGGTGGACCTGAATTCAATAAGAACAGCAAAACAAAATGTACCTTTCTAAAATCTATGGAAACACATTTCTCACACCATGATGGGTGTGTTCATGCTCTCCTACAGCTACTATTATCTTTCTATTTGCTTAATACACTCCACTTAAATTTTCTGTTCTGGCACCTAGTGTTAGTCTGGAAAAACAGGGAATTCCTCACCCTTTCTTCTCCTTTTTTCCTGGAGGTGGAGGTCCTATTAATGTTAGCAATGCTGTCTGGCCCGGCTGAATATATTTACTTAGTGTTAGGAGAGTAGTGGCCACAAAAGGAGGAATGTGCCTGACTGTGACTTGAAAGCGGCTGTTACATTTTAATTTCTAACCCATAAAATAAACACAGAGCGGCCCTGCGACTTTTATGAATGGCTGCATTCATTCCAAAACACGCCCACCAATCAGCGAGCTGTCCTCGCGGTGAAGCCCCGCCCGTTTGGAATGTCAGGGCTGCTCCCTGTGCGCTGAGAGGCTGGGAGCGAGGAGGGGGCGGGGCCTCTTTGAGGCTCACCAGCGGGTATAACCAAGATTTTAGACACTTATCCCGGTAGAAAAACAAGGACTACGGTCCATAAAAGAGTGAAACTCCGTGGGAAAGTACTTACGACTCGCAGCCCTCCTTTGGATTGTAGCTTGAAGAATTTATTGTTTATTGAATCTTTATCTGTGCTTCTCCTCAAAATAATTATGGCACTTCTTATCTACCTGACGGTACTGACAACAGCATTCATCGCACAGGTAAGGCGCGTGCAGCTGACAGGGAAGTGTTTTTAAAGGGTTAGTTTAATGCTTAATTTATATGAGAGTAGACTTTGACCTTCTAGAGTGTAAACGGCACGGCTGTAAACAAATAATGTCACTTCTTTAGAAAAGCTTAAACGCATGTTTCACGTAAAGCGTGATTCCCTCTGTCAGCCTCAACACCGGTTGCAATACAGAGTGTGTAATAGGGCTTAGGTGGGGTCATCACTTATTACTGTTTAAGAATACAGTTCCTCTCAGGTGCGTCGTCCTGGTGATCAGCGTGCCTACTCACGTCTCCCTTTTGATTATCTTTAAAAGCCCAGTGTTGATTCCCACAAACTGGAACAAGTTGTCTCTGGTGCTATGAGTCAAACCAGTAGTCAGCAGGGGCCCTGGATACAAACCCTGAGCTGTCTACACACCCGGGGCTGACGGACCATCGATGGGGGGGGCGGGGGGGGACCTCCTGTAGAGGCATTTGGTCCTTTGTCTGTAGGACATTTAAAGAAATCACCAACCGAACCCCGGGGAGCCCATGAAGCAGAAATTTAAAATAATGAACGTAGCGGTTCCTCCTCAGTCTGTGATGTTGGAAGAAAAGTAGGGTCTAGTGCTGCCTGTAATGTCTGCAGCCTCCTGGGGGGCCGTACGGTACATTCTCCAATCAAGTAGCTGGTAGTCTGAAGCATTGTGGCCTCTTTAAATTTGGCGATTAAAGCTCTTCTGTCGTGAAGCTGCATTGGAGATCTCGGATGTTGTCTGAACAACGCAAGGGACTTCCTTTTTGTGATCTACCTCTCTGTTCTCTTTCCCCTTTACCCCCCCCTCCAGGTGACTGCGAGCTGCCCAGCAGTGTGTGACTGCCCCGCCGAGCCCCTGCTTTGCCCCCCGGGAGTCAGCGCCGTGCCGGACGGATGTGGGTGCTGCAAGGTGTGTGCCGCACAGCTTAACCAGGACTGCAGCCACGTGAGGCCATGCGACCACCACAAGGGGCTGGAGTGTAACTACGGCAACGATGTGACGGTGGCCTTGGGCATCTGTCGAGGTGAGGTAGGAGGGGCAAAACGGATGTTGAGAGGGAGGCAATATCGCTCAGAAAAATACCTACTTGCACTGTTGTTAGTAAGTAATAATAATCTGAAGGGAATATTTGTCCCAGAGACTTGAGGATGAATTGAAGCCAAAGTTAGTGAATAAGCAAAATGACACTTTGCACCTAACCCGGGAACAAGACAGTGGGGTATTTTAATGAGTTGCAGAGGTTTTATGGCAGCAACAGGGGGGTTTCAAAGATAAAAATACACTGCACCATGCCGAAGCTGCCCCTCCAACTATGAATAGCTGGTGCTTCCACACTTTGGAAACAAGGAGTCTGACACTTCCTGTGTCCGTATTTCCACTGACCTTTCAATCTCAGTGGTCCTCTTTGTTGCCATGTGAACTCATTGTGTGTGTGTGTGTGTGTGTGTGTGTGTGTGTGTGTGTGTGTGTGTGTGTGTGTGTGTGTGTGTGTGTGTGTGTGTTTTTGGTCAAGTCAATAGAACCGTTTCTCACCAGCTGTTGATATATGAGCACATGTTGAATGCTTGTTGACATACTCCGGAAGCTCAATCATTTCTGCCTTTTTAGACTTTAAAGAACGTCCCGTAGAAACTGAGAGGTGTCCATCTCCGTGATACCAAACCCATGTGGGGGTTCAGTTTATCTGCGTGGCCATTCTGCAATTTGAGGGCCACTAAAGGTTTTGTCACAGCTGAGGGAAATGTGTCTTTTCCAGCAAAGTCAGAGGGACGTACATGCGAGTACAACGGCAGGATCCATCAGAATGGAGAGAGCTTCCGCGCCGGCTGTAAACACCAGTGTACGTGCATCGACGGCGCCGTCGGCTGCGCCCCCCTCTGCACCAACAAGTTGCCCCCGGCCTCCCCCTCCTGCCCCTACCCACGGCTGGTCAGGATACCCAGGCAGTGCTGCTTCAGCGTGGACTGCCACAAGGGCACCTGGCTCCTCCCACCTAAGCATCAGGTTGTTGTTGTTTTTCATGCAATGTGACCTATAGGCCTTTCTTTCGGTTGGGTAACTGGCACACGTGGGTAAAAGTTGGCAAACTATTATATGGAATTCCTCGCAGCAATATCAAGGACAGATATAAAGGAATAAAGTGTCTCCCCTCCCCTGTCCGATTGCCCTGAAATAATCCATCTTGATAATCAGGGTGGAGTGGTGATAACGCTAAAACAAACAAAGCACTGTCTCATCCTTATCTTATCGCTCACCACAGGCGCCTCCACCACCACAACACTTTGCCAGACGTCAGCACACGCCTGAAAACGAGTCGGCCAACGAGTTTGCAGAGGTCAAGTCCAGCGGCTGGGAGAGTGAGCATGGCTACAAACACCTGCCTGGTGAGAGAAACACGGACCGCAAGTGTTTATCATTATCGTATTGCTCCAATTTTTGTACTGTCAGTATGAAATTGGGTGCAAAGTTTCAAATTCGGTTTTAAATGTCCCAGAAATTGCTATTTGATAGAGCATAAAAGCATGAAAAGCTAAGGCTGGATCTTTCCAATAGCTATCGGATTATTGCAGAAAATAAGCTTATGATTTATGATTATTTCAACATTTTGTTCAGTAGGATAATTGTCAGAAATAAACCCCTAATATGCATGTATTGCATGTATCAATTAGGAGTGAAAAGGCGTTGCTAAAAACAACCTTGGTTGACTGCGTGCGAGTTCTGCCATCCTGATGACATTCAAGAGCTGCCTCTTTTTTTAAAACATGTAAAAAGCTTCAAAATGTGTGTGGGATATTTTATGACATATTTTATACTGCAGAACAAAATGTTACTTTAAGCGTACGTTACACCAAGAGCTTATTTCAGGAATCCCACCAAAAGCCCATTAAAACCCTCACCGGGAGCGCGGCCTCATTTCGAGGATATGCGAGTCCTCCCTGCAGCTCTATAAAACCAAAGGGGTGGACAAAGTAAAGGGATCCCAAAATCACCAATAACCAAGTAGGATTTATTCCCTGGGCCTCCATGCAATACTACACCAGTGCAGTGGACCAGCAGGGCCCCACTGCTAACTGTCTAACTGAATCTGAAAGAAAATGTGTTTTTGTTGCCGCTCAATGGGGTCCAAACACCCTCCGGTTGAGAACCATCTACCTCATTGATAAGTGTCCCTCTGCGTCCTCCTTCGTGTCTCCTCAGTGTGGAGCCATCTGAAGGAGAAGAAGTGTCCCCTCCAGATCACGGACTGGTCCCAGTGCTCCAGCAGCTGCGGGATGGCCGTTTCCTCTCGCGTCACCAACAAGAACCCCGAGTGCAAGCTGGAGAGGGAGACGAGAATCTGCACCGTGCGGCCCTGTGGCGGCCCGACGGCCCCCGCCAAGGTGAGGCGGGCCGAGCTCGAGCCGAAGCGGAGACGGCAGGGAGCATAGGTCACGCATTCTCTCCTCGCTGCCGAGATAACATCTTATCACCGCTACCTATCTCTGCCGCAGTGAAACTCAAAACGCCTTGTGATAACACGCATCCACGGGGACTCATTCGTCCTCTTATCTCCCCATGTCACATTGTGGTGTGTGTGTGTGTGGAGGGGGGGTAATACCTGCTCATTATCGCTGTGCACCGCTTCCATCCACAGAACCAAAGAGCGGAGAGAAATCGGTGCGCCAGAGAGCGAAAAGTTTGACCTTTTGCCGCAGATCTGCTTTTAGTGCTCAAAGCTGTTTTAGCCCGAGTTTAAGAAGGGAGATTATTTTAGCAATATTTTCGGGGGAGCCTCTGCCTCCAGTGGGAACTGGGCAGTGCTGATCAGCCGTGTTCTGGTGCCTTTTTAAATATAGTCCAGCCCCCCCCCCCCCACGGCATTCCTGCCAGGCAACTGTCCATAGCTAGGCCGCGTCTGTGTACTGTGAGTCCAGGGACGTGGTGAGTCTATATTAATCCCCCGTGCTGCACACGCTCTAAGAGCTCTTTTCTCCGGTGCCAAGAGCGATCATAGGTGTCCGTGTGTTTAACGGGAAAGGCCACTCCTACGTTAAATAGCGCGTTTTAATCTCAAAATGAATCACTTAAATCTAAAAATAATCCCTCTCTCGATCCCTGTTTTGGCGTAACTGGTTGAAGTCCAGCCCTCTTAATGTGAAACTAACGAGTTTGAGTGCAAAGCTGCTTAAATCCGGTCTTATGTAACAGGACAGGCAAGATAAAAGTAAAAGTATGCATTTAGGAAAACCTTCACACTACTTGTTATGGGGACCTTTGCTACTGAAGCCACAAGGAAACACTTATTTCTATCATCACTGAGAGTGTGACGTGCATTGATTTGCTTTTATCCTCCAACCACAGAGAGGGAAAAAGTGCTCCCCGACCCAGAAGGCCGCAGAGCCCATCCGCCTGTCCTACGGGGGATGCGCGAGCGTCCGTCTCTACAGACCAAACTACTGCGGCGTGTGCACGGACGGGCGGTGCTGCTCGCCGCGCCGCACGCGCACCGCGCCCGTGACCTTTGTCTGCCCAGACGGCGAGCGCTTCCGGAGGTCGGCCATGTTCATCCAGTCGTGTAAATGCAGCGACGACTGCGGCCACCTCAACGAAGTGGCCCTCCCTCCCCAGCAGTGGCTGTACGGAGACACGCACCAGTTCACAGACTAGTGCCGAGGGGCACTTTTTGTATTTTCAATTGGAATGTGATGTCAACTTTCTTGGTGAATGAAGACGCTTTACGACAAGGGGCCATTTTCTCAGCTGGCTCCCAATGAGTCGCCTCAGATTTATTCTCAATCATAAAAGCAACCTCTTAATTGTCATAGTGTGACCGGAGTGAATTTCCCGCTCCTGTTTAGAAAGACATGAGCCCTAAATTTGAGCCATGAGGCGCCGCTGCAGCTGCTCAACTATTTAACTGAATGTTGGTTATGGTGTTGGCTCTTCATTTTTTTTTTTTTTTTTATGAGACTTTCAGATCTGCCTGAGAGGAAAAAAGCACTTTGTTCAGCACTGAAACTTAAGAACTATCACTAACGGCAGTGCACTCTTTGTCTAATACAATAGCCTCACACACTGAGATGGTGGAGGACTCTGTATCCCACGATGCACTGAGACTACTCAGCGACAAGCAAAATCATCTTTTGCGGCTTCAGAGACAGACAACCTGGGATTTTTTTTTTTTTTTAACTGAAAAGGTTGACAAGCGGCCATTTATGAACACACCAACGAGTGTTCCTCAGACTGATGAAATGATCTGGAACTGACAGGAGCGTTAAGCGAGGACGGGACCAACGCCCATTGATTTGTTTGTGCATTAAATGCAGCGCAGAGGAATGAATGTCTTTAACCTGTATTAGAATTATTTTGATCAGTATTTTTTGCATCAGAGTATGTATCGTTATCGAAATCTAAACCTTGCGGATGAAGACTCTGCAGCGTAGCCGTCCCACATTTGTTGGTCCATGAATGTTTTGAGTTGTTTTTTCTTTGCTTTGGCTCGAGCTCGAGCAGTAAACGGTTTGGTAAAACTGTGGCTATGTCTTTGACTCCCTCTGCTTGTGAGGATAGTTCACTACAACAGGTAGTATTCTGACGAAATACAACACAAAGCCTCATCCATGTTCAAAAAAGGACCACAACCGTTAAATAAGGTATAAAAAAAGGTTTAATTCTGCAACCAAAACAATAAAATGTTTTCACAAGGAAAACTCAAACAAGCACCCTGCAAAGACATGATGGCGTTTTATTTTGAGCATGTCAACAAGTATGGTAGGAGGGGGCTTTAAAATAAATGTTAAGGGGGTTCTTTCCTCCACCAAAAACAACAAGGATCACGTTTGATCTTCACTGGTAAGACGCTTCACTCATCTGGACTGCTCAACTGCAAAGAGGAAGGAAGGAAGGTTTTGATGAGTGACAAAAATAAAATTGGTGATGCACCTTTTATACATTATCCAGTGGCATGGTTAGTAGTGTCGGTTGACCAATATCCTGATTTTTTACTCCGGATTTTAAACCGCATTATGCATGCACACTTATTTGCAACAGCAGCCAAAGACGCGAGCACAAACGGCTTTAATGCAGCCACCAAGGATCTAAAATCAGTGCATGGGTGTAGACGGCTTGAGAGCAACAACAGAACTCACTGTAGGAGGAGATGTCAATCTCCTCTGGCAGCTCTGCTACGTTGACCTCGAAGCGGTCTTGGACATCGTTCAGGGTCTTGGCGTCGGTCTCGTCAGACACGAAAGTGACGGCCAAGCCTTTGGTACCAAACCTGCCAGCACGGGCCACCTGGGGAACAGAGAGACATGTTCAGGCTCAGTGGATTTGTGATTGAACACGGAAATAGAAAAAACAAAAAACAATAGCAGGACTGACTCTGTGAAGGTATGTGTCAGAATCCTCTGGCATGTCGTAGTTGAAGACAATGTTGACGCGCTCAATGTCCATGCCGCGGCCAAACAGGTTGGTCGCAACAAGGATTCGCCGCTGGAAGTCTTTAAACTGCTGGTACCGGGATAACCTGGGGAGTGGGACGGATGAACAGGAGTAAATAAGTATATTCCACAGTGAGACTAAGCACAGGTTTCAACACGTTACAGTGAAAGGGTTTTTCCTGGTGATAATTTCAGTTAAAAGAACAAAATAAAACAGGACTGGAAAGGCCCTTACCGCTCCTCTTGCGCCATGCCCCTGTGGATGGCGATGGCGGGGAAATTCTGCTCCACCAGCAGCTGGGACAGAGCAACACAGCGATGCACCGACTTAACAAAGATCACCACCTAGGAAGAAACCAAAAGACAAATCGACAAAGACGTCAACTCCACATGAATCTCTCTAGAGGACAAGAGGGACACGTCACTTTAAAATGATGAGTAGAAAGACATGGGTTGAAATGTATATTTTGCCAAATTAAGCTGCATGACATGAAACTTAAAAACTGATTCAGATAACTGCCGACTGTACCTGGTTGAACTCAAGGACATCGAGCAGGTCGAAAAGTTTGCGGTTCTTCTCGCTATCCTTCAACTTGCAGTAATACTGCTGCAAGCCGTGCAGTGTCAGCTTGGTCTCGTCATCCACAAACACTTCCATGGGCTACATGGCAGGAGAATGGAATGGAATCGTTAGTGTGTCTCACTCCCGCGCCACATTTTTCAGAAAAGGCAACAAGATGGTGGCTCACTGAACCTGTTCTCCTGGACTAGAGCAGAGCCAGAAGGACAGACTGTCCTGACCAAGCCAAATCTGCCATGGAGGGTCACTCTGCCCCTCAGAAATGGCCACTTATGGCACTGACAGCCACAAGTGGGCAAAGCAAAGAGGGACGTTGCAACAAACATTGAAACCCAAACCTCTCATTTGTTGATTACACACACGGGGAATGATCTTCAGAAAAGAATTGATTGAATTTATCAATTAACCGACAGCAACCATTAGTGTCTGGCAACTAGAATTAATTGCTTCACCGTCGTGGTGGAGAAAAACTGAATCGCCTCTTTACTTTCAAGGGATCTACACAACAAGTCGAACGCCCACTTTGTAGTAACTGACATCGGTTCTCATCGGGACAGATTGTTTAAAATAGGATTCAGTGAATCTTAAAGAACTTACATCCTGCATGAACTTGCGACAGACCGGGCGGATTTCTTTGCTTAGCGTTGCACTGAACATCATGACCTGTTTCTCATGGGGCGTCACCCTGAAGATCTCCTGGACGTCACGCCTCATGTCTGACGGAAAGAGAAAAGAATGTTTCAAAATTACGTTCGGATTCATATTTGTAACATTTTTGCAAATATAACCATGGTTTTAACCATGTTACTTACCCACAAAAAACTGAAGATTTTCTTCATTCACTATTGACTATTTTTACATTGAGAATTTAAGATATTACACTACTATAAAGGCCACTCAATGAGGTCCACCAACCTCAACTGTCTTACATACGGACCAGTCCAAAGATCAGTTTCTATACACATCCACCTCTTACTCACCCAGCTGCTCCAGCATCCTATCACACTCATCAAGCACAAAGTGTTTGATGTTCTTCACGTTGAGGGTCTTGTTGCGAATGAGGGCCAGGGTTCGTCCTGGGGTTCCTACAACAATGTGAGGACAGTTCTTCTTCAAGACTTCCTCGTCGTTCTTGATTGCCAGGCCGCCGAAGAACACAGACACCTTGACAGTGGGCATGTACTTGGAGAAGCGCTCGTACTCTTTGCTGATCTGGAAGGCCAACTCGCGCGTGTGGCACATTACAAGGACAGACACCTGGTGTACAGGGAAAACAGCACATCAGTCTTACTACATGCTAAATACAGGGCGTTATTTAGCTCATGTTGTGCTTTTGTATTGCCTGCTATGTGTGGTACTAACAAGCATGCAATTGGGGGGTTCACAAAAAGGTCACCACCACCGTGTACAAAAATATTGGAGAGACATTGTGACGCTTAAGCAATAATAGCAAAGCAAAATTACTGAAGACAAACTTACCTGACCATCCACAGGTTCTATCTGTTGCAAGGTGGCCAGTACAAACACTGCAGTCTTTCCCATTCCAGACTTGGCCTGACACAGGATGTCCATGCCCAGGATAGCTTGTGGAATGCACTCATGTTGGACTGAAAAAGAAAGAAATGACAATTGAAGACAAGATTTGATGTTCAAAAACATGGAGATTATTCGATCCTTTTTACAAGGACATTCAAGAAAATGCAGTTTAAGAAAAGATGTAGGCCTAACTGTATTTTAGAATCATTTTTAATTTTTATATGAAACCACCCAAAACTGCCCTTTACCTTCTGAGGGGTGCTCAAAACCACAGTCGACGATGGCTCGCAGTAGCTCTGGTTTCAGGAGAAAGTCTCTGAAGCCCGAGCTGTGAATAGACACGTAGGACCCCTTCACTTCCTTCTTGTTTGCTGGGGTCCCGCTCTCTGGGACTCCTTGGGGCTCCTCATCCTCCTCGTAGTCCAAAAGTTCATTATCAACGTCGGTTTCGGCCATCTGTGTGAATAACGTATGAATCAGTCAATTGTGCCTCACAAAACTTGACAATTATGAAGGCTTATATTTAAGAAAGAATCCAGTAGGTAAGAATATCAATTATTTTTTACGTTTCGTAATAAATAATATTATCTCCTAATGCTTCCTTGTTACACAAGTTTACAAACAAGTAGTAACCTGAAACCAATAAGATCCTCGCGGAATTAACGACGATTATAGATTTAACGTTAGATTTGAAATGTTATTAGCTCGATGCTACAGTGAACGGAAACCATATGCTAACACCATCTTGTAATTTAGCTAAGTTAGCAGGGAGTCGTTTGCCAAACGTTAGGAGGCCGTACCACACACTGTACATTAAATAATTGATCATTTGAGGCGAAACGTTTAAATTCCCCGTTCTTTCTCTTCAGCAATTTAGCTAGCTAAAAAAAACAATGGCCGACAAATGCGACACAGCGTTCCTCGTCCTTCTCGTTCATTCAAACTGTTTGTTAGCAAGCTAGCAGCTAACAATCAAACGCGAGTCACGAATTACTATTCACGAACATTAAAGCCACGCTGAGATCTCCATCTTGTTGCGAAATGAATCCGCCAACAAAGCACCATCACGAATGTGTAACCATTATTTTATAGCGGACGCGTGATGTGAAAACAGATATAAAGTTGAGAGATAGATGAAGCTAACTGGCAAACTAAAAAAACAAAGCTAACGTGAATTTGGCTAGCGGGTTAGCTACCACAGTAAATCTCTCTGTCCTAACTTTAGACACTACTATACTGCATTCAAACGTTTCTCGGTTAATAATAACGACAAACATAACTCTTACATTTACTCTCAAGTTTTAAAGCAAATACCGGCAACGTTACCTTGCTGGAATATCTGTATGTCCTGCAACGTCTAAGTGCGTGTTACTACTAAGCTAGCAAAGTCGTCACAGCACTGTGAGCACACATCCGTGGTGCGTTCAAGTACACTTCGAAAAACCCGTGCGCTCTCGATGCGGACCGAAATGTTGTGCCTGATCAAATCTGTAGACTAAAATTAAATGAATTGAGTGACAACATGATCAGGCTGGTGATATTTTTATTATATACATCATGTGAAGCAGGACAAAGAATTGAGATGTAACTGTGCCACTGAAACAAACTGCGGTTGAAGATGAGATGGGAATTCCTAAATTTAAAATCAATTTGACGGCAGGGTTCTGTGGTCCCCATGGCGTAAATTTAATAACGGTCACAAATCTCCAAGTTCCAGTTGCAAGGGTCCATCACTTTTAATGCGATTAGATTTCTTTCCCATTAAACCTGAATGCATCTGTCACCATCCTGTTCAGAAAGAACGTCGTGCGCATTTCTATGGCTGCGATTAGCCAGAAACACGGAGGTCAATGAACAGGGTTAAAGCTTTAATATCTAATAAACTATTTTTATAACTTGTTATTATTTATCTAGATTATTTATGTTATAGGTTTATGGTAATATGTTGCCCATATTCGGATGTTTTTTTTGTTGCCTTTTACTTATAAATTGTTATATCTCGGATGAAAGTATTGATTATAACTGAAGCTCTTCATTTATCAATCTATCAGTATCCGTATGATATTTCCCATAAAACATTTGCAGCATTCTTTCTCACGACGGCCAAGAACCTGAAGAGCCGCAGTATCCGTTTAATCCACTTGATGGCAATAGAGCAAAGATATTTGGCCAGTTGTATTTGCATTAAATGCACTTAATAATGTGTTTATGTTTGTTATATGAGGCCTCAATATAGAGAGAATAATATAGAGAGATAGCAGAGAAAATCCCTGAAGGCTTGTCCCACTATAAAAGGCATTGTCTTAGACATCTAATTAGAAGTGGATAAAAGGATGCCTTCAAGTAACGCACTCTTAAGTGCATTCACGATTGTCCTTTCAGTATGAGAAAGTGCCATATTCAATTAAAGGTAGTACAATGCAATACTATTCTACAATACTATTACTCAAATGAAAAGCTTTCTCAAATGTATTCCAATATAAACACAGAATATTTAAGAAGCCACTGTAACTGACCTAATGTAGGTCAAACGTTTTTGAAATAAACAATGTGCTGGAAAACACCATTGCCTAACTCACAAATTTCCATCTTTGGGATTTCTTGACCAACGGTTTCTGTATTTTGGACAACGAGCAAAATAGCTTTTCCTTTAATGATGGCCCAAAGACTGATTATTCTTCCGAGGGAATCTGATCTTTAAAAACAATGGTAGGTTACAAAGAAATGCAATGCTGCTGCTAGAAAAATGAAGCTGTCTTTGGATTGTCGATCTCCTACCGGGCAAAGCCAATTACCCTAAAAAGAATCTTCTTTTGTAAATCTGACATATATCTTTATTGTAAAGCAGAAGCTATACTTTTTAAATCATAAATCCCTTTCTTCCTAAAAAAATACAAGCAAATCATGACCATTCTTAATGCATTTATGCTGTATTATTTGCCATGACAGGTGGGACACGTTCCATTAACTTCACTTCATTTTATTAGAGTTATAGATACTTTCCAATTCAAGAACCTTATACAATGGACTAGTTAATATGCTTATATGCTTAATTATTGAATCAGTATATAGATAAGGATATAAGTAATACATGTATAACACTCTAACAACATTTAACTGATAATACTTATAACACTGATACTGTAGTTTACATTACAATACATTTTCAAAGTGTTTGTACTATAGTTACAATTTATTGCATGAAGGATTAGACTACTTCTAATTAAGGCCACAAATCGTTGTCTCTAGTAAAAGAAAAAAAAGAAAAGAAAATGGACACTGTAAATAGCGATAGAAAATGCAGACGCATGTAGTTATGACTCTATAGTGGCTCTGATCGCGATTACACGATCAAAGCCACGGGTTGAGTAGAAACTGTTAGAAATAACCGTTCATTTCACATAATTTAATCGTTTATTTATACCATACGTGGATAATCCGACGCCGCTGTATGACACCTGCGTGTCCCGCCTTCCTGACAAATAAAGACCTGCACTGATTGGCTGTATTTCTCGTCCTTCCAAACAGGATCCCGCCGTTCTAGAAGCCGATTGTTCGCGAAACGCCAATCACACACAACTCTGCCACCCGATTGGTCCGCCCAGCGCCGTGCTCACGCAGAGGACACGGGCCGCCAGCCTGTCGGCGCGATGAACCCGTCATGACAGAAGCTGCCGTTTACATCGAACCCCCCGTGGAAGCGCAGGCTGCGTCGCACGGCTGTCATGGTGGCTCCTGAAAACCTCCCCAGAAACATTCTCCTCCTCTAATTCCGTTCACGCGCGCGAGCAGCACGATGACACTGCGCCGGACGGCCCGCCTGTATTCGTCCTCGGTGGTTTATTACGATTTTAATTAGCTGGACACGTTTGACATTTACGGAGGACTGATGTGGGAGCGACGAGGAACGTGCCGCTGTGGTTATGGAAGTGCAGCGCAGGTAGGCATTTATTGTTGACTAGATTCAAATAAATAAATAAATATATATATATAAATATATATATGTGTATGTAAATGATATCAATGTCGTCGCGTTGAGCCTCTTTAACGGGCCAGCCGGCTTGTTCGTGTATCGATTCAACGTAAAAACACACAGGCCCGCACACAGCAGATTGGTATTTGGTTGCAGCTCCATGAGCATCCGTCTGCTCCATTTCTCTCAGGGACCCCCCCCCCGCACGGCGTGCTACCGGAGACACGGCCGTTCCGCCCGCCGGTACACGGGGTTCATCGACGCGCTTCCTCGTGTTAGGGTGTCGTTACACCATCGCATTGTCACTGGAGTGCGGGGACATTTGATCCCGCAAGGACGGGGGGGAGGGGGGGGCAGCAGGGAGGGCCGTGCTGACGAGCTGTCATGTCCGAATCCAACCCCACAGTCAACGGGGTATAAAGGGTCTTTGGGGGGGGTAAACCCTGGGACAAAGCGTCGTCACTGTCACCGTTATAATAAACGCCCCCCCCCCCCCCTATTATTCTGTAGCAGCAGAGGATGGATGCATGCCAGAGGGGCTGCCATGTTGGATCCACCTGTGTGTTTCACATCCCCCTGCATAGATACTAAAAGTGACGTTTAAATCAACGAGGTGACTGTTTTGACCTTTTAATCCAGCGGCCGCTTTATCCATCTAATCAGGGAGCAGCTTAAAGGGTCATCCTGAAAATGCTCTGCTCCTTAAACACTGAGAGAACCGCTGCGTTATGACTATTCACATCTGTGCCAGGCGCACATCGCTGTTCCCTCCCCAGGTGGAATGAGGAGAAGGCAACTGGCATGGTTGCGCGACTAAAAGATTAAGGATACACAAAATGGAAGAGCTCCCTCAGGCACTTATCTATTCTATTACTGTTTTGTGGGTGAGCCATTCAACGGATTAAATATCTTTCTGTTGTTTTGCAGACCTGAGCAATGAGTAATGAGTAAATCACATCCCTGTGCGAGATGCAGGGAGATTATCGCCAGGTTCAATCTGACTGCTCGCCGTGCTGACGGCCACTTGCACGTTTCATCGTCAAGGAAACTGGTATCTGACTCTCACATCCTGGTGACCTTGTTTTGAGCCTCTAAAGTTCTTCAACCGATCCCATGACCACACACACACACAAAAGATTGCGTGCTAAGTCAAACAGCCAGACTTGTCCCAGCTAACGTTTCCGCTGCGCTCACTGCAGTCAGGTTATTCATCGGTGTGAGAGAAGCGTTGAGCTAATATTCTCAGGACAGTGTTTATCCAGGGCAGGATAAACACTGCACACGTGTGTGTGGATTAGGATTTGTGTGGGTGCGTGTATGTAGCCTACAGCACCAACGACAGCCGTCCAGGTTTAGTATCATCTGCGATTGCGTCGAGCTGCTGAACAGGACACACAGGAGCAACATGTGCAGATCGCAGCCAGATGGACTCACTGGTTTCCCCTCACACTTTAAACACAATCTGCCTTTTGATAAGTTGTGCAAATAAGGGTCGGGCTGTGTCTTTTCATTTTATTAGAGATTACAATGAAATCCAGTACTCACTCCCCTAATGGCTAAACCCCAACGGGAAAAAAACCTGGATGAATAATCCAAAAGGAGCATTCTGACTTGGCATTTGTAGCAGCAGTTGTGTCGTCAGTCATTATGTTATGAAATCAACTCAACGTCTGCTGTTTTTATGTAGAACCTTTTTTTTGTTTTCCAGCTTTATGGCTGAAAAAAGATTGAGTCTCGTGCTGTAACTCTGCAAAATTCATCTGGCCCCAGATAAGTGCTCAGATGTTCCCCTTTGTTCCAGTGCCTCACATACGTTTTCTCCAAATACAGATCCAAACCGTATTAGTTTACAGGGCTAGTGATGTTTTCTGTGGTGCTGTATGCTGTGAAGTCTATCAACCATATACTGGATTCAAAGAAAAGAAAAGGATTAGGAACTAACAATCGCTTTCTGTATTAGGTCATAAAATGTCCCCGATCCCAAATTGACATTTCACAATTTCTGGTTTAGCGTGAAACCAAAATATATTTTATTTACTATTATCGGACATAAAAGCAAATATCCACATCCGGATGCTTCTCAACCCCCAGGTGATCAGGTGGTTCTTTTTTCGCAACCTTTTAGGTTTTATCTTTTAGCTACTGAATTTTTCCCAAAACTTCAATAACGTTTAGTCAATGAGTGCAGTGGGTGACGGTGTGGCCTCCATAGTAACTCGGCCTGACGGAGTTGCCGCTGGGTCTGACTGGTTGGGTTGCTGGTTGCTGGTTCTGCACTACGTGTCCTCTGTTGACACATGGAAACACGCAGCAGCTTGACAAGCCGCACGCTGTGGTTCACTCACTATGACTCCAGTTTTGAAACCGGATCCCTGCAGTCCGGAAAGATCGTGATCCTATTTTCAGAATCCTGCATTTGAGAGTTATAACTATATGTAAATTATGCTCATATAATTAGTGCGTAGGGAATTTTGACAAAATACAAAACTGTTGTCATGAATGATTTAGAGATCACAATAGGATTTACACTATTGAAAGCAATGATACTTTTAAAATGCATTCTTTTTTTGACTTGATGATGATTATATAATGAGCTCATCTTCTCGACTTTTCTCTAATACTTTCTTTATTGTAGTTAATTATAAGGAAACTCCATGCGAGAAGAGTCTCTTTGAGGGCTTTGTCGGGGCTCACAGCAAGGAGCCCCGACTAGACGTTTTTTAAAAGGGGTCACAGCAAAAAAGGTCAACGGATCTTAAATATTCTTCATATCTTATATATAGTTGTAATAGTGTATCAAACAAATATTTGCTTTGCACTGTGTCCCCTCGGTCTGAAGCTTAAGTGGAGGTACGGACAGACTGACACCGGAGTTTTCCGCCGTGTGTGCAGAGAGTTGTGGAAAGTACTAATTTAAACGCATTGTTAAAACAAATGTAATGTTAGTGGAAACACTGCTTTGTCCGCTGCATCCTCTGCTAGACGCTGTTACTGTACTGTTGTCTGCGCTGTTGAAGCCGTTAGCATCGTTAGCTGTGAGCCGCCGGCTCAGTCGTCGCCATGTTGAGAGCTGTGTGGACCCAATCCCACTGCTCCGATTATTAAATACAGCAGTTATTTTTTTTTGGGGGGGGGGGAGGCTCACTGCTAAAATCAAAACTATAATAATCCTTTTCATGTCAAAGTTGTAAATCATATGGCAATATCAATTATTCTAATCGCAATTAGCCCTGATTACACCGCTGTCATTGGGTAAGCTGAGTCGCTATGACTAAACAGTGACTACAGATATTTCAGAAGCATATGGCGTTGCTAACGCGGGAAAGGCTGAAGTTACCCAAATACCTGTCACCGGTCCAGTTGTTGTTTGGAATGAACGCGAGGGAATGATTTACTGCAGGGAGGATGATTAACAACACAGACGTGTTACTGAATGAGAGCCCGACGCATTTTGAAACCTAGGATGTCAAACGGGGGCCGCAGACGACGCTGCGATTGCACGATCGACTTGCGACGCCATGCGTCCTGTCAGCTGGCCAGACCGCCAACAAGCTTCCGCCTCCAGGGAAACAATTGAAAAAAACAGAAAAGGCTAATTTTCCCTTTTTTTTTTTAGGTTTTGAAATTTGATTTGTTTTTCTCGTTTCCCCAAAGAGGTTTGAGATTGTTATCAAATGTAAATAAAACAATTTTTTTTTTTTTGACGCAGCTTTTATATTTCGCGGCCCACCTCTCGGAGGCATTTCCAAACGGCAGATGTCTGTAATCTCAGCGGGTGATTAATCAAAGGTTTAGCGACGGATGAGGGTTCATTACGCCGCTGCCGGGGAAGTATATGAAATTAAAAGATAACACAATGAATGCAGCAGGAAACCTCCTGTCAGCCATTGTGGCTGTGTGAGCGTGGTGGCACTCAGGTGGTAAACTCATGGGAGCCAGTTTTGACATTAGTGGATGTTGCAGTCTGTTTCATCATAAATCTTTTTTTTCCAAATTAGATACTTAATAATCTCAGCACTACAAATGCAGTGTGAACATTTAATGGTGGAACAGAGACAGGATAGTGTCCTTCACTTGAAAGCAATTGATCGGTTGTTGTAGGGGAGTTTGCTATTTCTAGTCTATGTCCTCTCACAATGGCACCCGGGGGAGCTGGATGATGTGGAGGGGGATGCTAACCAAATTTGGAGCAGGAAAGCGCCCGACAGAGTGATCAAGGTCAGCAGATGCAGGGGACCTGGAGTCTGGGAAGCTTTTGTTGTCGGTGTGGCTTTGACACAGTTGATGCGATGTCATCGGTGGGTTTGCGGGGGCCGTTACTGTAATGACGGGCCTGCGGAGCTGACGGGTCGATGCGCAGAGATTTCCATAAACCACATTTATCTGTGGTACTCGAATCCCTTTCTTCAAAAGGAGACATAACATGCTCAAGTTCATAAACATGGATTTTGAGGGTTTCTACTGAAACATGTTTACATGCTTTAGTGTACGAAAATCTCTTGTTTTTGTTTTTGTAATATCTATCGAAATGTAACTTTATTCAGCCTGTAACTGAAACACACTTAGTGTATTTTAACAGAATTCGATTGATAGGCAACTGCTTGTTTTTACAGCCTGTCAGCTGATGTCGTTACAGACATTGCAACCGGAAATAAACTGGGACACATTTTGACTGCTTAGAGTTAAAACTGTGAAAAAGTATTTTATAATGGATGGAGTTTTGGTACTTTAACAATATAGCACTTACAGACAGACGTAAAGACAAATGGAATGAAAAGCTGCCTCTTAAAGACACATCTTGAGATATCCCATTTATCGTAAAAGTCACGCATTTGAAATTTTACTTTGAATGAAAGTTCAAGGTGTGCTATATGTGAACAAGTTGTCTAAAGTATTTGTGCCTCCAGCGTTGGTCAGGTCATCTTGAAATAAAAAAACAAATGGGGTGATTTGGAAAGAAGTGAGTTTACCTCTGTTTTGAGCCTCATTAATTGCTAGAAGCAGCACATTCATTTTTAATGCATTAATATGTAAGTGGCATGTTTTATGTTTTATTTGGTCAGGGTGAGGCATATTTTTCATAAAGTTTTTTGTCTCTTTAATTTCATAGCAAGGAATCTTATTTTATAAACGGATCACATGTTGAATGTGAAATCAATAGCTGGGAAAAAGATGCTGTAAAAATATAGATAGAAATACCCTGTGAATCTTTCACCACTGAGGAAGAGAGGTCTGGTAAAAAATAAAAATAAAAACCTCCCTCGTTTACAATGAGCCCAGCAGCGGTCACAAGGACGCTGGATGAGTGGCTCAGTCCACGAGTCGGCAACCACGACATGAGATCATGAGCCGGGACAACAGGGAGGTTAGCAGCCACGGATTTATAGGGAGAACGCCCTTAATGTCGGGCCTGGAAGGCCCCGAGGGCCACACACACACACACACACACACACACACACAGAGGAAGGCGGCAGCTCGTCAGCAAGGTTGAAACTAGCTGATTTTCAGTTTTGGTTTCCCGGTCAGGTCACTCCAGCAGGGCCTCTGGGAAAAATATTTGACGGTTCTGAATGTCTGCAACGATGCCATGAAATCCTCCTGCTTGCTAATTTTGTCAAAGGCAAATATGGGTTGAGCTGATGCTGAGAAGAGATGGAATACTCTAATTTGAATAGCTCAGATGGAGGTCTATAAAAGCGCCTTTACACCGACGAGAAGTCTTTTTTTTAAATCAGACGGAAGGTGCTTGAGGGTTTTGGATGCAAAGCACGGATACAAGGCTACAAAACATGGAGGGACAACTATGGGTTCGTGTTGTGGAGGGGGGGAGAAACAATGGCACTGTCTGTTCCTGACAGTGTGATCTCCAAGGGGATGAGGCATTGAATTAGCACAATACAATAATTGTGCATGGTGATATCAGGCAAGGAAACATGAACACTCTAAATTGCAGTCAAATTCACACACACACGCACACACACTGAGGTGTGACTTAAGCGATGTTAACCTGGCCACACTGAAGCATGGAGACACGTCGGTGCCCGTGCTAAGCAGTAACCTTTTATGCAGCACACACACACACACACAATATGCTTTTAAAACACAACAGATTTCAGTGAAGGCCTCCTTAATGTCTCAGTCCTCTGCAGTGCACAGCGACATTCAAAGGGAGCAACAGCCAAGCGCCGCAAAAATGTCTGCTTTTGTTTGTCAGAGACCTTCACAACGTCCTTCCTTTAACCTGTGAGTGTGCGAGAGAGAGAGAGAGACTGACTGTCACTTTAGCGGCGCTCTGCTGTAGTCCTGCATGACTCACCTTCTTACAGGGCCTCTGTCCACAGTGACACAGCTGCTCGGCACTCTGTGGTGCAAAAGCCTCTCTTCTTTTGTACTGCCATAACGGGCTGAACCAAGTATGTAAGGACGTGCTTTGTTTAAACATGTCCAGATTCTTGTATCAACAGCATTGTGGATTTCTCTTTATTTATTTTTTTGCAATAAAAAATGGGGGAGGGGCGGTTGCAATTAGTTGAAACTCCTGCATGGCCATAGGAAAAACAGCATTATCACCACAAAGGAAGCCATTAGCCACGTGCCTGTTGAGCGAGGCCTTTAACAGATGTGATTGGTCTCATTGACTTGTTAATGGCTCTTTTGATTGGCCCGGTGTCTGTGCATGAATGTGTCCCTTGTCCCTTCCCCGTTCCGACCGTCATCACGCTCCTCTCCTCCCCTGCAGGCTCATTTTTTTGGCTCTCCCTGCGTCCACGTTTACGTTTGTGTACGTGTATGTTTCTCCCGACCGGTTGATTAAGCGGCCTGCGATGTGTGAGATCCTACTGGACCATGATATATTCAGCTCAACTCCATATTCATCTCAGTATGTATTTAAGATGGGGGAAAGCTGGCGGTCCCAGACGAGCCGTCTAACATTAGCAAGTGAAATGTTGCACTCAAATGCTTTTCTCTTGCACGCATCTAATCTCTGCAATCAGTCTTGATACGATGCTAGAGCCGAATAAGGGAATATTAAAAGGGTTCTTGGTAGAAAGCCCAGTGTGGGCTCTCTACGAAAGGTTTTAAAGCAGAAAGTGTTCTCCTGAATAACCTTATTTGGTTTGGGTTTGAGGGGGGGGCTTCAGCGCTCTGTAAACTCAGAGGCCGCTGCCTCGTCTCTCTGAACTCGAGCGGTTATTCCTCCGATTCATTGTCTCCCAATGGACCTTTATGGCTCAGTTCTTCTGACAGCCGTCACAAAGCTTCTGACCTTTTTCACAATGGCGAGAGAAATACAACGCAGACGTTATGAGGTTTTGTACAACAACATTGTTTCCGCCTCAGGCAGCTTTCCATCTTAAGGGCGAGGAACAACGGCTCTCGGACAGCCGTCTCCAGTGATGAACCATGATGATGTCATCGCTGTGACTCAGCGTGGTTCCTTAGGCCCAGGGTGTGAAGGGATTATTGGCATCTTAATGTGGTCAGTATGTTAAATCGATTCCGTCCATTAAGCTAAACGGGACTTCTTCACATCTTTAGAGTGCATTTTAGTAAACGGGGAGGACTACGATGCGTCCTGCGTGTGTTGGATGAATTCGTTTGCTTGGCCGTGAGTTCAATAACCAAAACAACGTTGCTATGATAGTCAAAGCGTTTGTTATTGTTCTAGCAAAAATCATTTTTATAAGAAGAAGAAACAAAGAACCTTCCGAAAGAGACGTCATTGATCTTTATTGAGCCTTTTCTGCAAACACGACAGGTTTGAAGACCTCTGATCCCATTGGCTACACGGCCAGACTGGTGGCCAATCAGGCGACAGCCGGGTCCACTAAGGAGGGAGACGGTGAGACCGGAAGACCCTTCGACCTCACCCACACCGCTTCACCCGTTCCACTCCAACCTTCAGCGCCATGTCTGTACCCAGCGGCAGCCCGGAGAGAGTGGGCTCCAGCGGGGCCCCACTTCTGCTAGAGTGCCCTTCTCCTTCCGGCATGGACCCGGACCCCCCATCAACGGGCAGCCCGGTGCTCAGCCCGGACTCGTCCGCGCCGGCCGCGTCCCCGGCAGACTCGGAGAACTTGAGTCCAGATGAACTGGAGCTGCTGGCCAAACTGGAGGAGCAGAACAGGTGAGATCAGTGGGCGTCCTCCCCGAGTTCAATGCTTGTACTTGTGTGGTAGCAGCTTCAGCCCATTAATACCGAAGCCTGTTAAGGGTTTGTCTGCATGTTTATGTGACTGTCGTCTTTTTCTTTCTACACTGTTTTTAAAACTAAAATGGTTTAAACTAAAAAAAAGTCGTTAGCATGTCCAGTTAATCAGCTAACTAGTGAGAGAATGCTGTAACCGTGCCGTAGAGGGGACTCTCAGTACACCGGCCCCTTCAGTTTAGGAGAATATTGGTTCACTTCGAGGAGGAACCGGCAGGATCCAAACAATACTGCAACTGGTGTCAGAGCGACTGTCCATGCTGAAAGAATAACTGGGGATTAAGTCTTCACACTAGAAAAACATTTAACATTTGAAAGGACTGTCTGAAATGTGCATGAGCCAAACATACAAACAGGGATTATGTTTGAATAAGTAACTATATGAGTTAAATTATTATTTTTCCGGAATAATTGTATGATTAACAAGCTCAAAACAACACCACACTGACAATGCCGTTAATTTAATTAACGTTGGTCACATGTCTAAGCTAAGACAAGCTAAGCACCCTGATCAAGGAGGCCATTGTCCTCACTGATCCCATCAATCATAAAAACGTCACGTTGAAATAGTCGGTTCTGCCGATATCTGATAGGTTGGTTGATCAGTTTCTTTCACAAACCAGCCAAACAGCCGAGGGGGGTCGTGTCTACTGGTACTGTTCAAGTTAACCCACATTAGTTAACTATACCTGAATAGGAAAGAAAATGTTGGACGTGGCGTTCCTGTGTTTTCCTTCATAAATCTTCTCAAGACTCGTTCATGTGTGAACCCTGATTGCTGCACACAGCCTGCCCGAGCATGTTAGGGGATGGATGATGATATAGAACACTGACTTGGAGTATGAGAAGATGCGGATGGCCTTGTTACCAGGGATTTCCTCCACACGGCCAACGGGGTGTGAGAGCATCTCCTGATCTTTATCTCAGCAACAACAACAAAAATCTCTGTTTCCCCCCAAACTGTTCCTTTCTCTTATTGTTTTTTGGGAAAAATACAGCAGAATAAATTCCTGTTTCTGTTTTATCGTGAAGAAAGCGTGTGGATTGAAGATTTACAGGTTGAAAGATATAAAAGATTGATAAACCCGGATGAGTTAAAGGCCAACCAGGCCCCCCAAAATGACACGTTCCACCTCGTGCTCATAAAGCGTCCCTTCATGCAGGCTCCTGGAGGCCGATTCCAAGTCCATGCGCTCCATGAGCGGTTCGCGGCGCAACAGCGGCTCCTCGCTGGTGTCCAGCTCCTCGGCCTCGTCCAACCTGTCTCACCTGGAGGAGGACACCTGGATCCTGTGGGGCCGCATCGTCAACGAGTGGGAAGAGTGGAGACGCAAGAAAGACAAACTCCTGAAGGTGAGGACCGGATATAAAAATAAAAGGTCAAGAGGTTTTCTGAAGAATGAATCGTTGAAACAAAGACAGCGTAAATGAGACGGCTATCGGCCTCCTCGGTTTATTTTCACATCTTGTTGATGGCAGAAAAAGGGTTCTGTAATTCCCTTTTTTCATCCACTTGTGTGTGTTCGTCAGAAACACGGAGCACAGTATTGTCTTGAGAGCCCCAATTTTATTTTCACTACACGTGAACACCACTCTCTCTCCGTACGTGTCTTTGTGCATCTGATAAACTGAAAAAGAGGAAACCCGGCAGAAGGAGAGAAGATGGATGAGAGGAGGGACAGAAAAAACGGGAAATGGGAGAGCAGACAAACGGAGCCAAATGACACATGAGAAAACTCTACTTACAGACAGGCTTTAATGATGATGATGATGAAAAACACAAGCAGGTGAAAGAGTGGCGCAGGAATCGCTGCCGTACGACATGACGCACCTTGGGGCTGTAATTATGCCGTGATACTAAATTATCCCTGTAAACATATCTATTCATTATCCCGTAATTGAATCTGCCTTCTCTTTGCTCTTCAAGAGATGCTTAAAATAGCCGCCCTCTCTAAAGAAACCTCCCCGATCTCTCCCTCTCTGCCCTCCAGGAGTTGATCAGGAAGGGAATCCCTCACCATTTTCGGGCCATCGTCTGGCAGCTGCTGGGCAACGCCACCGACATGCCGGTGAAGAACCAGTACTCCGAGCTGCTGAAGATGTCGTCGCCGTGCGAGAAGCTCATCCGCAGAGACATCGCCCGCACCTACCCCGAGCACGAGTTCTTCAAAGGCCAGGACAGCCTGGGCCAGGAGGTCCTCTTCAACGTCATGAAGGTGAGCGCCCCCTCGGGAGTCCGGTATTCGCCGACTGTGGCGCGGTGGGCGGAGCGCATGGTCCTTTAACCACAGAGTCCTCATGTCAAAGTGTCCTTGAGTGAGACGCCGAACCCCAAGTCGTTAAATGCAGAACTTCCCGGATGTAATGTCTGTGAGGATTTAAATACAATTTTGGAGTTCTTTTCAAATAGCTGATGAACCATGTGCAGATATTGAGTTCTGGGACATTTCTCATTCCAACTTTCCTTAGCAATAAAGGCAAAGGTAATGCCCCTGCAATGTCTTTGAACGAGACTCACGCATGAATACATTCATTTTCATACCACTAAATCCATTGGCTGACTTAATTAATTCTTCAATAGTTTGGGAAAAAATGTGCAGCCAGAGCTAGATTCACTGAGATGTACAACAAAAATAATGTTTAAAGTAGCTGTGTAAAATCAGCTTGCCATTTTGAAAGGTGGGTTACTGGGGAGATTCATAAACACGCTGCGATAATCATCTTGCACTGTCCAGTGTTTCCTTCCGCATGTCATTTTATTCATCAGGCCAAATGGGAAAACATGAAATGTGGAGATGTGTTGTGCCGCAGTCATGGGAACAAGCTGGTTTGCCGCGTGTACACATCACTCAAGTTTCTCAGTGGCTCAGCTCAGCAGGAAATGACAGGACCTCCGGTGACTTCTTTGTGGCAGAATGTTTGGTCTGGATTAGAAATGTCATCTGTGCAACTTTCTATAAATAGAGTGTGTGTGTGTGTGTGTGTGTGTGTGTGTGTGTGTGTGTGTGTGTGTGTGTGTGTGTGGTTTCAGGCATACTCTCTGGTGGATCGAGAGGTGGGCTATTGCCAAGGCAGCGCATTCATAGTTGGTCTGTTGCTTATGCAGGTAATGATCAAATATGTAATCTTTTGAAATGATCTGTAATGGGGATATTTAGACTGAAATGTAAGTATAATAAGTCTGATGTTCATTGGACTCGCTGATCGCTGAACAAACACCGTTGATTTATGTTGCTTGATTTGGAAACCGCTGCGAGGCATTTATGTTGTCTGATGAATAACAATCGCTGTATAATAAACCGTTCAACATTAGCGATGTCTATTTGTTACGAATGAGGGAGCCTTAATCACTCGTCTTTTCTCCTCCCAGATGCCCGAGGAGGAGGCGTTTTGTGTCTTTGTGCGCCTGATGCAGGAGTACCGTCTGAGGGAGCTGTTCAAACCCAGCATGGCCGAGCTGGGCCTCTGCATCTACCAGTTTGAGTACCTGCTACAGGTACGCAGTCCCTCCTGCACCACGAGGCCTGCGGTGTAGCCTTCCTCCACCGGGGGGCAGCAAAGCACTCCTTTGCATCTCCATCGCATCCCTTTCTGGCTTGTATGTCATTCTAGGCTTGAAATAACTTTAGCTTTTCTTCGCCTCAGGAGCAACTTCCAGAGCTGAACGTCCATTTTCGATCCCAGAGTTTCCACACGTCCATGTACGCCTCGTCCTGGTTCCTCACCCTTTTCCTCACCTTCCTCCCTCTGCCCGTCGCCACGCGCATCTTCGACATCTTCATGTATGAGGTGGGAGACATTTTGTGCATGAATGCGTGTCTGACTGTGTACATTCAGTTTGCTGATATTAACCTAATTTTAATTCCGCTAAAAACATGCGACCTGTCTGTAGGGCCTAGAGATTATCTTCCGCGTGGGCTTGGCCATCCTGCAGTACAACCAGACGGACCTCATTCAGCTGGACATGGAGGGCATGTCGCAGGTAAGCAGCTCTGGGCCGTTTGCTTCAGGAAAGAGTTTCATGCGCGGAGCGGGCAGCGAGTGTGCCAAACTGCAGTCACCAAAGTAGGTGTATTCGATCTTAATTTTTTATATAGTATCTTATCTTGAATGAATGACTCAGGTTTGTTTACATTTATTTATTTTCCCCCATTTTGGACTAAACGTAGTTGAAACCGAAACTTTGATAAGCAGTTTTTGATTGAAAACTGATTGAAATGGTTCAGCCTCACACTTATATACAGTACGTTTTGAGTGACATGTAGTCATCTCTACACTAAATTTCCCCATATTGATGTATTATTATGTGGACCTCACATCAGAATCATCATATCTCTCAAAAATGCTGATTGCTCGTCACGAGGCCAACGCTGCGCTGGCGCACTCCTTCGTTTCTGTCAGATGTGCCTGTCTGCATGAAATATGAATGAGCATTCTGTGTTGCGCCCGCTAACCTTTCTTGTGGTCCCCTCTGGGTCTGCCAGCATTTCCAGAAGGTGATCCCCCACCAGTTTGACAGCTGCACAGACAAGCTGATCCTCAGGGCCTACCAGGTCAAGTACAACCCCAAGAGGATGAAGAAGTAAGTGTGTGAATATGCTTCAATGCTGCCTAGTAGCACTTGTGCTTCAGGTTTCTGCTCACTTTCAGATTATAATTCAACACCAATCAAAACGTTTTGAATGTCTAGGCAATGTTACATAATCCTGTGTTGCTTTTGTGTTTACATATTTTATGTTTTTGCAGACTTGAGAAGGAATACACCACAATCAAGAACAAAGAAATGGAGGAACAAATTGAGATCAAGGTGTGTGTGTGTGTGTGTGTGTTGTGAATCTTACAATAAACGCTTTTAGTAGGATTAAAAAAACAACATAAATACTGATTGTCCTTCACCTCTCTCCCACCCTGCTCTCTTTCCAGAGGTTGCGCACAGAAAACCGACTGCTGAAGCAGAGGATTGAGACTCTGGAGAAGGTAAGAGATGGTTTAGATGCTCAAATAAATCTGGTTACTGCACCATCATTGACAAGAAACGGGCAGACACACACTGTCACGAGAACGCTGTGGGTATACAGTTGTGTGTGTGTGTGTGCGTGCGTGTGTGTGTGTGTGTGTCCTGAGTGATCTCTCTGCTGCCTCTTTTGTCACACGCTTCTCTTATTCGGTTTCAAACAATTCCTCAACCTGCGGTGCCGTTTCTTTCTCTTCTTCTCGGGCTTTGTTGTGGTTCATCCTCCCCCGTGTCCCACCTTCTCTCACTCTCTCTTCACCTCTTTATTTTTTCACCCTCTTGTTCCTCCCCCGCCGCTGCGCTGTAGGAAAGCGCCGCTCTGGCAGACAGGCTGATTCAGGTAGAGTACTGTGAACCACTTTCCCACTGACCTCGCTGTCTTCTGACCTACTCACACCCTCCTCCTCCTCTCTGCTCTCAAGCACTAATTCAGGCCCCTGTTCTTAACATCTATCTGCGAAAAAGTGCATGCAAGAATATTTCTGAATATCTGTGGAGTCCACGGTACGTCCCTGAATGCATGCCATGTTTATCCATGATGTAGATTCTAATACGGTCTGATGAGGTTGTGCAATCCCTGCATGTGGCATGTAAAGGTTTAAAGTATTACCTGTGCTATTGTTGTTTCAAATAAACCCCATTGAAATCTGAATAAAATACCCTCGACATTTTGGGAAATGTGCTAAATTGCTTTTTCATATCTGTACTTTGAATACGGGTAGGTTAGCTTAGCATAAAGACAGAAAACAAGTAGAAAGAGCTGGCTTGTCTCTCTCTCTAAACGACACATTGTGCATTTTGTTTCTTTTACCCTCGGACAAGGCCAGGCTAGCTGTTATCCCTTTGTTTGCAGTCGTCATGCTAAGCTATGCTAACAGACCGCTATGAGAGAGGGACGGAATCTTCTCAGCCAGCTCTCTGCAGGAATTTCCCCAAATGTCAAACTACGTCTTTACTGCACAGCACCGTAAGCGTAGCGACGTTCCCCAGACGCCCAGAATGACCCTCTTCCCCCGCGTGGGTATGTGGTCTGCGTTTCGCCGTTAAAGTGGCTGCTCTTGACTCTCTGGCCTGCTGTTCCAGGGTCAGGTGACGAGGGCGCAGGAAGCGGAGGAGAACTACGTGATCAAGCGGGAGCTGGCGGTGGTGAGGCAGAAGTGCAACGCAGCCAATGAGAGCCTGGAGAAAGCGCAGGACAACATCAGAGAGCTGCAGCAACAGAAGGTAGGAAATAAAGGAGATGTAGGAAAAATACACATTCAAAAGGCACAAACCACCATTTTCAGACAAAGAAATGCGAGAGAATCCATTGAGTTGTAAACAGATTGTCGTAGAAGTGTTTTACTGCCACAAAGCTGACTAGTGATGGTGGAACTCACTTTTTCCCCGACCTTTAGCTGGACGAGTCTATTGGAGGGTGATGCAGATCACTTGGTGTGCAGGGGGTGTGACTCCTAGTTAAGAATTGTGAGCAGTTCAGTGCATTTTGCCTCGTAGCCCATCAGAAATGTGCCAGCGGCCTTTAGAGCTTGCGAGAGGTGGGGAATTAAACCCTTGATGTAGTGCAGACGTCACTCCGTCCACAAACTCTAACCTTTAGGCCCTTTTGAGAATGATTTGCTCTCTGTTCACTTTTCGTACTTCATCACTGTGAAACCGGCAGGAGACGAGCATGATGTCGATCTCAAGGCTACAAAGCGCCAGTCCACAAACCACTGGCTGACATCGTTATACAGATATATATATATATATATATATATATTGATCTGGATGAAAACAAAACCCTGAATGACACTCTTTACAAGTAACAGTTAAAACTCAGGCTTGTCAGCAAATTAAACTCTCCGGTGTGAATAAATCCCAACATTAGACACACACTAACACTGAAGTAGGAGTGAGCGAATCACAAACAGTTCATCTTACATTTTTTTAAAGACGAGATATCGAGCACTCTCACACAACTGATGTGATGGGTGATTTCATTCAGCGCATTTACACACCTCCAGACACCCCCACCCCTCTTTGATTATCAAAACTGAAACAGACAGACGCACGCTATGTATATTTCATGGTTTGGAAAATATTTTTCCTATAAGCTGTCTGCTGCTCCCCCTAACTGTGTGGTTTAACTTTTGATGTTGGGAGGGGAAATAAAAATGTACAGTAGGATCACTCTTGAGTCTGTGTGGAAGCTTCACACCAAATGCCTTTTGTTCATTAGCTATTCTGAAGTTTGGTTACTACTAGACAGTAGAATGTACCTGTCCCAAAAAAGATAATCTACATGAGTCAGCAGAACAATTTGCCATATTTGACAGATGAGGAATTACTGAAAAGCTCTGGTTTGTCGTGGTGGCTTCAGCGTCAAAGTTTCCTGCTTCCTCCCCAAATTCTTTTCCTGCAACGTCATCCCTCAGAGGAAAATGTCAAAGGTCATGCTTCCCGGAGTGATTGACAGTGTGTGAATACTCAATTATCAATAGCGGAAGTACAAATGTACCAATGCTCGATGTTTGTTTCAGTACACGGAGCAGTTTGTGAGCAACCTGCAGAACCAGCTGGAGCAGTCCAAGCTGCGTGAGGCCGAACTACAGGGAGCACTGAAGGAGATGCAAGACAAGGTCCTGGACCTGGAGAAGGTGACCTAACAGACCCGGATCTGTGTGTGTGTCCGTGTGTGTGTCCGTGTGTGTGTCCGTGTGTGTGTCCGTGTGTGTGTGTGTGTGTGTGTGTGTGTGTGTGTGTGTCCGTGTGAGAACTAGAGCGAGAACGCCGTGTGAAAGATGAGTAGAGACGAGCAGGCGAGTGTGACAGCGGACGTGTCAAAGTACCCTCCTGCTGTGAACTCAACAAAGATCTCAGCTCAGGTGGTGAAGTTACGATAAACGAAGTTCGCGACATTTTATGCTTTCGTTTTTGATTCACAAGTTGGTGAGACATTGGATTAAAAAAAGGAAAAGAGCCTCTGATGGTGTTTTCTTTTACAATTTGTTTGCTTTTCATATTCCAGGTTCTAGTTTGTCGATCAGCTGCTTTGGCCCGGACTGATATCTAAACTACTGGTTTGAATTTAGTTCAGCCATTTACCATCATCCCCAAAATAGGATCTACCGACTTCGTTCATTTCCTGCTTTTGCCACAGGTCGACATCTGTGGTTTTAAGTAAAATCTACTGACGAATCACCTTGAAATTTGATCGAGACATTCGTGTCCCCTGTCAAATCATGAAAAAATCTATTTTCATGATTTGATCCACATTTTGGGAGTCCCAATAATTTGGTTCATGACATTCCAATCAGGCTCACGTGCCCTTTGTATAGTGAATCTAAGCAAACATTAGAATGCTACTTGTAAATGTTTAGCAAGTGTCGTAACGTTTAGCTTTTTGCGTTATTGCGCCTCACAGAGCCGAGTGGTAAACAGTGTTTTTCTCTCATCCAGAGGAGCACGTGTCTGCCCGATGAGAACAACATGGCGGCTCTGCAGGAGGAGGTGAAGCAGATGAAGCTGAGGGAGCTGGAGACGTTGCACTCGTTCAAAGAGATGCAGGATTCCGTCACAGAGCTCAACCAGCGCTGGCAGGTAACAACACACACACACACACACACACAACTGCTGTTGTTGTGTCCATAAACTCGGGTGTACAGTATGCAATGGCAGAGAGAGAGCTACACACCTGTGCTACGCGCTGTGTGATTTCTGCAGCACCACATGTCCCGCGGCAGCACCACGGGTGGGGGCGGCGGCCACTGGAAGGAGTCCCCGAAGAAGAATGCCATGAACGAGCTGCAGGACAAACTGATGACGGTCCGACTGAGGGAAGCCCAGGCTCAGGCGGAGCTCCGAGAGGTCAAACTCAAAGCTCTGCAGCTGGAGAGCCAGGTCAGTCCGTCCCAGCGGCACACAGAGTATTTTCCTTACACGCGCGTCTTTTAACGGCGTTTGATGGTTCCATGATTCTAATGATGAAAGACCTGCTTCCCCTCCCCCATTTGACTTCCCTGACTCCAGAACCAGATCCACAGCAAGCTGATTGGCCGAAATGATCAGGAACGCTCTGCCCTGCAGGACCGGCTCCAGATGCTTTCCAATCAGAACAAAGGTCTCCAGGCCCAGCTCAACGAGATGAAAAGGAAGCAGTCCGAGTCCGACTGCAAGGTCTGAATGGCGGGGAGGGAGGAAAAGTAAAGGAGTTACCTGGAGGGGGGGAGTAACTGGAAGGAAGGAATAAATGGATGCAGAGGACACAATTTATCTGGTTCAGCTTAATGAAACAAAAAGGTAAAAATGAGATACAGTGATGAGATCCTAAGGATTGAAGACTGGATCTCAGGAGTCATCCTGAGATGGACAGAGTCAATGGGGAAGGCCTGATGTGAGGTGTAGGACAGAGCTGTAGGATGTTGCACTGTATGTTTCCCCACTGAAATCCAACTAACTGTTGTCTTCCCCGTGGCGTCTTCTCTCCCCCCTCATGCATGCAGAGCAAAGAGGAGGTGATGGCGGTGCGACTGAGGGAAGCAGACAGTATGGCTGCCATGGCTGAACTCAGGCAGAGGATTGCTGATCTTGAGATACAGGTGTGTGTGTGTGTGTGTGTGTGTGTGTGTGTGTGTGTGTGTGTGTGTGTGTGTGTGTGTGTGTGTGTGTGTGTGCGCGCGCCTCCGTGCCTGCAAGGATTGTTCTAAAGTGTGTGCTTGTAGATATGGACATCTGTGTTTTTACAGAAGGAGGAAGGGCTGATCCAGGGCCAGCTGAACCACTCGGACTCCCGACAGTACATCAACGAGCTGCGGGACCAGATCGCTGAGCTCAAGAACGAGGTGCGACGCACACACCAAGCGGCAGCGTTTACTGGGCTTTGATGATGAATAACGCCGAAATATTGTGCCACATGCAGCTATTAAGGTTGAAATGAACTGCAATAAGCCGTCTTTAAAGGATCGCTTTTACACCTTTGTAAAAACAGGATCTATTGTTTGAATTTCAGTTTGTGTAACATATAAAAGGGCCTTTAATTAATTAAAATATTGATTGGTCGGTTGTTTCGCAACTGCTAAAAGTAACAGCAGAAGACCTCTGAATGTTTTGGCTTTCAGCGATGTGTGAGACCACAAAACATTCTGAAATCTGTCCCTGTGACGGAGGACTCAAAATGTTTGTTAGGAGTCTGTAAATGTTTCTCATTCACATCCATCAACCATTAATTACGTGTATCGTCAATGTCCTCAATGTGTTGATGTGTGGGGGTCACAGTAGTATCACTAACAAACGCAGAAGGATTTTTGTCGACTGGTGAGTTCTGCTTCAAAATGGCGAGCAGCCATGAGACACACACACCGTGCAGACACATGCAGTTTCGCCAGCCACCACAGAAGAATCTCGTCATCTCTATGCAGCCCCGCAACAGACACCACTTCCACCCGGACACGCCCACTCTTCAGCCGTGTGGTTTCTATAGACTGCAGTCCCCCCCCCCCCATCTGCAGCTGCGGGGTTAAAACTTAATGGCAACACCAGTTTTTCTGATTTTGACAGTTTTGTGGGTTGAGTTATGTTGAACGTACTCTGCAGTGCGTGACTTTTAAGTGAGCGTGCATGATGAGACTGCCCTGCCCTTTACCACTCCTCTCTTTTCTTCTACTCTCCCCACCTGTCTTTCTTTCTTTTTCTTTTCAAGGCAGCGGTTTTCAAAATGAGTCCGAAACTTGCGTGTGTACAGCCGAGAAGGCAGTGAACCTTTTAGAGAAATCTCAGTGAAGTTTTCACGCTACAGCTGAGTCATAATGCCGGTGATGATACATGATGACAGATTCCACAAAATGCAGATGACTTCACACCTCACCATACGACACTGATGAATTCAATTACTCGTATCCCAAAAACAAACTAGAAATGGCGCGTTGGCTTTGTTCTTTTCTGTAGCTTGATGAGCAGTCGAAACATTTCCATTGGTTAACCACCCCCCCCCCCCCCCCCCCCCCCTCTGGCCCAGCCGAGTGTGTGAGCGGGGGAAACTAAAACCTCTGAGATTTGTCATTAGTCACACATGCAAGGTCAACACGCAGACAGCATGCACTTGCTTTTTTGATATTTTGTACCTCGGCCTCCCACCGGCAGGCCTCGCTTAGAGGCCTTTACCTCTGCCATAGTTATACAACCTCACACACAAAAACCTGTCAAAAAGTGCCACTGCCTGACATTTAATGCTTTTGGTTTGATCGACTACTGAACCATATCCTTTTATTACTATTTTGTTCCGCACAAAACTCCATTGTTGTCTGAAAGCCAACGATGAAAAACACATGAGTGAATGGATGGCACATTGTCCTGCTGCTGGAAAGGACTCTCTAAAGCGCCAACAAATTAACACTATTTATTCCCTTTTGAGTGACTTTTGAATGCTGCCAGCTGCTAGCAGAGCACACACGTTTTGTTTTGTATTTACGGACCAGAAAACACACAATTACCGGTATGCCTTGTTTAAAAGTAAAGACGACTCTTTGTATTCAGGTCAGGCAGCTGCGAGGGCAGAAGGCTGCCCCCGGCTCCAGGCTCGGCAGCGGAGTAGGCGGCACCAACTACCAGGATCTGTGCCTGGCCAGCCCCGCCTCGGCCGAGGGAGACTACCTGAGCTCGGACGAGGACCTCCTGCCCAGCCCGCTGCCTCCGGGCGGTCTTTACCACGGCCTCTCCGGCCCGTGTCACCCGTCTGCCCGCCTCGACAGCGAGGGCAGCACGGACAGCGAGGTGGAGGAGCGGGCTCTGACCCATCCGGACCCTCAGCAGCTGTACGGCGGCATGGTGTGCGCCGAGGCGCTGGACAACTGAGCCCCAGGGGGAGAGAGGGAGGGGGAGAGGGGGGGAAGGGGGTGTTGTCCCTCCTCTCCTGTTACCGTCTCCTCCGACTTGTTCCCCCCGGTCCGCTGTCCCGTCCCGTGTTTCCCAAACAAGAGGTAACCTAAAGCCTCGCTCCTTGTTCCCTCGTGTAACCGGGCAACCATCCAAACACAAAGACGTGACACGCAACCAAACAAAAGAGGAGGGACACCGGACCGAGACCGGGGTGCTCAGAAAGAAACTCTGTGACGGAGTGACCGTGATGGGACTCCTCTTGCTGACTGGTTCAGAGTTAAACAACCTCTCTTACCTTTTTAAACTCTCGTTAGGAAGAAACGCACAAAACAAGAAGAAAAACTATCAGCCATCCATTTACCTCTCAGTAGACAAAGTGTTGAGAGGAAGACAGGTGGTGAGTATGAGACGAGAGAGCGACAGGTGCAGTGTAGGATATATATGTACGCATCAAACTGTACAAGATGGCATCTGTCATGTGTTACTTTATCATACTAAATGTGTGCAACGTCATGCCGGTTAATGCAACAGTTCATGTCAAAACCTAAAAAAACACGATCACCCGAACCCAGAGAACAAGGACGGAAGAACCTCGATGTTGCCAAATCTTTTTTTTTTATTATTATTTATATGTTGTAATTTATTTTGATATTTTTTAAATATATTTTATATATCTATATGAAACTATAGGAGTGTAGAGAAACCGACAGAGGCCAAACTTTATACACCGTCCTTTGTGCCAACTAGTCGCCTGTTGCAGGCGTGCTGTGAGACGGAAATGTGCTGCTATGATTTGCAATTTACTTCTTTTCTTTCTGTTGTTGTTTTAATGTAATCTTTGTGAGATGAACATGCCATCTCCACGTTTGACCTGATTCCTCCCTGGAGATTCAAAAGTTTCATCAACGATGGGAACCGTTTTCGCCCAAACTGAGCGTGATCATTGTTTACGTGTGTGTTCGTGGAACTTTTCAGGACATTCATTTGCTTCCCTTCTGAGAATTACGCGGGAGGACTGTGGCCCTTCTGCAATTTGTCTGCTAGTTATGAAGCTACAGCAATAAGGCAGTTAGCTTATGTTAATGCTACATGCTAAAGTTTCATTGGCACAACTAGAAAAGGATCAAGGGTTGGGTAGTGATTGAGTAATGTCAATAACAACAGCAAGTTAAATGCAGAATCTAGCTATGGTTTGCTGAAATTAGTTTAGCATGATACGTTAATGGTCATTCCAGTCAGAGCAGCTAGAAAAAGGAGAAACCCGGACCGGGGTCGTGGTACCAAGAGCGAGGAGGTCGCTGCCCGTGTGAAAACCAGAATTCTGAGGCTATTTGTCATGTAACTTCTGTACTTTAGCAACACGGATACCATGAAGTTACATGTTGTAACGTCCCAAACCACAACTATTACCCCGAACCTGGTTGTTTCCTGAGAAAACTGAAGTTAAGATTTAAAATACTGCATTTCTTACATGCATGCAGGTAAATTGTGGTGCTGCACATTTTGAAGGAACATGTGGGCGGAAATGGAATTTTCATACGGTATCATTTGATATCATAGCTTCGTATTTTAAATAACATGTTAAATATGAAACTATGATCTGTGTCGATTCAGTTCTCAGTGCAGTTACCACTGAGTGCAGGTTCCTTTTAATCAGCCCCATATGCGCCACAAGAACGGCTCTGATCTGGAACCAACCCTTCATGCGCTCGTATCACTCATCTGAATCTGCAGCTGGGAGCGGCTCATATCGTAAGGATGCCAACAGTGCGCGGGTTGGAAAATATTTTGCATATCAGACATTAAAGTATTCTGTGGAATAAAAAAAGCATAAAGTACATGAGTAAGATTTAAAGCTGTGTCCGTGTCAGAGTGTTGCTGAAGCTGGTGAGTGCGTATAGTTTTATCAAACAGGGTGTCGTCTGTGTAGAGCAGCGATCGGCTTTTTGCACAGCAGGGAAATCTGATCATGTCTTCAAGCGGTCAGAGACGATGTGGTTGAATGGGTTCGGCATGGGATCAATACTTTTCTCCTTCCTGATTTTGTGATGGGCTTCATTATTCTAGACTAATGTTGTAGGACTTGTTTAAATTCTCTGAAGGCCTGTTTCTAACGTTGTTGTGCAATACAAGGAATGGCGATGGTGAGATTTTTACTTGAATCTTCCAGCGATGGCCATCACAGAGCTAAAGAGGATGTTGGTTTGCCCACCATAGTGATGCAAATAACCGCCTCTTAGTGGTCGTTGGTGGGTTTGGCAACGGAGGTCTACTCACAGTCTGGATATCGTCCAAATGAAGCTTGGTGTCAGTTCAGCTGCTTCTAGTCCTTTGTTTTAAGATCACTCTATCATATTTATCTATTTGATGCATTTACTTTGCCTTTTTAAGGTATTGTTTCATAGTTAACAGTCCTTCTCTTGAGTGATTTAAAGGATTTACATGAGTGATGTAATGTGTGAGGTATCGTTGGATCAGGAGGACAACAGTGTTGACTTTAAGGTGACGGTGTACTCTGTGAGAATCGCTTGCTTCCGGCGCTGTCAACAACACATCTGAGCGCTGTTCCTTAACACATCTGTACACTGCTGTCCAGGGATGGTGCTCTTGCTCTCGCTACTGTCTAAATACAAGAAAATCTACTGTGACGAAACATTTTGATATGTTTGGAAATTCCTTTTGAATAATTGTTGTAGCTCTCATCTTTACTCCGTACTTTGGTTCCTCCTGCTAACAGCATTACACGAGATGGTAATGATTAGACATCCTAACGTGCCATAATAGTAGGTAGTTTATAACTTAATGCGCGTTTAAGGGGGGTTTCAGCCCGTCACTAAACAGCCATGTGATATAAAGTGAATATTGTGTGGACTGAAAGGTTGCACCGAGTGGCTCCGGATGTGTCATCTTGAAACTGATACACAATCAGGAGATAAGATGATAATGTGCAAAAACAGTGCGTGTCACATGTGAGTTCTTCCTGGTTAGTCGGGTGTTTTTCATTTCTCAGATCCATGCGCCGGCTGTGACGGCTGTTAAATGTTCGCAGCGTCATACCCAGGAACCCTGCCGCCCTCTCGCTTTCTGTCTTGCAATTCAACTGATGTTATCAAATATATGAAATGACAGTAAAGGTTATTTAGATTCCAGTATGATGGGGGAGAGAAAGTACTTTTCAGTGTTCTGTATCCTTATGAATGATACGAAATAAACTTTGACAATGCACCTTTTGCAAAGGCCTGGGTTGATGCTGTTGTTGGTTATTGCTGGGTGGATTATATTCACTCAAATCTTGAACATTATTTTAGTGTTACTTGGATTTTGAGAGTTGTTGACATTTAATCACCAATACATTAAAACAGGTTGCACCAGACAAACGAGTTGTTAAGAAGTAAAAGAGGTTCGGTGCAATGGGGCCAACGCGTCTGACTATTTAGTCACATGGCTGTTTTGAAGATGCATTGCACAAAATGAACCCTATTTACCCCAAATCACAAAATGCAATGCTAGAAATTTAGAATAGCATATCGAGAGATTACCAACTGCATAAATGCTACTATCGTAGACCCATATTTCTCCATGTTGTTTGCCGTCATGTTCAGTTGGGATTACTTGGCACGTCGTCGTCATCCTTTACTTGAATAGTCTTGTTTTGGTTGAGACTGTTCTCAAGTGTTAAGTGATAAGATAAGTGATAAGAGCTCGTCAAATTCTCTAAATGCTAAGGAAATCTCATATCTCTTGTTGGGAGATAATACCATCCCACAACATTTAAAGCAGCGCACCATTCAGACGTCAATAACAGCCGCCGCTCTTGGTGAAACTGCACTTTACGGATGAACCTCCTTCCTGTGAGGTGTGATTCCGATGTAAACAACGAAAGGTCTTTACTATTTGACCGCAGCCCCAGATCGGCCTGAGATCGTCGCTGAACCATCTCCCGTGTTCAGCGTCTGACTTCCCCTACTTAGGACTTGTGTTTCTGATGAAGACGTTGACTTGTACAATATAATTATAGTTTCATTTTTTTATTAGAAAAGGCTCAGTTGTCCCTCAAACAGCTGGCTGTAGTCAGCAGTAATCATCATCATCATCATCAATCATCACTCTAACAGAAGCAAATACTGCATTTCTTGAATGTTTTTCAGCAGATACCCGTTGAGTGTTTTTCTCAGTTTGACAACAGCTTTGTTGGGCTTGACTCAAAATAAGCTGCAGTCACCATGTTCACTTGTCAGTGCACCAACATCTTTTTTTAAACTTTGTCACCTCAACACCTTTATTCACATTTCCTCTTGCTGTGTCTCTTCCTCATCAGTCTTCGGTTAGTTTTCATCAGCCGGTTTCTTTTGAACTCGACCTCGATGGTTATTTTGTAACAAGTGTTTCAACTGTAGTGTGTCGACATTTTCAGAAGAATTTTTCAGCAACGTCGCACGCTCTTCCTCTCTGTTGTTCCTCTGGCTCTGTTTTCCACTAGATCAATACGACGCCGTGATTAGTATATTCTCTGCAACATCTCCATCTACAATCTACACCAAAACAAAATTTGTGAAAGATTGAAGAGAAATTCAAATGTTTTAGCAGTAGTGCTGATTTCGGGGTGCTGCGAGTGCAGCGTTTGGGTTTGTGTGTGAGGAAGTGCTGTGGTTTTCAGATAAAACGCTTCCTCGTCCTTCGCTGCGCTCATCGTCTCACCGACCAGCAGAGAACATCGACGTCTTATATTCCACCTCCGCGTGCACTACCTCGCATGTGAGACACTGACCTCACGTTGTGTGATAAGGCTTTTATCGCAAGTTTGTGATGTTCAGAAGGATGTAAAAATCTGGTGAGTATTTGGATATTTGTTTCAAATAATGAACATCCATGTTTCAGGTTAAGTAACAGCTACAATTCTTTCTTTTTTTTATTTAACATTTTCTAAATGATAAAAAAAAACTTTTGGGCTGTAGATTCTTCCATAACTTTTTATGATTAATGTCAGTCCAGCATTAGGTTAAAAAAACGTCTTTATAAATAATTATTTAAAAAGTTGTAATCTATCTTCAACAATTATTTTGATTTATGTGTGGATTCAGATGATAATCCCCTTGTTGTGTTGTGTTGTTATGTTAGGCCATGTGGATCTTTCTCTTAGCTTTTTAAGTACAGTAAAAATGAAAACAAATTGCTTTTTAACAATGTTAATGAAAATGCATCCAGTCAAGTTATCCCTTATTGAGTATTAGAAAACAAACACAGTTGTTGATGAGCTTTTACTAACGCCGTTCAAGCTTCAAGAGTGCTGTCAATTGTATTGCAACTCATACATAAACATTACAGTAATTTTTCGTTTCTTATTCAGGTTTACAGGCTTCATTTGACTTTTATTTTTCCATTTTTTTTTTTACTCCCACAGCAACACCATCTTTAAAAGAAATGTTGCTAATGTGATCAAATAAGAAGTGACAGTAAAATAATATGGAGCGATGTCTTGATCTCTAAAATGTGTGCGTGTGCGTGTGCGTGCGTGTGTGTGTGTGTGTGTGTGTGTGTGTGTGTGTGTGTGTGTGTGTGTGTGTGTGTGTGTGTGTGTGTGTGTGTGTGTGTGCGCACACACACATATGTAGAGCATATGCGTGTAGAAACAAAATTTTGAGGCAGTACTAACTAACTGGAGATGTGACTCAGGAACAAAAACAAGAAAGGAACTTCACCAATCCACTAACTGATCATTGACACCCAAGATCGGAGAAAAGTCCAAATATTGACACAGATTTGGGTTTAAAATCTGACGACCCCTCAGATTTACCTCATGACCCTTCAATGGAGCCTGAACCGTAGGTTTGGCATCGCTGACCTAATAAATACAATTTTGCATGTAGAACTTTCCAGCTAACTTAAGTTAATTGTAATAAAATTATTTTTTATTGGCGCTTACACTTTGAGGAGTACTTTCAACACCATTTAAGGGGATCTATTTGCAGAAAAGTAATATAATATTATAACAATATATCCGTTAGTGTATAATCTACTGAAAAAAAGGTTGGTTTTTTTTCACGTGTACATAATGATATGAATGGCTTCCCAAAGCTGGCTGTTGACATTTCTTCTATATTTGTTTCCCCGTGTTCAGCATAGATTTGAATTAAATGTGTTAAATGAAACTATATGATATGACTGTTGGTGTCATGATGTCAGAGGCGATGTTTGTGGTGAACTTAAGTCTAAATGTCAGGTTGTGGTCGCTTCATTTGCACTTTAAATGTAATTAAACAGAGGCTCAAAAGATTGGAGGAACATCTCATTAATGAGGCGTTTAGTGTCCACTAAGCCTCTGTGGACTGCAAATGAACCGCAGATTGCCAATAAGAAAGTAGTCTTTTGGTTGCATGCACAGACACGCAAGAGAGATGTGCAATGAGATAACCCTGGCAAGAGTGCCCCTGTGTGAAAACATCTGCACAAGATCACGGTTCAGCATCCAGAGTTAGAGCTTGCGGGAACTGCAAGGAGAAAAGAACTGCACAAATCCAAATGTGCAAAGCTGCATGGGGCAAAACAATTCAAACAAGAAGGCTAACTTTAATGTCACTAAATAAAGCCCCTTATGAAATATTTTAGTGTATCTTTTTAAATTGTTATTGTTTAATCTGTGTTGTTGATTTCCCAGCAAGAGACAAACTATTTGATGTATATTTCTGCTGCCATCAGAAAGACTTGGATACACTATAACACTGTAACTATTTGTTTTCCTTAAACTGCTAGATGACCTTGATTTACGGCTGTTGAGCAGTTGTTCCTATCAATTGGGGGATGCCTCGTTCTTTCTTGGTGAAGCGAGGGGGGCTGCACCACGTAGGGAAAAAGACAGGACCCCGGGATACTTCCCTGCAGTACTCCACATCAGAAACACCAGATAATCATGCCGTGCCCAACGCCTTACTACAACCCCACCTTCCTGCTGCCAGCCCTGACCACAGTCAGGCATGCAGCCGCAAATACTATGGTGGGTGACAACCTTTTTCCTAAGTATAACTTTACAGGCGGTGAAAATACACAAAATGGTTCCTAGCTAAATCATATATTGCAAGCACAACCATCGCAAGTTTATGTGAGATTGTGTGAACCTTTTTCTTATGATACAACATTCAGTATTAAATTATTCAAAAGTGTGTTAATCCAAAGTGTTTAATAGCTGCCTGTCAACCTGTTTATCTGTGTACTCAGGCTGTACTTCTGCTCAGCCATGCAGTGGTGTCATTGCGAATACCTTTGGCCTTGTGGAGAAGGTTGAGTCCCGCCCTCCCCCACCAGCGTTATGGTCCAGACCTCATGTGATCTCAGGATATCCAGACAAACTGGGACTGGAAGACTTGACAAAGCACAATTACATCCTGAGGAAGACCAGGAACAGCGGCTGCTTGAAGATCGGCGCTGCGAGCCAGGCGTGTCCACTCTGTAGCAAAGTACGTCATTCCTCCATTACAGATCGCTTCATAAACCAACAATAACTCTAGATTTAAGGAAAAGGGCTTAAATGAGCCCTTGTGTTACCTTATGTTTCCAGATATTTTCATGTCCGTCAAATTTGAAGACCCACATATGCACAAATCATGGCGGCAGATCATCGGCACACATCAAGTCTAGCAGGACAGATACTGAGTGGTCACCATGCAGGGGCAAGGTCGGCACACATTTCCTATGTTACTGCCTCACTCTGGAATAATCCCTTTTGTGCACACGTTGGGTTCAACAGTTCTGATAAACACCTGGCGCCTGTTGTTCTAGGAGAGGACGTTTGACTGCACCGTGTGCGGGAAAGTGTTCAAGCGCTCCTCCACCCTCTCCACTCACCTGCTCATACATTCGGACACGAGGCCCTACCCCTGCCAGTACTGCGGGAAAAGGTTCCACCAGAAGTCTGACATGAAGAAACACACTTTCATACACACCGGTGGGTTCATTGGCTGTGTATCAATATGCTGGCATCATGTGACGTTATTGAACTGAAATGCGGTTGGCCTTCCCCGTGCATCTCTTATGCTTATTGCTAAAACTTATGTTAAATAGTTGCAATGCTTCCAGCACCGACGCGGATCCCATTCCTAACCATGCAAAATTAAACTCGCAGAATGATCTCCGGCACAGACGCGTGTTTACATCGCATGCCGTTTAAACTGCAATTCTCTACCATACCAGTCCCTTTATATAGTCCTCCCTCCTCCTGTGACATCACTGTTCTGGTACATCTACACTGCAGCCACACAGGTACACATGATCTGTGTCCTGTTGAATCTGTACAGCAAACCAAAAACGGCACATTCTAGACTTTTTAACGAGACGTCCAGATAAGTCTTTGGATTGAACAAATGAGACATAACGTATTGATCATTAAAACTTCAGAGGTGTTGACAGGGCAGATTGGATTTGGCTACCGTTGAACCAATAAGGCCCAGTTGTTATGCTGTGCCGAGTTAACCGGTCGCTGGCCGCAACTTCACAATTGGCATACAAATAATAGTGATGTGAATCTCCGTGTCTATCTGTCGGTAAGAACGCAAATACAGGTATTTGCCAACATATCAAACTGCACGTTTAAGTACAGCCAGCATCTCAAATGTCAGTAAGTCAATGTAAATTGAGCAACTCTTTAAATGTTTGTTGGACCAAACAACCAATTGAATGAAATAAGGAAATGCAATGATGTGTAAGGGGAACCTTCGACCCGTCAGAGCGGTGATTAACCTTTGAATGTGCTGTTTGTGTGCAGGCGAGAAGCCCCACGTGTGTCAGATATGTGGAAAGGCCTTCAGCCAGAGCTCCAACCTCATCACCCACAGCCGCAAACACAGGGGCGACCGGCCCTACCCCTGTCCTCGCTGCCCCTTCAGCTTTCAGCAGAAAGTGGACCTCCGGCAGCACCAGGAGCAGCACTGCACCTACCACTGACCCACCCAGCTGAAAAACATCATTCCGAACATCATCCATCAGTCCACAGGTAGCATTGTCTCCTCTGGGTGGCAGTCTCTCACCGTTAAAGAGAGAAATCCAAAAAAGAACAGTGACAAACGTGTGTGTCTTCCTCACAATATATTGTTGCAGTCATACAGTCGATGTGTATTATGTCCTGCGTAGCTGTTTTCTTGTGGCACCTACAGTTTCCATCCTTATGATGTCACCATAACCTGAGAAGTATCTGTTTGGTTTATGAGACTTGTTAGCATCCACGTTTCTACCAACCGTTTTGTGAATTGTATTTCATAAATTTGAAAGTTATTATACACGTAGCGCTGCAACATATATGACATAATATTGAACATGTAACCTTTTGTGTCATAACCCCCAAAACTCATCTAACTACAAAAGCACCATGCATGAACACAAATGTTGTGTTTAACTATTCCACAAATAGAATGATGGAGCAGAGTTTTAAAATATGGCAAGAAGTTCTAATAAAGCGATAAACATAATCATGTCCTTGTTTCCAGCTGTTTCTTTCTAAGGGGAGGCCACATTATGAATTGATTTACCACAAACAGTTTAAAATCAAGTTTTCTTCAGCACAAGAGAAAAACCACACAGGCCCTAACGAGTTCCCAGATGTGCACTTGAACCTGAGATTCTAATGTTGACAGGTGAGCTCTCCTTTGTGTGGTTGAGAAGGAAAAGAAAGGGAGGAATTATTGTAGTGCAGCAATGAGTAGCTGTTCTAGATACAGAAGCGTTAGCAGTGCGGGACCATATCGGGACAATTTTGCCCCAACAGTTATTCACTTATTTCGCCATCTAGTGGCCTTTTTTCAACAAGACAATTTTTTTGCAGAAAATATTCTAAGCATTCTACAACTACTTTTTGGATTGGGTTATTTTTTAAATGGTCACATTAGAAAAAATATCTATTTATTGCTGACTTTCTAATAATTTAACTAGACTTCAATAAAGTTGAAAACATTTACAAGACAGTTTAATTAGTAAACTTTATAGGTGGGGAATCTTTTTCACAGATATGCTGGAGCGACTCATCCAGCTGGAACATGTTAGGAAAAAGATGTGGATCTTATTCTGTAACTTTATCATAAGGATTTATTTAGCTGTATTTCTCAGACATATCATTATTATTATTATTTGAGGAGTGATAGCATAAAAACCTGACGTTCCGGTATTGAGTTATTAGCCAGAGTAAAGCAACGTGTGTGTTGAGGACTTTTACACTGTAACAGTTCCTATATATTTCTTGATAAAAATAAACCCAAACTACAATTATTATTAAAACAGCAGATTATTATTTCACTTGTTCACAAGTGGCAATAAGTGGAGCGCAGAGCAGCAAGGAACTTGTTTGTTTTGCTCAGTCAGCAGATCACTGTGTCATGCTGTCAACCAGGCAAAGTAGCAACTTTCAGGAAGCAGGAAACCTCCTTTCCCTTAAACAATGTTGTACACAACACCAGTTGCATTTGTATGCCTTGCTAGAATTTAATAGATTAATATTTAGCAGATTAAGCAATGAAATCTGCCAAGGCAACTTTACCATGAACATTAATCACATCACTTGTGTTGTTCACTTTCAGAACATCAGACCAAATACTTTGATTTTCATGTCCAGGTGAGTCCTTCGTCTGCAGGACAATTAAACAGTAACACCCAGAATTCAGATGGAGCCTCTGTAGATCCGTGATGTGCATTAAAAAGGTGTAAACCGGTATCCTCCATCAACTCAATGTTCTCAGGTCTTTAATGCTTTACAAAGAAAAGTGTCCAACAAGTTGAGGAGATTATTTTCTGCAGTTGTCTACATAATTAAACAGTGAGTGGGACATGACAACTCAGGGTGTGACTCACCACAAAGCACAAACGAATACCACAACACCAATTTGATAAAACAAAGCCAATGAAAATAAAAGTTTCAGGTCATTAAAACTAAAGACAATCACATCAGCACATCAAGATGGTTTGCTTACTTTGCGTTATGTTTATTTCTCTCAGGCTTTAACACAGAACATGTGGTAGATTTTGATTTTTTGGGGATATTTCTGTTGAGCAATGTTCCAGGTTTCAAAAGCCTGCATTGTTTTTGTACCACTGCGCTCTGGCCACAACGTCATTGGAGTAGTCTCTTCCTGTCGTGTTGGCATCAACTTGATCATAGGAATGGACGTTTCCATCTCCCATGTTGTAGGCAGCTATCCCACCTGAGGAGACAAACGCCAATAAGAAGTTGTGACGAGAGCTGCTGCATGTCGGAATCTACTAATTCAATAAAAACACACCTTTGAGCTGCTGCTCTGCGCTCCAGCTGGGAAATTTGTTGCGGATGCGTCCGATAAAATGAACCAAGATCTCTGCGGCTTGGGAGAGATGTTCCTCACTGTCCCAGTCACCGCGTTTAGTGTGTCCACCTCCATTTGGATTGACGTCAACCTAAAGATATGTCAATAATTAACACTGTTGCTCTATTAAGAGGATGTAAAACAAAAAACTACTTTACAACCTGCATCAGTCCCCAGGCATTGCCGCCGTCTCCCCAGCCTCCTTGTAAGCAATTTCCAGCCCTGGTCTCTCTGGAGATGATGGCAGCAATGAGAGCTGGATCGATTCCATACTTTGCTCCCACTGTGTTGATTTTAGACCTGTACTTTTCCATTCTGTTCTTATCCGTCTGTGCCAGGGTATGTGACGCCTTCTCACCTTTAGAGAAAAGTGCAGAGGCGCGCTTACACGCACGCCAATAGATATAGAATGAGTGGTGTAGTGATGTACGGCACATCCCTACATGATGTCTGGAGCATTACAGAGCACTAAAACAAGAGAATCAATGTTTTTTATATATATATATATATATATATTATTTATTTATTTTTTGTTACATTCTGTACATAGAGATAGATGGATGGAGCTTTTTCTAAGCGTTTACCTGCGTAGGTCAGCTTGTCCTGCTTAGCAGTTTGCAGCGACGCTCCAGTAGTTGGAACCTTCATGATGTCTCCATAACGTGCTGATGATTAGTTCATAAAGTTAGTTATCAACACACCTGACATGGATTGGTTCCAGCTTTAAAGTTTCCTGTACGGATTGGGCCTTTTCTCAAAAAAAGAAAAATATTTATTTGAACAACACATGAAGTAAACTAAACTAAAATGTGGGATCAGTGATCATTGATGTCAGCGTGTGTGGACATGTGGGATTGTCAGCAAAAACTAAACTAAAGCTGAGCCAAGGAAAGAGCCCATCAATGATCCAATTATCTGTGATTCTCATCACAATCTTGAAAGATGGAGAAGAGACAGCGAACAAGACGAAAGCCTGCAGTGGAAAAGAAGCGTTGTCCCAAAACGATGGCGAGACGGAACTTTCCAACTACACAACACATCTTAAAAAAAAGAGCCTTCTGTGTCTGGCTATGAAGAGCACATATAGTGAGCAAGCTACAAAAGTGCCTGGAGAATATGACAAATAATACAACGCAGAGTCAAACAGTAGAAAAACAACAGTACCCACCCATGTTTCCTCTTCTAATAGTCTCCTTGAGAAGTGAGCGTTCGTGAGCTTGATGTTCCTGTCTTCAGACACTTCCGTATTTATGACAGCACAGATGAGCAGGACCAACTGGTTTTAATGAAATGGTTTGCGACATGATGTGTTGCAGGAGCTGCCTCTCAACCACTAGTGTTTGCTTTAGTGGGAGCAAGAGGCGATTTCTTCACCCTACAGTAGCACACGTTGTTCAACTCCTCCAGGGCGGCACATCCACGAGTGCTGTTGCAAGGACATTTTTGCAGTTTACTCGCGCGAGTAAAGCGGGTTATTTCGCCTCATTCGCGCCTGGAAGGGGGCGTGGCTTATCTCCGTTACGTGTCTCCATAAAGACAGTTATCGTTTCCACCGTGGCAATACATGTCTGCTCTTTATTTGTTGTGTATTACACACACGTCGGAACCGCAAACGGCGTAGTGTTCGGGTTCGTGACGTCATCCGTTGCCGCACACAGCTTCGTTTTCACCGACTCCTTCAGGAAGCGCGTCTGGATGACTGCGGCTTCCAGCGCTGCTTCAGGTCTGATGACCCGTTGTGTCTCTCGGTTAGACACAAACTAACTTACAGGCGTAAGCTGCACCCTTTCTGTCATAAGTGATGCAAACAAATTATTAAATCTAATAAAAACGTCTAATAAATACGTCAATAACTAAGGTAGTGTCTGACTTGCTACAAAATAAATAAATAAAAACATAATTAATCACAAATAGCCAACCTTCCGAACAAGACAGACATCAACCTGCTGTCCAGCAATACAGTAACTTCTATTCTCTGTTTTCTGGTTCAAAGTTTACTGTCAATTAGAGGTAAGAGGTCACATCCAGAAGGCTTACACGATACACCCAATTAACTCATTTCCCCAATAGAGCATGATTTCTGCATGTATTACACAGAAGGAAACCTCTTGAAAGAATTTACCGATACGGAGGGTCTTAAAACTGCATTCCTGTATTGATCTGATCTGTAAACTGTTGCATTTTATCGTTAATATTATATACATATAATAAAGTATGTTCAAGTTAAACTTAATTTATTTCTTGTTACACACATTTGACACTGACCGGTTTGAAATGGGTTAACTGCAGCGATCTTGCTTTTGTCACTCGGAGGGAGTGGTGCTTTGGTGTTCAACACTACTGGATGTGGCAATCTACTGGAGATGTGAACTGGTTAAGGGTACTTTATTTTTACAGCATCCAATGATCCTCAGTATATTGTTTTAGTCATTAAAAGTGGGATTTGAAGTCTGGCCTAAAAGAGAGTGATGAGTGGCCCGGCAAGCTGACAGCTGTTAGGAAGTTTTGTTCAGACTTGATCGTGAGTGATCCTGTCACAGACAAACATCTAGAAATGAACAGTCACAATTGTGTGTTTTTTTGTTTTCTTATAAATATATATATATATATATATATATATATATATATATATATATATATATATATATATATATATATATATATATATATATATGATATAAATAATACATAGAGTGTGATATATCTATATTTTATATAATTAATATGTATAATATAAAATATATATTTCTCTCTCCCATGCTACGTGTAACTCTGGTGAATACACAAAACCGTGTAATAGAGATATATATATTATATTAATAAAAACATAACAAAGCAACCTGCAAATGGTGCTGATGTCATTATAACCCACTTTACAGATTTCCCAAACAGGGTCCGAATCCCAGTCTATACTTGTGTTTATGCGCGTTCCATAAATCAAATATTACAAAGGACTCAGCAGCCTCAATGTGAAGCTTCAGCGTGCTGTACTATACTTGTTTTTTACTCCTGTTCCTCGTCTGCTGCATCTTACCATCGTACGATGACCTCTCCAAAGTAAACAGTCTGAGTTCAGCAGCACAGGTCGGGTTATTTAGTGTCAGCGTGTGATGAAAAGTGGATTGTATAAAAAGTAAAAAAATTCAAATAAATGTATATCTGTTGGTCAGGAAATTAATGTCTGAAAAAACAAACGTATGAGACTTCATCATAGGTTTTAAGAGCTTTTTCTGGGAAATTGTCTGAAACTTGACAAAGTAATAAGGATAATTTGTTCATTTAGGAAATACGCCATATCAATCTATAATGAAATTAATCAGTTTTAGCCCTGCCGATTAGTTAGGCAGTTGTGCGACTTGACTGAGCTTGCGTGATTCATTCATTTGTCATTGTGTGTGGATACGTAAGTGCTCTATTTACTTTGCTGGCTCGTATTTACTGTGTGAAACCTTGTTGTGTTTCCGATTAGTGAGAAGTACACTCAGCAGACTCTAAAAGAACTTTCCTGCATGTTTTTAAACCACTTTTTAAAATTTGATTTCACTGTATGTTTTGTTCTTCTTCACTGCAGGTCTTCAAATCATCATCGGAATGAACATTTAACAATTGAGACATTTTACCTCATGAAACTGTAATTTACTGAACTGAACAACTACCAGCACAATACCATCATGTGTATATGCTTTATTGAAGCTCTAAAACGCTACTGCTCACCCTGACAAGATGTTCAGATTTTTAAAAGTCTAAGCAATCCTTAATCATGACCTCCTGATTGTGTTTCTGTCTTTGGTTCACACTGAATCAAAGACAGTGTGCACATTGACGTCGTCGCACGGCCCTTTCAGGGGACCCAAATAATTGAAATTCAAACTAAACTGCCCATCCAACAGCCATTTTGTACTATAAAACTCATTGAAAAATAAAAAGCCACATTGGGGGCAGTTGTCGTACTCTTTCGAGCCATTGTGACGTTTGAGGACACGGGCCTTGCTCGGGGGCGCCGCTCATTCCCCAAAGTGTTCCCAGCCTCTTATTTCTGAGAAGAGGGCGTCTCCGGGGCAGGAGGTGTAGTTCACCGCCTGCCTGTGGCCTTGGATGGTGAAGTTGGCAGCCAGCCATCCTCCATCTACCGCACATCGGACTAGACGATGGCGCAGCAGGTCGGCGGCGTGGCGAGACGGCAGGGTGGCGGTGTAGTTACCGATGATGGACACGCCGTACCCGATGGCGTTGTGCCCTCGGGTGTGTCTGCCGAGGTGTTTCCAGCCCCGGCCTTCGTACACGTAGCCGTCGGAGCCGACGACGAAGCTGAGGGTGCAACAATGTTGTTGATGTTGATTAATTTTGTAACGGACATGAAAAGTATTCTTGGGAAAAACACTGCTCATATTAAATGGAGGTAATTGTCACTACTTAATGGAATAGATTAGCCTGATTAGATTAGATAGATTAAGAGTGAGTTAGGCCTGATTTTTTCCACAGCGTCTTCATGCTAAACTATAGGCCGATTACCACCTGCCTCAATCAGTCCTGTAATCTATCACTCTCAGCAAATCAAACAAATACGCCTACTTACAGACTGTCAGACTGTCTGTTACCTGTATCCGATGTCCTCCCAACCACGATCTTCCTGGTGGAAACGCTGCATGGCTCTCATGTCCCGAGAGCAGTTTGGGAAGGTTAGACAGGGTGAGGATGGCTCATAGGTGTGGTGAACATAGAGGAACTGGAGGGGAATGGACAGTGGGATGGGTGTACCCTGGTGGGCTTTAGCCCTCCACTGACAGCGAGGGATGATTTGAGGGCAGTCTGACGGGAGGAGGAGAGAGGATGACGTTATGATACTAAACCCGCCACACACACAAGCTTATGTTTAAGAACTTGGGGTCTAAGATTAAGTTAATATCCGGTCGGGCTCTGGACTCTAATCTAAATAGTTCAGTGTAAATATATGCATTTATTTTCTGTATTTAGTTAAGAAGGACGGATGCTATTAACTCATAGTTTCTTCACAGAAAACACCCACATGCTCCTTTCACAACTGCGAAAATCCACAAAATGTATGTCAGTCAACGCTTTAATAGAAAAATGAAACAATAATTATTTTACCTATCCATCAATCCAGCAGAAAAAGAACAACTCCAGCATTCATTTGGTGTGTTTGTGATGCTAAACCCAATGAGTCCTCTCTTTCAGAGTTACATGGGATTCTTCCCGCTCCAAAGACCGTTTGGTTAACGGTGGATTAACTAATGGATAATGAACATTTCTACCATAGGTTACTTTTTGATCATTCCGTAGCTCACCCCAGTACTTGTGCACAAACGCCTCAAGTCCGTCCTTCACCGCCGTCGCTACTCCAGGGTCGAACGCAATCCACTCTGTCTTCTCTAACTGCCAGACCAATGCTAGCGTCTCCATCACCTGGCTGTGAAGGTCCAGTGGCTCCAGAATGAATCTAGAGATCTCCCTTCGTCTGGGGCTGATGTGGCGTGTCACCGCATCAAGCCCCCGCCCTTCCCGAAGGACGAAACTATAGTATCCTTTCAAAAGGCCACTGAGGGCCGGCGGCTCCTCGGATGCAGGCAGGCTGCCGAGGTCCGTGCCCAGTATGGCTCCGTCCATCCCCCCGTTAATAACAGCATCAGTGGCCAGTGTGGGCGGCCTGGACAGCTTGAACAACTTAGGGTGGTCCACGCTGTCCCAGCACCCGTTGGGCCCCAGTCGAAAAGATGGCGGAAAGTCCTTGAGGCTGAGGAAGGACAGGCCCAGCGTCCTGCCTAAAGTGAGAGCGAAGACACCCTCAGCCGGCGTCCCCTCCGTCCTGGCTTTCAGTCCTGATTCGATTCCCAGCAATAAGGGCGCAAGGGCTACCGTGGTGCCATCTGGAGCCAGAACCACCCCTCGTTCCTCCCCGTAATTGGTCACGAAGTGGTGGATGGCCTTGTCAAAGAAGCTAAAGGACGAGGCGTTGACGATGGCCGTCTCCAAGACCTCAGCATCAGTGAGGTTATTTGAGGCGCCCAAATAATGGATGGTCATTACGTCGTCGTGGCCGGCGGTCCTCCGCAGGGCCCGGACCAGAGACAGGGGGGACAGGCCGTGGTTGGAGTCCTCCACCTGCTCCACGGCTCGTATGAAGCTGTCCATGTTGCGCAGGTGGAAAGCTGAAAGAACATTGCAGTACGACAACGACTCAGTGAAGGAACTCCGACTTCCTACCCCCCTCCTACAATTATAATTTCTCGAACAAAAAAGTTGAGTTGGTAAATTTGTTTCACAGGTAATGAATAAAAGAGTCAAGGCATATACATTTGAGGTAATGTACCCAAGTTTCAACATCTATGCCCTTGAATTATATTAAATAAACACAAATATTTTAGATGATGCTGCGTGTTCTCAGACATCCATAACAAAAGTGATAACTCCATGAGTCTCAGCACATTCTACAACAGGCTGATATAAATCACACCAAGAAACAGACATACAAACGCCCTCCTCTCCCTTTCTAGATATATATATATATATATATCTACCTGAAGCAGAAATTAACAAAATAACTGCTATACTTTTTTTTTTTACATCCTACACCTTTATATCAAGTTCTGGTTCCCGTTAGGAAAACATTTTAGTTTGGCTTAAAATGACCTTTGTCATGCCGCCATTTCTTCTTCGGACAGTGTCACAAGGACACAACCATAGAAATAGAATGGAAATAAAAATAATTATTAATTCATTTATTAAGTAATTCTCCACAATAAAAGTACTTTCTTGAATGAAAGATTACAGATTTCAAGGAAGTAGTGAACCACAACACGACAGCGTGTTCAGAAGGCATACACTTATCAGCATACCAAAAATAAACCATTGTGCATAATAATTACATAGTTACATAAATGTTGACATATTTTAAGTAATGGAACCTACCTCTCGGGCTGCTATAGACAGTAAAGAAGTAGCATGAAGCCAGAACAAAAAACAACAGTCCAAATAAAGTCATGTTGCATCTCGTGCTTGTTGCCTGTTCAAAGCGAAATGATTAAGGTTCCTCCCGACTATTGGAAGAAAGCTGAAAAGCACAGCTGTGCTCCAAAAGAACCTCCGGGAAGAGTTGTAGGTGTATTTGTGTACGTGTACGCATGACTGGAGTGTTGTCTCCTGATAGGGGAATGTACCCTTTGTACACTGATGTCTACAAATATTGATTCAGAAGTCTGTGCCATGAGCAAAACAAAGTTGTGGCCCCACAAGTTACAAATAAGTGCTTTTTCTAACTTTATTTGGGTGGTTTACATTTTCACTGTCATACAACCTCTTTCAGCTTCTTTTGTAACATAATATGTAGCGAACGGGTTCACCGTCTGCTTGGTAGTCTTCCCTGAATGGCGGGAGGTAAAAAAGGATCTCAGTCCCTAAACCCCAGGCCTACTAGTCTCAAGCCTAACCTGCCGATGTGTAGTGAATAGTTTCGGCCCTAGGATTTGTAAATGTCACGATGGTGACCTAAGGGACAAAATACAGGCATCAGCGTTTATATGTGCAACTTACCCGATATTTTCCTCTACTACCATATACTGACAGAGGATGAGACGCCCCTACTTCAGAGAAGCCTAAAGAACTGCACAGTATCAGCACATCATTTGAACAATGAAAATCAATAATGATTTATTAATCTAATTGCACAAAGAAAAATAAACAAACAAATACAAAGTATATAGGAAGGTGTTGGTTACCCTAAATCCAACGTGATCTCCAAAACCTGTTCGTAAAAATGTATACGAAAATCTTGAACATACAAATTCGTAACAATACATACGAACTGCGGGGGTTAACCACGCCCCTTGAGTAAACCATGACGGATTCTTGAGTGAACGTCTCTCCGCCATGTTGGATTTTTTGAGGGGGTTAGGGTTAGTATTCTATTCTTACAAGTTAACATTGATTTCTCGTTAAAAATGCAATCATAACACGTTTATTTTAGACTTCACAAAGTGTGTTTACGGGGTGCAGGTCCCCGTTCACTTTGAATAGGGTGACATCATCAGTTGCAGTCCGTATTTATTTCGTATGTATCACTACGAATTTGTATGTTCAAGATTTTTTTACGAACAGGTTTTGGAGATCAGGCTGCCTAAATCACTCTTCACGGTTGCAGTTGTAGATTGAATAATATAGTTTCATCACAGGAAGACATGACAGGAAATTAACAGCAGTGACCAAAGACAGTACACAATAAATGTCACTGACCAGTGTCCCCACACTCAGTAATTGCTTTAAACAGAAAAATGCTTCATTCTAAACAATAAGAAAAATACCTTATTTCCAGTGGAAATGTCCAACAGCCTTACGGCTTAGTCCAGAGCAAAAATCCTCAAATTCTGTTCTCTGAGTCCACAAATTATCAAATGAAATAGGCTAGCCAAAAAAGTTTCTTGGTTCTAGCTGGTAGCAACGAAAAATCAATCCAATCCAGAGTTATACTTCTCTGTAGCTTGCTGCTAAATAGCACAAAGTTGGGCTACTTCACCTTAAGTCTACCTTTAGTCCGCACTCGTTATCGGGAGCCCTGGACTCGTCTCTGGGTGGCAGGGAACCGTCAATCTCCGCGGCGGCAAAGATGAAAGGGACCGCGAACACAACTCCCGCGATTCCGACTTCTATGGAATGCCGTTTTAGTCAAAATTAAATAAATGAATAAATACATAAATACATGAAATATGCATTTGAAATACATCATGAAATCAATAAATGAGGCAATAAATACATAAATATTAAATACATTTAATTATTTCATGGTACTTTTATTTCATAATGCCACTTTTCATTTCATGGTACTTTTATTTCATAATGCCACGTTTCATTTCCAGAGTCTTTTATTTCATAATGCCGTTTTTTATTTCCAGAGACAGACAACGATGATGCAATGAACGCTATCTGCATTCAACTAGTTTGAATATTAGAAAGTATTTATAACTCATCATTTACATGAATTTTTTTTTAGCTCAAATCTTTGCAAAGGTTGCTTTCCCATAGTTTATTATTTTGATAACAAGAACAACTTAAACGTTTTTAATTGGCATCGGGATTTGTACTAAATACAGAACATTGAAAATGGCAATCGCATCCATTCAAGGAGAATATACACATTTGAGTTTAAAAGTCTGTAATTTGAATAAATACAAATTGTTCGGCTGCATAGTGAGACACACCTTGCACGGACCTCAACCCGCACGCTGCTAAACCGCGCTTTAAACTGTGCTTTAAACTGTGCTTTAACGTCGAATCAGTGGCGTGCGGAAAGGTGTGGGCGGAGCTACGCGGTCACGTGGAGTCGGTCACATGACCGGTAGAAACAGGAAGAAAGCCGTTCTGCTCGGGCTGCCGTGAGAGCGCTCGGTAAAGTGAAAACACGGGCTACTCTCAACCGTAGCTGCAGCTTTATTAAAAGGACATGGCTGCGACAAAACACGAGGACTTCACGGGTAATGTAAAGCCGACATTTAACTTTTACTGTCAGCTACAGGGTAATACGCGTCTCGTCCTTTTTATTATGTGTCTTAGCTTCGTTGCTTCTCTCCGGAATATCGTCTAGTTTTAGAGCTGCGTTGTGGAGCCTCAATTGTTGTTGTTGTTGAGACCTCCACAACAACGAGGTCACCTTAAGGTGTTTGCTATCTGTGTTCCTCTGACCAGCTGAGACGCTCAAGTCATTTTCATGAAGTGTGTTTTTCCCGAACAGTCATCATCATGTGTTCACTAAGATGACTTCATGATTATCTGTAATCCCCGTTGTTTCGTGTCTTCATACAGAAAGCCGCATCTTTAGGGACAACAACGGATCATCCTTTAGATCTCCATACTGGACACTACAACACACCAATAAGAGACATTGTTGTGTTCTTAGTAACTTCAGGAAACACTCAACTACAAGTATTGCGTTTTAACTCGATTGTTTGTTTAACGGGACCTTATAGAAAGAGACCATTTGTTGACTAATAATTTGGTCGATTGTCCGAAAATGTTTCATGATTATGGCGATGAATTAATGACATCACATCGGATTCCTTAAACCTTTATCAAGTCATCAATCGAAGTTGTGGGTTTTACCTTCAACTATGTACAGGTAATAGAATACCTTTGAATTAAATGCGTTGACTTAAGATAAATACTCATGTGGAATAGTATTTCACACAGGGTGTGACGTGCTTGTAGTAACCGTTGGTATTATTGGTCTTTTAGTATTAAGGACCCAGATGCTGCATCACCAACTCCCACCGCCCTCACTTTCAGTCTAGTCTGGAAGTCTACATCCAAACAGCCCGACTCCTTCCTGCACGATTATCCTTCCAATGCCGCTTCATAAGCCCGTCTCACGCGTGGTTGAGTCTACAGTTTTTTGGGGAGCTTGTTACATTACATTACATTACATGTCATTTAGCTGACGCTTTTATCCAAAGCGACGTACAATAAGTGCATTCAACCATAGGGTACAAACTCAGGAGAACAAGAAACAAGAAAGTGCAATTTCCTCAAATAAGCCAATTTACAATTTGCTATAGATGAGTGACGTTACAAGTTCAATTTAAGTGCTACAATTGTTGATGCGGGTCGGGTGAAGTACGCCTCCACGGACGTTACTTGGGTTTGAATGGAAGCTGTTGACAGCGTCTTGCTGGGATCCTGAGTCACAGACAGACAGACTTCGGTCTAGTGATTTTGACAGCACTCCGCGCGCCGCCGTGAACCGGGAGAGCCAGATATTTATGCAGATTTCTTCAGCTTGATTCAAATCTGGCACCAAGGTCAATGGACTGATCCCACCTTGGCTTGTCAGATCTGCCGTGACAGTTGATGCGCTCAAAGATCCGCGTGAAGTCGAGCCTATTGTCTGCACGATAAGTAAAGTCGGATTCTTTCACCAAGGTTGCTCATCTGGCTTAAAGGATACGTGTGGACGAGCTAAATCAGTACTTCATGGCCTCCTAGTTTTAATCTTTGAATTGATACAACTATATTTTGTGGCTCCAGAGGGAGCTGGTCAAAATCTGATAAATGGTCTCATGTGAGTCCAGAGTAGACTAGAAGTTTAGAAAGTCTGTTGCGGGCAAATAAAAATTACAGTATCTTTGGTTCTGCTGCGTCACATTTTGACCCGTTCACCACAGCTGTTCATCCTGTCTGATGATGTTATTCTAGTTCAATGCGAGATGAGTGCAGTCGTCCTCCAAGCTGGGTTGGGAATGCCACGTCTGCATTTAGCTGAATACAAGTTCCCGTTCTTTCTCTCTCTACAGATTGGAAACATAGGATTGGAACCTGCAATACATCGACTAACTGTACTAATAACGCACACCAGAAGATAAGCTTCCTGTGCAATCAAATGTGTGCGTGGTACATTAATAGAGCAATGGTGTGAAGCACAACAACGGTTTCAGTTCCAGTAAATGCTCATAGCACATCGGGTGTGTTCGTAGTTTTATTGCGGTGCCAAAGCGGGAGAAAAGGATGACTGGCCTTTTCAGTTGTGCCAGTCCTTAATGCGTGTGGTTGACCTTTCCTCCTGTAGGCGTTTGGAGCCGACTAACACTGAGACCAGTACGTTACTCCCCGGTTTCACTTCTCCTTCCCATTAGAAAACTCTGCTATGCCGGCGCGTTGTGACTGCTGAGTTTGGGTCTTTCCCCCACCAGCAGTTCATCTGATCGAGCACGTTCCCAGACCCGGCCAGCTAAAAGCATGTGACAAGTATTATGCACGCTTCGCCTCACGCATCTGTGTCTTTCCTGCGATGTGGCGTTGTGTTCAACCACACTCTGCTCTTTGTAGTCAGGTTAGATGAATTAAACCATATTCAATCAGGTGGTTTTACTGAGAAGGAGATCTCATTTCTTTTAAGGAAGAAATCCACTTAGTTTTCTGTTCAGAGTACTCCACAATAGTATAATAGTAGTAATACCATTTATGCCTTAATATTCCTGCATGCATGGAAGATAAACATCACAAGATCATTTTTTGCGTCCATTTTTTGCCTTTTTTTCCCTCACTTCAATCTCAAACTGCATTAATAACAATAATAAAAAACATTAAATAAAATCCTTTAAGCACACTTTTGAAGTAGCGCTGGAATGTGATCCTTTGCTTTCTACGGACCTGATATCGTTTGATATAAATGACTTATTTAAATCAGACACCACAGTGATGTGATTTCACATGGGAGTGCGTCGAAAGTGTTGTCTTATTAATCAGTGGCCAATTAGTCTTTTCTTCTCACTCAGAGGAATGTTGTGGTTCGAGTGCTGGTTGGCAGTGTTTCCACGGTCGTCCCTAAAGAATGTGCTGTCTTTATTCCGTGTAACCTCACACCTACATTTCTGTGCACATGTCAAACTTAATCAGGCAGACTGAGATTTTGACAGCAATCTGCTTCACGTCTGTCATCCGTATTCTACACTTTGTCTGTTTTGGTGCACCACCCTTTGCTTCCATTAGTTCTTGTTGCTCCGGGGTTAAATGACATGCGTGCCGTCAGTTGAGCGCATCCGGCAAAGAAACAGAGTTATTTTGAGACAGACAAGTCCGACGAAGATGGAACACACGCGTGAGGCAGATGCTGTCAGGGAAAAGTCAGAACCACTGAGTCAACAGTTGGCATGAACAGAATGGGATTTATCCCAAGTAGGTTGATAACACACGAGGAAATGTGGCAGTTCTTACATTCACTGCTGCACAATAAGGACTCTTGTCCTGTTGCCTGCCATGGACATTGGATTTGAAATGGCCTTGACTCCTATTTAGTGTTACAGCCTTGTGACGCTGCTCGCGTGAGTCACGCATCATATACTCAGTGTATTATTGCAGCCACATGGCACTTCTGCGTGCTAATATTTGCTAATTAGCAAACAAAAAACAGTGGCGGCGCTTTTCCACACACACACACACACACACACACAGTATTAACTAACAATTAGTTGCGGTTGGTTGTTTAGGCCGTTGCTTATTGACGGAATTACTCCATTACCTAATCATCTAAACTGAACTTATGTTGTGTTTTAAGAAATGTTTTTTGAAATCATTAAAGCCCAATGACAGTCGGACGCTTTTAGGTTTCCGTCCGTTCAGCGTCTTTTTCAAACGCCCTGATTGATTGTTCTCGCTTTTTATTTCGATCTCTGCAAAGATACTGCAAAACTAAATGTTCCGTATTTGTTTTTCCTTTAGAACGACAAAGTCTGTCCAACTCCGTGACTGACTACGGCTCCACAGACAGCGTCAACCGCTCAGACAACAACCACGACAACCACGGGTTTCCCACGGCAATGGCGGGTCATTGGGTCGGGGCTGACCGGGAAGAGGAGGCCATACGTAGGAAGTTGAAATACTTCTTCATGAGCCCGTGTGATAAATATCACGCCAAGGGCCGCAAGCCTTACAAGCTGATCCTGCAGATGCTCAAGATCATCATTGTCACGGCTCAGGTGCGTCTTGTTTTTCATTTGCAGTTTGTCTATTTTAAGGTGAATAATAAAGCAATAAGGTACGAGAGGCTGTACTTTATCATCCAATAATGTAACAGTTCGGGGGTGTTGGGGGCAAACCTCAAACAGTTACATTATTAAAGATAAAGTACTGCCTCAAGTTCCTTATTGCTTTTATAATACGGTTACCAGCGAAATTATAAACCGATAGTAAATAGCTGCCTTTCAGCACCAAATAGTTGTAGCCACCAAAGGTTGCGTATCACATTTCAGTAGTCCAGAGAAAAATAGTCCCCGTACGTGCGTGTAAACAGCATTGGGTCTCTCTGCAAGATCTCGCACCATCTCATTCATGCACATCGCTGATGACGTCCACCTTAATTGTCCGGTTGCGAAAGATCGCATTGCCTGAAACTGATCATTTGTGGGATTTATGGGTCTTATTTCAGCAATTGCGACCGAGCTAAAAGCTAAAATATCGCGCAAAAGCTAACCTGTTACCCATAGAAGCCTCTGGTCAATGTGAACAGCAACTGTACATTATCGCCCAATAATTTACCCCCTGTGACTCACTCTCAACCAATCAGAACGCTGGATTTCATGTACCCGTATTATAAAAATATTTAGTCGATATCGGATCAACCAACCAAGATCTCATCAGTTTGTCATTGTAACAAAATATAGAGCTTCCAGAGCTGCTAAGATAAAGTAAAAATAACACGGGCACTTATGTGCAAAATAAAGGTATTTACAGGTAAACTTTTTTTGTGCCTTTTCCAGTAAACTGAAATTATATAACTTTTTAAAATACAGTTTTAAATTGTGTGGTGACGTGGAAGAGGCTGCACTCTTTCTGTGGTCGAAAGCGTGTGCATGCATCCCTTTTCTTATCTGTCAGTGAACAGCTGTATTCATCTATTTTTTTCCTGTGTGAGACCTGTAAGTATGAAAGTGTGCAAAAAACAAACAACGGGATCTTCTTGATCCAGTGGATGAAGCTAGAAAATTAGGGGTGTAATGATTCATTTAACAACGATTTGATTCAAATTGCGATTCATGGTTGCCTGCACTGTCCATATTGGACAGTGCAGGCAACCATGTCCTTTTATTTGAATCAAGTGCCATTTTCAATGTAAACATTACTCAATAATTACACAATGTTTGGATCAATTCACAGAACCCCGGATTTTCAACCACATTGTAGGGTCGCATGTCTTTACAGATAAACTTGGCAATTGTTACTGTGATGTTGAGTTTGGTGCTGGCGAGGCCTGAGGTGTCTGCAGAGCTGGAGTTACCTGCTGCTGCTGCTGCAGCGGTGACGCTGCTAGAGGTCCTGACTGTCGGCGTTGTTTTTTCCCACAGCGCCTTAGTAGATGGCCGGAAAGATTCGTTGTGTTTCCGTGGTTTTTTAATTTGGCTTCTACATATTCTACAAACAGCGACCGACTTATTTAGAACACCTCCGTGTTTGCAAAGGCCAAAATGTTTCCACACGCTGGATCGATAAGTTGGTTTGTAAATGTCTCGCTCGCAGTCGTCTCCTCCACGCTGTGTTTTGTTGTTGTTCAGAGTTTCGCTCGGCTGCCGCTGCGTACTGATGACGTCTGTGTGATGCTTCTCATCAACCAACTCGGGGGGGATTGGAGATCCTGACACGTCACAGACAGGCAGACTGAATAGAGTAACGTTTAACGTGTCTAAAGTGCTAAAAAACAAACAAACAAACACACATCCATACAGTTTTTGTACTTAAATCCAATGTTCAGTTTCCAAGTATTGATTTGTAATCGATATATGTCGTCCGGAATGCCGATTTGCGGAGCACAGATCGATTCAGTTAGATCGCAGGAATATAAATCGATTAATCGATTCAGTGAATGAATCGTTACACCCCAATACAAAACGCAGAGTCTGGAGCCTCGGTGCACTCGTTTTCTTTCTTTTATGCCTCACTGTCGCTTCTCTCTCTGTTGCAGTTGGTGCTGTTTGGCCTCAGTAACCAGGTGGTGGTGACCTTCAAGGAGGAGAACACTGTGACCTTCAGACACCTCTTCCTCAAAGACTACGATGAGTCCTCCTACGACTCCTATGCTGTTTACACGCAGGAGGACGTCTACGAACACCTGTTCTACGCCGTGGAGAAGGTCAGCCCCGAGCCATCTATCGATGAGGTTTAAAATGCAGCCGTAAAAAGTTAACTCTCCTCCCATCCACCTCTCCAAAGTACCTGGTGTTACCAGAGACCACAGTGGGACGCTACGCATACGTCTACGGTGACAACGGCAGCGCGCTCTCCCTCTGCCAACAGTACTACAAGAAGGGAAGCATCGACCCGGCCAATGACACCTTCAGCATAGACCCTCACATCAGGACAGGTACGTGGACGTCGCTGCACAAGGCGAAGGGGACGTTGCGGCTAACGGTGATGGAAGGTCTCTGTCTCTGTGATAAAAGAATCAACTGTTAACATTTATCGGTACGAGATGCTTCCTGGGTACAAAGAAATCCATCCGAGTGGGATCACGAGCATTTACATGGCAATTTCCACTGCACTTCATCTGTTGTGGAGCACCTCATCTGGTAGTTATGAGGCAGCGAGTCACAACTATGAGACAGAGGGTGTTATTACGTGGTAACGACAACAATCATTGCCTTTTGGTGAGTGCAGTGCTCTCCTGTAGATTACACCTCTTGCACCATGTTTTGATATTTTATATACTTTTTTAACATCATAGGTTTTTACATTTACATGGCTGCTTTTTTTCACATGTTTTTGTTCTATTATGGTATTTGATGTCAATTTACCTTTTAGTTTCCTTTTTCCTACTTCCTCATACAAGTTTGTTCATAAGCACACTTTGGCCAAATTCAGGAAGTAAGAACAGTGGAAACAAAGTCATGTTAAAATATCAAATGTTTGAAAAGATTCCATACAGCCAAATGCCAGTTGAAAAGGGAGAAGATTTTTTTTTTCTTCCTTATTTTCTCTCCAACTTCAATATTCACTCAACACAACTGTTCCCTGTCTGATCTCCACTGATGGCAGAGTGTGTTGGCGTGGACCCGCCGGCGGTCCCTCATCCTCCACTCACCAGCTACAGGAACTTCACTCTCAAGTTCCACAAGTAAGGCTTCGTTTTGTCATTTGGCTTTCTCCTCGTCTGGCCTCAATGGGATAGAATCCCCTCTTTGATATCTGGAGACGGCCGTACACAAGCCGCTCAAGCAAGAAAACAAAGAACAATGACACACTGGCCTTACCAAAAGAACACCCACACACACACAGGAATGTAATCTTACTTCTGAATCACAGATTGTTGGTTTTCTCTTTCCTTAAGGCTTGTTAACGTCACCATAGAGTTCAAGTTGAAGGCGATCAATATACAGACCATCATCAACAACGAGATCCCGGATTGCTACACTTTCCACATAACGGTGAGTGGAGGTCTTTAAGGCAGAGACCCCTGCACTGCTGAAGAGCTTGTACCGGGGATATCCAGGGGCCATGATGTTCAGGCAATAATACATACGATGAGGTTTGGTTTAATCGCTCGAGAAGGAGTATTGTATTTCACGTCTAATTCCACATGAAAAAAAATATCTTCTGGTTTAAAGGGATCGGAGCAGTTTGACTCCATGTTTTATCCATGTTCATATTTAGTGTGGAAAAGTACAATTAACAGAATTTATGACTTTGCATGTTCTGACTATAAGATCCATACCCAGGATGTTTGTGAGACGTCACAGACCAAACTCAAATAGGTTTCACAAAATTGCACATTTCATTTAGTGCTTCAACTGTTCAATTATAGTTTTTGTACATAGCATCTCGCTACATATTGGTCTTTGATCAGCCTGCGGGCCGAATCCGGCCTACTGGTTACCGCTACAGCTCGTAATTATTATTATTCGGGCAAACTGCTGGAGCAGGAGACTGAAAAGTTGAGCCGCCCCCGTCAGAAAGCAACAATTAATCTCTGACATTTCCGTGGTTGTGGCGTGTTCGCTGGTCGCTTCTCTCCTGCAGATAGTCCTGGACAACAAGGCTCACAGCGGCATGGTGAAGATCCGCTTAGAAAACGAGGCTTCCATAAAAGAGTGTAAAGACCCCAGCGTCTCTGGACACGGTGAGACGACTGAGTCACAAATACACCACCGCCAGTAGTCGTGATGTACCGCTACTCACAGCTCTTCTTCCTCCCTCCACCTAAAACCGTCAGCGGAGAGCTACACGCGTCTGGCCTTCGACGTCGCCGTGGCGCTGGTGTGCGCGCTGTCACTGCTGCTGTGCGGACGCTCCATTCTACGAGGCATCACGCTGCAGCTGGTACGTCCGCCACATCTCGGACTGATTTAAACACAAATGTCCGGTCGGTGCGCACCGCCCCGGAGACACGCGGGGCCTCGCTCCGCCAGCTGATTCCTCTCCATGTTGCCTCCGCGTGTGCATCAGGAGTTCGTGCAGTTCTTCAGGGAGACCTTGGATCGAAAGGTGTGCTGGGCGGACCGGATGGAGTTCATCAACGGGTGGTACATCCTCCTCATCGTCAGCGACATCTTCACCATCACCGGCAGCGTCATCAAAGTGGGCATCGAGTCCAAGGTGCGGCCCCGCTGCGCAGTGACACCCGCCACCGCTGAACTTCCTCCCCGCAGTGGGCGCCGTCTTTCAACGTGTCTGTCCTTGTCTCCCGACAGAACATGTCCTCGTATGACTTGTGCGGCATCCTGTTGGGGACCTCCACGCTCTTGGTGTGGGTCGGAGTGATTCGCTACCTCACGTTCTTCCAGAAGTACAATGTAAGACCCAGAAAGCGATGATGTGCACCGGCTGGTTGTGTTGTTAGGTACCGTGTTTGATTCCGTAATGAGGCGGAGCCGCGAGGGTTTGATGTGACGTTGTCAATCCTGTGAATCCAGCACACTGAAGTCCGCCTCCTCCCGTAGATCCTCATCGTGACGCTCCGAGCGGCGTTCCCCAACGTGATTCGGTTCTGCTGCTGCGTGGCCGTCATCTATCTGGGCTACTGCTTCTGCGGCTGGATCGTCCTGGGGCCGTACCACGTCAAGGTGAACGCCACTCCAACTCTCAAACTTGCTGCCACATGTGGAGCAGTAACCGCTGGACCTTCGGTCTGCAGAGGCCTGACCACTGTCGCTTTGTGTCCCTCAGTTCCGTTCTCTGTCCATGGTGTCCGAGTGCCTCTTCTCCCTCATCAACGGGGACGACATGTTCGTGACGTTCGCGGGGATGCAGGAGACCAGCACTCTGGTGTGGCTGTTCAGCCAGGTGTACCTGTACACCTTCATCTCCCTCTTCATCTACATGGTGCTGTCGCTGTTCATCGCGCTCATCACAGGCGCCTACGAGACCATCAAGGTAGGAAATGACCTTCAGGACCGCCAGAGTAGATAAAAACACAGGAGGAAAACCCAATGGAGAATAACATAAATGTACACTTGTTGGCTTCCACAGCACCAGACACAAGAAGCCCACCACATCACAGACCTGCATGCCTTCATAGCCGAGTGCACGGACGCACCCAGCTCTGGGAAGTTCAGAGGTCTGGAGACGTCGCCGTGCTCCTTCTTCTGCTGCTGTGACAGGTGAGGGGGAGATCCATGAAGATTAAATGATTCGTAATATATTGATTTATATTGGAACAATTATGTGTATTCAAACAGTTCAGCAGGTGATGAATTCCTGTTGAGAACCGTTTGGAGGCAGTTCTTCCTTCGTGGATATGCTCTGAATTTTGAGTCTAGCAATGTGACCATTACATAAAATGAGGATGTGACACGTGGCGCCTTCCTTTGATTTCCCCCTAGAACGACGACATACGAGGACGTCCTGCTGGTGAACTGACGTCGACCTCAGAAGCCTCACCGCCGACTCCCCTGCTGTCCACATCGGTACACTGCACACGGCTCATTGTCTCCGAACCTGCACACTGCGTCTCAGGTCAAACCTCATCAGCAGCCACCATCAGATGGACCAGCCGTCTGTGGAAGGACTGTGTGACAATCGCCTCCTCATTGGACCTCGTGTCTGTCCTGCCCGTGAAGAAGACAGGACAGGACTGCGCAGCATCGTGGATGACCAGTGCCCATGAAGTTCTCCGTTTCTTGTTGGTTTTTTAAAGAAAACCCGTTCCTGATGTATTTAATGCTGAAACGGCAGCGCAGCCTATTAATAAGTTGCTGACTGTTTTCATTTTTGTGTGTTTTTTTATTATTCTAATAGTATTTTAAAATGGGTCACCTCCTGAGGAACAGGCACTTTACGTCCCACTAAAGAACTTTGGAATCCTACCACTCCACAACGGGACACGTAAGAGGGGGGAATCCACCTCGTCGTAGTCCCGTCTTTTTTGAGACCGTCGAGAAGATTGCTTCCTTCAGAAGAACCGTCGGAAAACACGACCACAGGCAGACGTGTTTCAGATTAGCTTTCCTCTCCGCTGAGCTGCTGCGTCAGTATAAAGTTTCAATCTTTAGTGGCGCTTCTACCGCACGAGCATCACGCTGCCTTGTGGATGTGAACATTAGTGTGCCGCTGTGACCGATTGTGCGCGATACCTTTTGCGTTGTCTACGTAACGATCGGTATGATGTCGCTAATGAAGCACACAACATCGCCTGCGTTCGCTGATCTCCCTGAATCCCCTGACGGGTTTCAGGGAAGATGCTGCCAGAAACATGTTGGCATCTCCTTATTAATGTTGTGTCAAACTGAGTCATGCTTTTTAGTCTGTTTGTTTTATTTGTTGTCTCTATTGCAGTGACTTGATCTTCAGTAGAAGCGTGAATCTCTGTTTGTCTTTGTAACGCACAAAACGCACAATATCCGAAAGTAGTTTCTTACGTGCTCCCGGCAGTAACAAGTTACTACATGATGGTATTTTTTTTTTTGTCATCTTAAATTGTATGATAAATCTGCATTGCGACTTTTAAGCTAAATATGCTGTTGGGTTTTGGATCCATGGAAAACGTGCCAAAACCCGTCATCGGCCTTAACTTATATTTTAATGTCAGGCATGTAGGTTTGATCTAGTATTAGATAGATGTATCTTTCCTACAGTTTCATGTTTTTGTCAAACAAATGATCTGCATTTCAAAGAAATGTAAACTGAATTGATATACTTGGTGTCATTTGTATCGCCGATCTACTGATTTAAATTTTCCAGATCATCTTTGATAATAAAACATTGTTGTATTTAATTTTGTGTCATGGAACCATAGTTTGTCAACGTCTGCTGATTATCATGTGTAACCGGATTTTGATTTATATCATAATCAATTTATTTTTGGGTGCCGGCTGGCCAACAGAACCAATTTAGTTTACAATGAACCAAAGGGGAAATGTAGTGACCTCTCTGATATACATATGCGTAAAGGATTAACTTCGATCCTTATGCCAAGTAATAAACAAGCTACTAAATCGGTTCGTTTGAAAATCACACATCAAAGAAGGGATTTGAATGTTTAGTCATTATTTAATTATTTACTTGGCTTCCGGTGCAGTTCCTCTGATTGCCAGAAGAGGAAGATCATGTGTCTGGATGCTGATCCATGCAACATTGTACTATATCGCAATAAATACTCGTCCATCTTTCTAGGTTTTAAACTGATCCCGTATTCTCGACTTTAGGCAAATGAATCCTTTGAATGTGACACAGCTGCTGTGAGCGCCCTGGGCGTTTCAATTGAGAAGCTGCAGCACAGAAGCTCTCAGGGAAAGCAAATCTGGACCTTTTTGTTTCCCCAGAACGGTCCAATATGATGAGGTCATTTCCTGCCTATTGAACTTGGCATCGCTGCCTCCTGCCCACTTAGCCTCACATCCCCATTCATTATGCACTGCTCTAACCACGCCTTGGTGCTCTTTGTGAGACTGGGGGAAAGGGAGGCAAATATTTTCATGGTCGAAACATCTTTCATTCATTTTTTCTCTGAACAAAGGATTGTCATGAAGCATTGTTGTATCTCACAATGGAAGCTGTGCATGTGCATCTTTAACGCGGTACCTTTGATGCACAGTGGTTGCATCGGGGAATGTCTGGCTCCATAAACTGCTGGTCCATCATTTGTTGTTTCAGTGTATCGGTGCCAGGTGTGTCGTCAGTTTGATCTCAGCTTGAATAGAAATCAGGTCACTTGTGGCTCTCTGTTTGAAGTCCGGGGTTTTAATATTAACAAAACAGCACAGCAGCAGTTTCCCTTTCCTGCTTTACAACTTTTCTTCTGAGTCCCCGATTCAAGTGTTTGGCATCTCGCTCTGTGTGTGTCGGCCTGCGGAGTGTGTCTCGTGACGCGGGCAGCATGCGCAGCAGAGCTGTGATATACTGATCACACAAAAAGAACAGATTTAAGTGTGTACATAAAAGCTCTATTGTATTTCCGTTTAGTGCTGAGACACACCCTTGTGCAACAACATTATGCGGCTAACTGAAATGGATGGGCAGGATGCAAAGGGCATTTAGTAACATTTTCAACTGTGTGATTCAATGATGGACGCCATTAGTGCTGAGTGGGCTGTAGTCAAATAAAAGAAGGAGCCTGTGAAATGGTTCACTGGTGGATCGACACTCTTCCTGTGGCAAGAACCTGGTTTCTGGTTTGCAGTAAAGTCGAGTCTTTTGCAAAAGTTACTGTATTTTCCTGTATATTTTAGATTAGTAACAGCAAATCCTCTTTAGTATCGAGGCTGCTCACTGACACTGAGTTTAAGTTGGAGACTTAGTGAAATTTTGAGGAGAGTTTTTGGGTTCCCCGCCCCGCTCTGGGGATTGGAAAGGCTGACAGGCTGCTGATGAAACAGCTGCCTAAGTCCTGCAAGGAGCAGAAGATCTGAGACATCACTCTCTCTCTCTCACACACACACACACACACACACACACGGACACACACTTCTAAAGCACACTAAAGAATGTGTTCGCTGACGAGTCCGCGGTTGATGGTTTATTTTTTTCTTCATTCTTTCCTTCATACAGTTTTAAACTTCTCTTCGCCACCAGGCTTTTCTCTCTCCTAAATATCTCCATTTCTTTTCCTCGTCGCTGAGCTTACGAGAGAAAACAACAGCTAATGTCAGACGCCTTCAGCTATTCACTCTTTTTTTCTCTGTGTGAGTCGAAATAGTCTTTGTGTGTCTTGTCCCTTTTCATTCATTTCCATTGTGTAGCCTGCAGCTGCAGCAAAAAAAAAAAATCAAGCATTCAAGTCTCAGCTATTGTGGGTTTGTACCAAAGGGACGTGGACACAGTGCTGAACTACAAGCACAGAGAAGGAAACCTCTGTTAGAATTGGTTGAATTCAGTCGTACTATGACTATCACAATCTTAAGAAACTAAAAACCCTTCAGTGAAAGGAAAAATAATACTAATCATGCAAAGTGGTGTGTCAAATTGACTTTAAAGCACGGAGAATAAACACCTGAGGGGAAAAAAGGCAAAGAGGGGTGTTAGTGCTATATTTTTCTTATTAACCTGATGCCCAGTGAGGTTTCATTGCTCCTTTGACTTTTCCTTGTCACTTAGTGCAGAATGAGAGAGAATCACACACTTGACCCTTTGGAACTGATGGCGACCCAACAGTCATTGCGATTACTTCAACAAATACAAATAATTATTGATTTCCATGTACTTTAGGTCATAATGATACAAATTAAAAGTAGCTTTACAAGGAAACCACTAAAACAAAGACTAAATACTAATGCAGGCAAAAATGCATAATGGCAAATTCCAAAACTCCAAAAACATTGAGGACATTGGTGCTTGAATTGTGTTCCCAATTCTATGGAGATACAACAGTAGATTGCTGGAATCCACCGTCCACCTCTTTTTGCTGGTTTGCTGTTATTTTGACTGTTCTTAAGAAGCTAAATTATTTAGGGTCTATTTATATTTAAAGATACCAGATTGTAACCACGCGTTCTACTTTGTGTTTTGGATGAGACCCACAATGAAAACAAAGCTGCACATCTATTTAAAAAATAGAAGTCACTTTTCTCAGTTTCTCTCTTTTTTTTTGCAACACGTGAGTAATCTTGAGTAATCTTTCAGCACCTCCGGGCCCAAACCCTGCCTCTCCGTCCCCTCCAGACCCTCCCCCACTCCTCCCCCCTCCACCCACCACCCACCCTTCATGAAGGGGAGCAGCCTGCCGCCCTCCAGACGCGCAGGGAAGGGCACGGAGAGGGACGCGCAACGGGCGTTTCATTCATTCATTCACGGCCCCGTCGACGCGCTGAACGCATTCGCACCGCGGCGCCGCACCGACGGAGAGCGACTCGTTTCCCGCGAGGCCCGAGGAGCTCCGCCCGCTGCAGCCAGGTGCGTGTCGCCGCAGCGACGGTTCATCTCCCAGTACACGGCAGCGCGCCCCGCGGTCCTTTGTGCCGCTTTAACCGTAACGCTGCCTCGTAAATGAGTCTTTTTAAGGGGCGTTTTTGTTGTTTGGGGGGGACGAAGAGTCCACGAGTCGTTACGGTTTGTTCCGACGCCTTTGTGGCGAGACGTGATGATAGACGTGTCACGTTAGCATGGCGCTCATAGCTTCTCCCCACGGTGCTCGCTGGTACCGGACTCGGCCGACCCAGTCTTGGTCGCACGTGGTTCCGTCGCATTGTGTGTGTGTCTGTGTGTGTGTGTGTGTGTGTGTGTGTGTGTGTGCGCGTGTGTATTGTTCCGTGGGGCTACGCGGGGCCTCGCGCTCCACCGGGAGAATCCAGCGTGCTCGTTGTCGGAGACGAGCGGAGCTGTTGAAGCTCCACATGGGGGTAAAAGAAAACCCGCAGCGGGGTCAGGGGACCGCCTTTGGGTCCTCGAACAGGGGCCCGAACCGCACGAGAAACGGTTTAATAATGTTGGACGTGTTCGTATTATTTGTGTCGTGGGGCAAACAATGTACATGAAGCATCCGGTGTGTTTGACAGGAACCCCCACCTGGCCTTTTCGAAGGGTTTTTTCCTGCTTTTATTTGGGTTCCCAAAGTACAAGTAGAAACATCTTTGTTTATCATGTGAGATTGGCGGGGGGTGCTGATGCTGTAACCTCCTTAATAAACCAGCAGCATCGCTCCTTGTTGCCTCCAGCCTCCAGAACCTCCACGTCTCTGTTCTGTTTGCCTCCCCGCACGTGGGCCCATCTCATTCTCCATGGGAGAAGAGGGCGGCATTGTCTGCAGGTCTCAGCGATGGAGGGCTCGTGTTTTATCATCCAGGTTTTGGCGGAGAGCCTACATTACATAACCACCGGCGCGGTGACTCTTTAGCTTTCGCTGGGTTCCTCTAGTGTTCGATTAGTGTCTTAGATGTTATATGGGCTCCGCATAATCAAATAGACGTTTGTGTCTCTGCGTTGTCGTCGTAGTTCTACGCCGTGACACAAATGTTTTGGAGTCGATTCGGCCACAAACCTTTTGTCAGACTAGTTGTGGGGTTTTAGTAATGGAAGTGCTGTTGACGCCAGTCAGAGGAAAAGACCAGACGGACCTCCACTGGGAGCAGGTGTTTGACACGCCAAACCATCACCAGCTTTCCCCGCTCAGCGCACCTTAATCCCCAGAATTGAGACACAGCCCATGTTTTAAATGCACAACCACTTCTGGTGTTGACCCCTTCATCTCCTCCTCCTAAATGCTGATTTTCTTTTATTTCACTGCATCCTATAACCTTGTGAGGCGCCCCGAGGTTTCCTGTTTTCCTGTTAAGGTGTTTCTACATAACAGGAAACGTCAGGCCTTATGCAAAGAATGTTTCCTCTTATCCTGATCAGATTGTATCACAAACATGGCTTCATTTTTAACCTGTTCATTCACTGTCTGTCGCTTTAAGTTCAGTGTGCGTCTTTTTCCATTGTGTAAAACTAAACTTGGCCACCTTTTTGTGTACTTCAGAGGTGTTATCTGTTGTTGGATTAATGCATCTAAGGGCTGATCTGTGCTGTGTATTCAGCTTAGCCTGGGTTCATGTACAACAGCTGTGCGAGGTTATAATGGTTGTGGATGCTGGGGGGGTCAAGGGTTCAGATCTATTCTCCGCCGTGGCCCGACAGAGCGTTGAAGGTGGGGGGCGTAAATTTCTTTCTTCCTGAAAACATTCAGGCATTCAATTACCTTGAATATCATTCAACCGGTAGGAGTATCGTTTGTTGACTAGTATTTTTGTTAAATTTTCGGTCCTCTGCAATTTTTAGTTTTTGATTCAAGCCTGCAAGTATTGCATGTATTATTGATTAATCAATTAAATCAAGAAATGTATAGTTTGCGCCTTGGAAGCACGACTCTTGCACACGGCAGAGCATTTGCATTTGCATCTGTTGTGCTCGCCGGACAACACCCATGGAAACCCGATCCAAACTCCACCCGCTTCACTGCGGTTACCAACGCCGCTGGCGCTGAAACTCCCATTCCGTCATTCGGCCTTACGGGTTTTCCTGCAGCTCTCTGCTTTTCCGCTGCGGCCCGACGAGGCGGTTCGAGGGGGCTTAGGCTCCGGCCTCTGTGGTCTGGGGGCTGGCGCTCCCCCGCCCGCCGGGATGGAGCGGTGGAGGCTGGCGTTGCACTTTTCAGGCACTCAGTCTGTCTGGGACTGTGGAGCTGGGCGCGCTGCAATTATCTCCAGAGTAATGCAGCTCTTTTAAAGACTGTTTGCCAGCTCACTTTGGAAGCCTTGAGCGCCGTCCCGAAGACATTACGCTAGAGCGTTTTCTTATTTTTTTTACTAGGCTTTTAGTGTTGGCACTGGTACGAATTGCAGTGTTATATTTGCAGCTTAAGAGAGAGAAGATGTATATTTTGATCACTTCAACCATTGATCTGGCTGTGACTTATATAAGGGTGTGTTTGTCTGCAGGCCATGTCGTGATTTCACCCTCTTGAAATGCGATTGAAAGCCCCTGTGTGTATTCGGTAATGGTTTTGTGTATTGGGTGTGTCTGTTGGAGAGGCGGGTGTTTTTCGAGGTGTGGTATCGGTGTTGAGCCGACCCGTGCCCGCTCACAGGCCTGGTAAGTGATCTGGCCCTCGGGCTCGCCAGCATTATGTTGACTAGCTGCCCGTCTGTAGCCAGTTGGCGCTCAGGAGAGAAGCCGCGTGGTCGGATTCAGCGCGGCGAGAATGATCTTGCACTAAAGATCGCCCCCCCCCCCCAGGCACAATCTCCTGCGTTGGTTGATTGGTGGCTAAATTCAGCGACCAATGGTGACTCATGTTCAAAGCTCAGTGTTCTTGTTATTAGTTTGTTGATATTAGAGAGCAACGGGAAATGGAAAGAGACGGCGATAACATGGGACAAAGGTCCTTGGCAGGATCCTGGAATGAGTGTCATACTGCATCATGTCAGGTCTAGATCTATTTTATAGCCATGGCTTCATCTTATGATGCAATCTTATATTGCGCATCCTCCTTCTACGACGGTCAACTTGATTTTTGTTGACACGTGTCTCTAAAATGATTCACGGCCATTTTAACATTTAACTGAACTCAATTAGTGCAAAAACAAGACTGACCTGAAACTGATGCGTTGTTTGAGCATTAAATGTGTACCAATCTTTATTTTTAATGCCCATCCTTTACCAGTGGGTGCTGTGTGCGTGCAGAGGCAGACCCCAACCCCTCCCTGAATGGACGGTTTGTGATGATCATGTGATCGAGGGCTCGTGTAATCACCCCTACCCCTGGGTTGTTTTTTTTGAGGGGGGGGGGGTTACCCGCGCCAGATGCCCTCCCCCGGCCCCCCCACCCTGTCCCGTTGCATCAGTTAATCCCCCCCACCCCCACCCCGCTGCACTGTGCCTAGAGGGGTTGCGTGGTGGTTCACAGTGCAGACAATGGGGCTGGTCTCTGCCCCCCCCCCCCCTCTTCCCCCTCGTGGTAGCCAAATGTCGTCCACGCAGAACCTTGCATTGATCAGTGGGGGGTGGCAGGGGGTGGTTGTTTTTGACCAGATCTGATTACACGCACTCTCTTTCCTCGCCGGCTGATGATGACACACTATTGACCCCGTCGGCCTATCGGGTGGCAGCGGGGAGGGGCCTCCAGTCCGTCCCGCTTCAACAAACCGCCACTCCCTTTAAGGGTCGCTTCGTTTAACTTATTCCCATTTAACCACCTTCTCCGAATGACCTTATCAAGTACTTTAGTCACTTAGCCTTTGTCACTGTCCCTTCTGGAAGTGATTCAAATAAGCTGCAAGTGCCCCCTCACCCCCCCACTAATGAAAGTGTTATTTTTCTCACTTCTGCCACGTGGATTCTTTGCATTGAGCAGATGCTTAAAATACCTTGCAGTTGTTCTCATCTGAGAACATGTTTCGTCTGACTGATTCCCTCCAACGCCGCGGGGGCTCATGGCCGTAGACATCAAGCCGTTTTATTCACAACAAACGGGCTCTGGTTGAAATGGTCGTCTTCTCTTCCACGCGGTCTGGTTCTTTGGAGCGATGGAGGAGTGGGCGGTGGGTAAAAACATTGAGTGCTTGTGTGTTTCTTTGTCTCTAGGTAACGAGGCGGATGGAGTGCCATTCATCTTCTTGATAGTTTTCTCTGAAGGATAAGGAGGAGGGTGGGGGTTGGGGGGGCTGTATGCTGACCTGGTGCACCTTCTTTAAGGCTTCAGATTTTCTTTTAATCCCACTTTCGAGACATTGTACTGCGTGTTTACACCTGCAGATTCTCCCTTTTAAGTTATTGTGAAATGTGCATGCTTTAAGGGGATTGTATGTTCTTTGGTTGCATGGGTTCTTCATTCACTTTTCTTTTTACATAATGTGGCCAGAAAATGCTTCACTCCTGTTGTAAAAACGAGCAGCAGCACCAATCCAAAGGCGTTAAGACGGCCCTGCATGTTTGGTGGGCTGACGCGATGAAGTCCCGTCCTCCTGAACGTTGTCGGTGCAGCGGGTGGAGCTGCAGCTACTCAGCTAAAGTGCTATGACGGCGATTGCCTTTTTTATTTTTATGTATACGATGCGGTTGACTAAGAGGCGCCGAGGAAGAGGGGCCGTAATGTCCCATTGTCCCTCCAGCAGGAGCGGTTAAGCCGGTGCGATCTTTACGTGTGTGTGTGTGTGTGTGTGTGTGTCCCTGGTTTTGTTTTAATGACACAGCGCTGATAGACACGTCTGCTCTCTACTTCATACCACGGCGGCCCTCCAGTAATGGGGTTGTTTTGGTGTCTCTGCGTGCTGAGGAATGCATCTGGTGTCTAATAATGGGCGCTGTGGACAGTTGTCCTCGTAGCTCGGCCATGCGCCGTCTCCGTGGTACCGTGTGTCTTTTTCAACCGTTTATAACTACTCTGATGGGATGACTGCACTACAGCACAGGCAGAACCAGAACTTCAGATTCAATGTTTAATCTACATTGTTCCCTATTTCTTAATGACCTGTGACCTTTTCCACAAGTGTATTATGTCTGAGTTCAAATTCAATAAATCCTTTTTATTATATCGTGTTCTGTTTCGCTCCTACAAGGGAAAACTGTCCGACCTCTACAGTGTTAAAGCATCAATGGGGGAAGACGGGAGTTTTATTCTTCAGTTTTAAAAATAATGGTTTTAAAAATCTCCCCAATATAGTGACACGGCTGAGTAGAGGTTGCCACCTGGTGATGTGGCCAAAATAACTATTTAAATTCTATTTTTACTTTTTCTAATTCTACTTTTGCTGACATTACTGTTGCATGTAAACAGTGGAAGCGATGCCCCCCCCACCACCAAGCATTTGGTTTTTCTTGTTTACCCAGTTTGAGAAACACAAAAGACCAGTTCAGAGAAAGTCTACACTGTGTTTTGTGTTTAGTTTTTAGTCCTCTGTAGAGCTGCATATCTCCTCTCTGACGCTGCTGCCTTGTACGGTCCGGTGAGCGAATTGGGAGGCTGTGTATGTAAAAGCCTGCCGCGCCGGGTCAATTCACCGTCCCACTTCTACCATGGTGGTGTTTTTACATCAGTCATTAAAAGCTGCCCCTGTACACTGTTATGGATTTCTGAGCTGTGTGTGGGGAGGTGGTAGTACACAGGGACTGGACTGAGCCGTTCCCCCTGCATCTGATCTAGAGCCTTTCCCCCCCCAAAACCTTTATTTGCTCCATTTTCTGTGCATGCCTGAACACTTAATGTTCTGGTACAGAGTTGCAGCAAATGCGCCTGTGGAATTGTAAAAATGCTGTTAGTGGAGGGCTGCAAAATTTAATAAAAAAAAAATAAAAAAAAGATCTTTTTGTCTTCCTGTATGTAGATTAGACATTTTGACATCATGCAGACTTTCATCCTACACATTCCTTGCTCACTCCACCGGCGACACACACATTCAGTCACACGGACCCGCTCGTGGGGACAGCTGGCGCTGTGTGGCCCCGCGGCGTCTCCAGCAGGAATGTGGATGGGTGGCATGTGCCCTTGATACCGATGCTGCTCCAAGCATTCCCTTTCTAACACGAGTCATCTCGGAGCAGATGCAGCATGCACATGGGTCTTTAAGAAGGAACTCGACATCAGGCAACTGGCTAGTTTGGTGTCCACATTCAGCAGACAATGATGACCCCCCACCACCACACAAACTCCCTCCGCCACCATTGGACACATTATTAAAAATGACCCATTTTTGCCAGACAACATCGGGCCCTTTTCTGTGTCCAGACAGACGCTTCCAACATGTCTGACAAGTTGAGGCTGCGTTTCTAGTCGCACTCTTGCACATTGTTGCAGGGTCTGTAGGCCTGAAGGCCTCTGTCTTTAACAGAATAATCGGTTATTGAGCTGGTTGTCATATTAGCTGTGTGAAGGAAGGCACGCTGCGACCCAAATATTTGTTATGCAAATGTCGACTGAGTTTGTATGCATTTCATCAAAATTCACAAGGCTTCTTTATAATAATATATATATAATAATAATAATAATATGTATATATATATATGTATATATATATATAAAATATATATATATATAAAAATGATTACATATATATATATATTATATATATATATATATATATGTAATCATTTTTTCTTCTTTTAAATGCTGCGCTCTAACAGCTTCAAAGAATCCCAGACTTGCCAGTAGCGTTGGTGTCGTGTGGTCTGATGGATATGAAAAGGAGCAGCAGCTCAGTTTTCTGTTAGTGTGTCTGTGTGCGTGTGGGGGGGATTTTAATGATCCATTCTCATCCCCTGTGCGCTGCGTCACACAGCGTCAGCTGGCTGGAGATGATGCCTTCACTCGCACAGAAGCGGGTCACCCCCATGAGGAATGATTTCATTCTGCTAAGCCTCTGGCATTAGTAGCTGCACTGATGGAGCACTGACGGAGCACGTCATAGTGGCGGTTTATATTCTCCATCTCTGCGCTTTCAATCGCAGCTTCCTCCTGCTTTAGTGAAACGTGTGGCTTTTTATTGACGAGGAGAGTCGTCACCTCGAAGAGCAACCTTGACTTGGGTCGGCATGTTTGTTTACTATCATCTGCATTAGAAAAGTGGATGCACCTTATCTAGGTTACCCAATTTGCTAATGGCTTCCAAACCGTCCCATTTGTATAGATGAGGTGGTGATAGTGGATTTGATTTGCGAGGCACACTGTCCTAACAGGTCAGCACATTAACTAATGGATCCTTTTCAAAGGACGGGACCATTCAAACTTTGTTGGCTTCGTTACTCTGCTTCCTTTCTGTGTGACATTTGTTGCCACAGTGACCAGAGCGGGTCGACAACAGATGGCAGCAGGAGGGGAAACCTGTTTAAAGGCGTCCCGGTTGTAGTGTTTAATTATTTTATACAACGGATAAGCAGGTTCCGTTGGCTTAATGTGTGGCAGGGTTCTTTTGTCGTTTGAATGTGGGCCGGTGTGTTCGGTGGTTATCGGCACTAAACTCGCCAAACGAGTTCTTTTCAAAATTGTCCACATGCGTTCATTTATCGGCCTTTTGTTTGACTGTGCAGCATTGTTGTGGCTTTACTAAGCCGGAGTACTTTGGCACCGCAGGGTGAAGACTTGCAGAGATCTTTTACCTCAGCAGGAAAGCCCCAAACTTGTGGGAATGTGGGGGAGCGTATTGTGTTACCTGCTGCTGTTAATGTGTAACTGATGAGGCCGTTTGTTGTGACCTTTGGACGACCGGAAGTGACGCGGCTTCTTTAAGGGACTTTGTTCTGAACTGTCTGTTGGAAATGGGTCACTTGGTCAATGAGAATACTTTACGCTCCTGATCTTGGCGGCGAGGTTGTAATAAATACACTCTGTATCTCACAGCAGTGGAACGTTTTGCTCATTGGTCCTTTTTGTTGTCGGTTTAATGGCTTCCTCATAAGTCGTGCACGGCCATGACCTTATTAGAGAGGCAAGAGACTGCTCTCTTTCTGAGTCACTGCCCTGGTTTACTCATTACTTACCAGCCAAGTAGGGAGAACGTACTATTCGCTAACCTTATTCTTCTGCTCCACTACGTGTTCGTATTCTAAGACGTCTTTGCTCTTTTTATCGGTCATCTCTCTGTCTGTTTTATTCAATCCAGCTCTTGCTTGTTTCCTGCGTCATACAGAGCTTCTACTGGCTAGATCATATGTAGCAACCTTCTGAAGCCGAGGAGGAGGAGGAGGAGGAGGAGGAGGAGGAGGAGGAGGAGGAGGAGGAGGAGGAGGAGGAGGAGGAGGAGGAGGAGGAGGAGGAGGAGGAGGAGGAGGAGGAGGAGGAGGAGGAGGAGGAGGAGGAGGAGGAGGAGGAGGAGGAGGAGGAGGAGGAGGAGGAGGAGGAGGAGGAGGAGGAGGAGGAGGAGGAGGAGGAGGAGGAGGAGGAGGAGGAGGAGGAGGAGGAGGAGGAGGAGGAGGAGGAGGAGGAGGAGGAGGAGGAGGGGGAGGAAGAGGAGGAGGAGGAGGAGGAGGAGGAGGAGGAGGAGGAGACCGCGACCGCCTGAACCCATTAACGTCTCCCCAAACTCTCCTCAACTCCTCCAGAGTGATTTCTAGTTTTTCTCTACTGCTGTCGAATAGAGAATTTGCCAGAGCACAAACATCGGTAAAGCGCTCAAAGGATGATGTGGCGATGACCATCTGGATCCTCTCCACCGAGAGGAGGACTATGGCTGACGAGTGCTGCGTTTGTGTTCCTCTGTCATGTCAGGAGATTGTGGAGCCTCTCCGATGTCATCATTCCATTTCAAGCTTTCCCCTTTGAAATATTTCAACCCGTTTTGGGGAAAAGCAACAAGTCATCAGTTATTTATTTCTGCCCCATAAATCGTGGAACAATCCACGTATCCTGTTTGTGGTATTTTAATAGTTAATCTGGGAGCCGCTCATACTGCGATGTATTATTACCACTCTAGTCCTTAGATTGGCGGACCGAGGTTTAGAAAACACATTTGTTGGCGTCTCTCACTGCTCACTTCCTGTTTTTCAGTCTCCCCCCCAAATTCCTTGCAGGCCCCTTTCCATGAATGGCATTTCCTCTGGCGGAGAGTGACATGTACATCTTATGACTTCAGGAGCAATGCAACATGGTTTATCCTCTGCTTCCAAGAGGTGTGCAGTAAACGATGTCGTTAATAACCTTGTGACAAATATGTGTTGTTTCGCCACAGGGCTTCGGAGTGTGAGAGGGAGTCGCTCGCCAGGACAAGTGTGAGCCCCTGGACCCCGTAAGCCAAGAGCCGCAGCGCCGACCCTTTTCTTCTTGCATAGGAGGAGGGAATGAAACCGGATGGGGATACCATGGAAACCACGGAGACCACCGAAGCCGTAGCAGAGCCCTCCTCGTCGCAGGACAGCGTCACAGAGCAAGCGCCATCGCGGCCCGATGAAGCCGCGAATGACGCCGCTGCGAAGGCCAACGGCAAGCCAGCGGGGGCCGACCCCAAAGTCAAACCGAGATCCGTTGCGACTAAGATGCAGCCCGCAGCCAAGTCTGCCGGGGCGTCCGGGTCGCGGCCAGGTACCGCCTCGCTACGTGCGGTGAAACCCTTCAGCTCTACCTCGGCAGCCGCGCTCAAGAAAACTGCCACTACGGCCAAAGCGGCGCCCGCGGCGGGCGCACCGAGGAGACCGGCGGGCGGAGTGGCCGGCTCCTCCACAGTCAAGAACCAGCAGAGAGGGCCTGACAAGAGGCCTTCTGGACCGACCAGAGCCGCCGCTGCCGCTGCTCCCGCTACGGCAACAAACGGTAGCAAACCAGCAGCGTTGAATGGCCTTCCTAAGGGGAGACCGGAGTCTGTTAATGTCGCTAGAGCCAAAGCCACCGGTAAGTCTGGACTCTAGACTATATTGAGATGAGTCTTTTTATTTTATTTTTTGTGATGCTGTCTGACGAGGCGTGCTTACGCAGCACTTATTTTTCTTGTTTGTTTCAATGCCGTCTCATTTTCATGTTTGTCTTATTTTTTGTTTTGTTTGTAGCTCCTGCCAGCAGAGCAGCGCCGTCCACCGCCCCGAAAGCCTCAAAAGCTCCTGTTGTTTCAAAGACGGCCAGGTATGCAGATCTTTCCCAGGGAGGATGAGGGAACATGGAGAGCGTGTGTGTTAAATTCTCCTTATACACTGTACGAGGGGCGACTTGGTTGATGGACTCAAAGGACGACATTGTTGTCTCTGGGCCTTTTTTTTTTTTTTGGTCAGATTTTGCTTCTTGAGTGTGAGTCATGTTGGCAGAAATAACCTGAGACAGAGGGGCCTTAACTGAGGCAGCGATACTGAAGAACTAGCGCTTTGTCCCAGGCAGCCCCCCCACCCGCCCCCCCGATCACAGTCCCTCTCACTGAGCTGGCGAGTGAACTTCTCTCCAATGATCATTTTGTTTGCAGGATTGAAAAATTACCTCCTTTTCTACCAGGATGCCTTAATTTGAAGAGGCTTTTTTTATCTACTCAAAAGAAACTTATCCAGACGAAATAGTTTAGTTTTTTTTTGCCAAACATAATAGGCAGCCGTTGACTGACCATTTAATTAAAGTGATCAGAAATAGTGTTTGATCTAGAATCTACCACTTCAGCCTCCTTCTACAGGATGTAGGGGTTTTCCTGATTACATTATCTCCACTTCCCCTCTTGATAATTGTTTATTAAATAAAGGAACCAGGCGCTGAGTCCTTCAGTTTTCTAAAGCAGCGTGTTATCTGGTCTGTCTCTTGCCGTGTGGGTTAGACCTTCGTATGCATGTGTACACAGAGGAGTGAGACCCCGGACCCCCCGAGGCCTCTCATCCGGCCGTCTGCTCTCCTTTTGAGACACGAGAGAGGACAGCGGCAGAACTGCAGCAGGTGTCCTTACCTGTGACGGATAGAAGCGTGTTGCATTTCAAGTCGATGGCGTAATGAATCCTTTTGTGTTGTAGTTGTTTGTGTTGCTGCCGGCTCTACAATTCTCTCGGCTCAGGGGGAGGCTTGCATTAATCATTGTGGGACAAACTAACTTAATGACATTTTTGAAGTTTCCTCAGGTAAATCTTTAATGTAATAATATAAACCTTTTGTAGATGGTAAGGCCGGACTTTCAAAAAACATTTTTTTTTTTATTGGATTTGCATTGTGATAAGCTGTAAATCAACAACGAGGGGGTCCGGAGGATGTCTTGGTGGTCGATGTGGACCCTTGAAATCGGACTCCTGCTTTGCTGTCCTCCTAACGATGGGTTATGGAGCACTTGCTGAGCAATCTGTCTGTCTACTCCCGCCTCCCCCCTTGCATTTTCTCCCCCCCCCCCTCCCTCCTCATTTTTCCTGCCTCCTGTGAATGTACAGTGCCGGGCATTTGGGCCGGATCGCCTCAAACCCGCCTCGCGGCCCAAACTACAAGCCAGCTGTCCCCATGTTTCTAACTCGTGCATCATTTAGCTGCATACGGGGACTGTAACATTGTGAGTGTGGTGCTGTAACACGAGAAAGACGGCGGCCACGTCGGTGAGCCGTCTGTAAGATGGTTCATTTTCAAAGTGTGCCCACAAATGGACAGAACAGCTGCTGGTAATAGTGCTTTGTGGTCCCTCGGACACGGCAATGCCGCCTCCATTTTAAAACAAAAGAATTATTGCAATCGCACAAAAACATAGAATTTGCTTCACTTTCACCCTGTCGGTTTCTCTTCCCGTTTCATTCCGCCTCGTCCCTTTTCGTCTAAGCTGTCATTCTCTCCTTGATTTCCTGCTAGGATTGTAATCCTAGCAGAAAAGGCCCGCGCGTCGTCACAGTGACAGCGGGTGCCCTGATGCTTCATAAGCCAGTGACGTCTGCCGTGCTGTAGCTGGGTCTCAACTCCCACCGAGCCGCCACTCTTATTGTCAGGAGACGACTGTAGTCTCACGCGGACCGAGAAATGTGCGCTCCTCTCGGGAAGGAGTAAAGCAGTGGGTTTGACCGCCCTCCAACCCAACCAGGGTATTGTTGGCCTCCTCCATTTCCATTAGTTGTCTGGAAATGGGCCCCTTGTGAGGAGAGGAGGTTAATGTGAACTTGGGCTGCATTTGCTAGGATCATTTTTCTCACAGGCCAAGCCCTCTCCTTTCTATTTGGACTTGATTGAACTAGAATAATTAAATCTACAGGAGTGGGGGGGGGGGGGGCTAAAAGAGTTGAGCCTCCAAGCTGTGCTTTTAGGGGAATCCGGAGCAAAGAGGGACTTGTGATGGATGGAGAAGGTGTGGCTTAAATCCAAAAATGGCCGATGTTTATACTGTGATTTCCAGCCAAACAGATGTTGCCACTCGGCATGTTAATACCACGGGTGTGTTGTAAACATTTGATTACTATATATTTTATTACCTGTGAAACCGAGTGCATCACTGACTTGTCCCTATGCTGGCCTTTTCTTAAGAGGACAAGGTTGTTGACATTCTGTAGATGGCTGTGCAGTGCCCCTCGTCCTGTCTGTGGTCTGTGATTTGTATTGACTTTCAACCTTCTGCTGGTAGGAAATGTAATCCGTACTAATCCGCCAACAGCACTAGTATAGTATAGATGAATAAAAACAACAACAACAACTTTAACCCTCATTTCTTTTCCATCCATTTCCCATCCTGTTAAGGTTGTTGTTTATTTCTATTCAGACCCCCTAGTTTGCATCTCCTTGTTTTGTTCACTCTGGGCCGATTTCATCACATCGTCTGACATGCTTCCATTTCACGTTGGACCCAGATCTTCTGTCTGATGCATCTTCTGGCTCATTCCAGTATCCCTGCGAGTCTGGCTGTCTGCTACAAATGGTCATTGTAATGGTCACTTTAATGTGGCAGCATCCGTCGGCTTGTGTTTACGTCGTCGGCCATGTCGGTAGACTTAATCGGCACAGCTCCATGCGATTGTGGAGCCCTTGTTTGTGAAAGTGATTCGGTTGTTGTAGAAACGGATGTTGTTGTAATCATACTCTATCTTTTTTTGTATTGTGTTTGCACAACAGGGTTCAAGAGCGGAAATGAAGGCTTGCTCATTTCACAGGCGTTCAGCACAGACTGAGGCAAAGTCTTTGAGCCCGAGAGCAGACAAATGTAGGACAGACAATTTTGCAGGGGTTCTCTACTTTTGTGGCTTTACCGCCCTCTTCTGATAATTATTTACGAATAAAATCCTTGGACTACGTCACAAACGTTGAACCGTAGTAATGAGCGGAAGGCTCTAGTTGAGCGTGTGGGGGTTTTGGGCGCAGTGCACTTTGAACCCTTTTCGATTGGCCAGGAGAGGTGCCTGGTGTTGGAGGAAGCAGGCGGAGCGGTTTTGGCTTGTAGAACTCCTTCAGACGGAGCAGTGTACCAGGAAGTTAAAACAAGACTCATCTTCTCTCTTTCCCACTGTTCTTCTGCTTTTGAAACGTATCCTTCCATTGTCTTGTATTTCCTCGCTCTACTTTGGCCCCCTTCATTCCTTTTTTTTTCTTCTTTAATTTGCGCTCTGCTCCCCATTAACCTTTTTTATTAAAACATTTGATTTAGCCCCGGCTCCCTCACCTCATCCTCTTACCGCGTGACCGTTCAGTTCATTCTTCTTGCATTCCATTCCTCTTCAATCTTTTTATTTCCTTTCAGTGTTCCTCACTTGCCAACAAAGTAATTGAGCTTAAAAGTTCATTTAAAATTCATTGTCTTTCTCCAGGCCTGCTCCGGGCCCCTCGACATCTCGAGCTGCGCTCACATCCAGGGCGCTCACATCCACGGCGACCACATCCACGGTCAAGGTCTCCACTGCTGCAACTGCCAAAACCGCTGCGTCCAGAGTCACCGCAGCGCCCTCTACAGGCAGGACTGCAGCGGCTCAGCCTCCAAGAACAGCTGCTGCAAAGAAAGGTAGGGAGCTCAACTGTGTGGGCAACATACGGTTTTAAGATCTAAAATGTCCCCAGTAGTGTTTGACAGCAATGAAAAAAGAAGTTAATCGGATTTTCTCTTCTTTCCTTCCAACAGATGTCAGTCGACCACCGTCTGCTGTGGCGAAGAAACCCGCCGTAGCTACAACTTCCGCTGCCACAAAAAAACCTGAACCATCTAAACCCACAGCCACCCTAAAGCTCAACTCCGCCTCCAAGGGCCCAGTGTCCGAGAAAAAGGCGGATCCCAAAATGTCGCCGTCCAAAGCGTCGCAACCTGCAAAACCTTCTTCCACAAAGAAACCTGTGGCGCCTGTTTGGTTCAAGGACCGCAACAGGCTTCCCCTTGGTCAAACCCCGCCTGCCTCTCCAGCAAGCAGACCAGCACACAGCAGCACACCTCAGGGTAAAGGTAGAAGTAAACCAATGCAGGCCGTCCCACCTTTCACCGCGGCAAAGAAAACGGGGGTTTTAAATACTACCAAACATGCCGGAGAAGCCCAGAGAGCAGCCGGACGGGCAGCTGTGACTGCAGCCGCTGTGCTAGCAGCAACGCAATCGGAGGCCACGGAGCTCCTCCCACAGGCATCACCCCTCGCTGCCCCCGCACCACAGGACGACCGGCCCCCAGCGTTGGCCCAGGGTCCCTCCCAGGAGGCGGTACCTCAGGAGCCCGCTCAGGGACAGGGTGCATCTTACTCTCCTCCTCGAAGCCCCGCCAGGACGACGTCGCCACAGACCTCTCCTCCTCCCCTGGAGCAGCTAGAGAGCAACGCCCACTCGCCAACGACGCGGGAGGAGACCCCTGTCCCAGTTGAGCCGACGCCAGCGCCAGTGGCCTGCCCTCCGTCGCTATCTGCGGAGGCCGTTCACCTAAACCAAACCCCCTCCACATCCGTGGCAGCAGCAAATGCCATCCCTGTGCTGGTTCCTCACTCCAATCTAAATGAGGAGGACGATGAAGAGGAGAGGGAAGGCAGCCAGCTGGTGTCCGTGTCCGAGATGAGCGGAACCACGCAGCCCACAGAGGATTCTCGCCCCGATTCTGCGGGTCCAGTCGGGGGGTCCCACTGGAGGGCAGGTGGTGCCCTGCTCTCCGAGCTGGACTCCGAGGATGTAAGCGGCAGCCAGCAGGGCGCGTCGGAGCTGAGTGCCCCCGGCGTCCTGGAGGGCACGGAGAGCATGGACGACCTGGGAGACGGCAGCCTCAAAGGAGCCATCGACATGGAGGGGGCCTCTGCAGGCTCACCGGACTTTGAGAAGGTCCCAGACATACCGGCGAACGACTTCGACGAGGACGACGAGGAAGACGACCGGGTGTGCGACATGGACGTGGGCTCAGAGCGGGCAGACAAACCTCAGAGACTCAGGCATGACAACAACGTAGATGGTGAGGAGGAGGACGACGATGAAGATGTGGAGATGGCTAGTGAGGGGGTGACGGAGAGCGGGCTGGAGAGCTACGGTAACGCAGATGAGGACGACTTTGCTGAGGACGAGAGGCTCGATAACCTGAACCGAGTGGCCGCCCCCCCGCTGCTGCCCTCCTCCCTGGCTGCTCAGTGGGACCAACCAAACCCCTTAGCTGACCCCTGGGCGGAACCTCTTCAGCCACTGCAGGGTCTGGAAAACTCCTCCCAGCCCGCACCTGTGGAGGACGCCTGGCAGGCGGACCCGGAGACCCCAACTCAGGTCTGGCCGGACCGCGGCTCTGCTCCTTTTGATCCGGAAAACCCAGGAGTTCCCCATCCTGCTGTTGCCGCCGTCAAAGAGCAGCCCCAAGGTGCACTGGGCCCGATGTCCGTGGGTGAGTGGGGCCCCGCCCCGACGCAAACCCGGGCCCCCGGCATGTCTGCGTCCAGCACCCTGAGCAGCGACACCAGCACGCCCGAGGAGCTCTGCGACAACAACGGCGCCGGGAGGCTGCAGCCTGGAGAGGTGCGAGCACCGGCTCTTCCCCCACAGCCTGACCCGCGCCGGGATGGAGACGAGGATGCAGAGGCCCAGCCCCCGTCTGCAGACGTGGTTCAGGGAGGCCCCGCCTCCAACCAGTCCTCCACCTCGGTAACGGAAGACGAGGCGAGCGACACCGAGGGGGAGGCTCTGCTGGACGACTCCTTGGAGAGTCTGGTGGTCGGCCACGCCACCTTTGACTGCCAGCCGCCAGCCCAGCGCTGCCTGTCCATCGTGGAGGAGGTGGAGGAGGGCGCTGCGGGCTTTGACACCACCCCGCCTTCAGCGACGTCGCTGGCGTCTTACGGCTTCGACACCATGACCACTGCCTCGAACTCCAACGCGCAGTCCACAGGGGAGAGCTGCGTCAAGAGCCCGGGCATCTTCTCCCTGGAGGAGCTGTCCGATGAGACCAAGGAGGCCTGTCCCGTCCCGTCGTCGTCGCCGCCGTGCGTCGCCGAGCACAACTACATCGATTGCGGGACGCAGCCGGAGGCGGAGTCCGGCGAGAGCTTCAGGGAGGAAGTGCCGCGGCCCGAGGAAGCCCCGAGCACTTTGCAGCCACCAGAGGAGAGCCCAGATGACACCCAGCCACCCTACTATTCTATCTGTGAAAAGACTGAGAACTCTTTTTCAGGTAACGTATAGTCAATCATCTCCCTAACAGGCCCCGCCCCGCTGCAGCCGCCCACAATATCTCACTGTTGTAGCTCTTGTCGTAAGCAGCAGCAGCAGCAGCAACAACGCAAAAAAAAAAGATTTAAAAAGGGAAGTAATCTAAAGCAGTGGCCTCCCTCTGATATAACCTTTCCCTCATGAGTATATGGCTTAAATTCGTGTATGTGCAATAGCTACTACTTACTCTGCCTGGGTTTCTGTGCCGGTTTGACTCGACACAGAATAATGTTGTTGTGAATTGCCATGGATTGGACTGTTGGTTTAAAGTGGTAAAACAAGAGAATTCAGCTTAACAAAAGAAAACGTGGAATGATGTGTTTTTTCATGTGTATTTATCCTTCTTTTTTATTTTATATTTTACTGAACAAAACGGCTAAGTGGTCATGCGTTTGATTGTGTATTCCTGTTCTGATGTCTCTACCGTACGATACAAGCGATCTTCTATAAGCCCGATCACTCATCTCTTGCACTTTAAATTGTACCCCAGCTCTTTCTTTCATCGTGTTTACACAGCTTTTGGATTGATTAACTTTAAATAAAGACTAGATTTTTACCATTATGTAATCTCACCCCGTAGAGTTTCATTGAAGTGGGCTTTTGGGTGTAATTTATATTCTGTCGATCGTAACTTATTCATTTCAAGGTGTGACACACTTCTACATGTTTACCAGCGGCTCCACACACACTCTTTAAGCACATACTTTAACTTGCAAAAAGCTCACACACCTGTACACACACTTGAGTGAGTGGAACCCGTGGCTTCCCTCAAAGACTTCTCCAGTCTGAACTCAAAACTGGAAAGGAGCCGCCACGAGTCGATCAACAGCGCCACAACTTCTCGTCAACGGGTGAAGTTCTACGTCTCGTCATCCAGAAGAAGTCAGACCTGCTCAGTTAATTGCCCTGCTGTCCGCTCTGGGTGTGTTCCTGTTCGTTAGCTCTTTCTACTTGTTTTTTCTTTTTTTTTTTTTTTTCTTGCTGCACTGTATTAATGTTAACTTATGCTTATGCATGTCACATTGGGGCGCGCACACACACACACACACACTTTGAATTTCATGACATTACTTTGGATCAGTGTGTAGAGGATCAATGGGACATCTTTGCTCTAGGACTCGCCGTTGATATAACGGCATTCTTTCTAAAGCTAAGCTATTATTTTATTTAATCTTGTGATGCTGGATGTCTATAAATGCATGGAGAGCTTCTGCATGAATCACTGGTTGACTAACTATAAACTCCATTCACGGGTGGAAACGGTTCAAGCTCATGATGCTTTTTTCTTTTCTTTTTTTTGGTTCACTTCACCCCATAGCTGATGGTGGTTGCATTTACAGGAATTTGGCTGCTGTTTTTGTACACAAGTCTTTTCTTGGTGTCTTTATTGCATTGTGACAAGTTTATATGACGTTCAAACAATGGCCCACTGTCACTGCCAAATGGTTCAAAATACAAAAGGGGGGGGGGAAAACACCAATAACTGCTGGTCAGTTTGTAGGCTACTGACGGACCTTTTGGGGACTGACTTCACAATGCTCACTATTCCTTTACCCTGTGGAGGCCCCCCACAACCCCTTTCCTTCTACACCCTCCTGCCTGTACTCACACTGCACTGCTGTCACTGTCCTGCTGCCCGTGATCTGTTTTTATTCCTTTTTTGTTTTATTCTCAACACGATCGCGCTATTGTAATCTTCCATCTCTCACACAGGCTTTGCCGGGCTGCCCCACCCTCACCGCCGCGAGCACCCTGCTTTCCCTAGAAGCTACTGCGACATCGTCAAGCCTCACGCCGCCTCCGCCCTCGCCCCGCCCAAGCTGACCTGTGCCGACCTCCCACCCAGGAGCCCCGGGCAGCAGGCGCTGAGCCCCCAGCTCCGCCGGCTGGAGCAACACCAGAGGCAGCTGTTGGAGATGCAGCAACGCCGGGACCAACAGAGCAGGCCTCTGGAGGAGGCCGAGCAGGAGAGGAAGAGGCGGGAGGAGGAGGAGACGAGGAGGAAGAAGGAGGAGGCTGAGGAGGAGATCAAGAGGAATGAGGAGGCGCTGGCGAGGAAGGCGCGGGAGGATTCCAGGAAAGAGGAGGAGCTGCTGCAGCAGGAGCTGAAGGAGCGGCAGCAGATCCTGCAGTGGCAACAGGAGCTGCAGCAGCAGTCCAACCAAGGTCAGGTGGCGCCGGTGTCCCCCTCCTCCGGCCTCTGCACCATCTACGAGGCCCTGGAGGCGAGTGACGAAGAGGAGGGTGAAGGAGACTGGGGAAGGGAGGCCACAGTAGAGACGACTGAGGAAGAGAGGGGTACGCTGGGGAATGGGGGGCTCCGAGACTCTTCGCAGTCCACCCACAGCTCTTCTCCTCTTCCTCCCCCCCCTGACTCCCCTCCGACATCCAGCGACCCCTCCCAGGACGGGGACAGCTCTTCTCCCGAGTCGCCGGAGCGCTCCGCCCCCCAGGAGCTGGACTGGGGGAAGAATGTGGACATCGTCCAGCAGCTGATCAACCAGAGCCTGCTGCTGAACAGAGACGGCTGCTCGTCCCTGCTGCTGCTGCCGGGGGGGGCCGGGGGCACGCTGAGCCCCCTGGAGAGCAGCCTGTGGCCCAGCCTGCTGCCTCCGCTCACGCCTCCCTCCGCCACAGTCACCTCCGTCAGCAGTTTCTCCCCAGAGACCACCGGTAGCTCCCCGCAGGGCGAGTGGACGGTGGTGGAGCTGGAGACTCATCACTGAGGGGAGTGTGTGTGTGTGTGTGTGTGTGTGTGTGTGTGTTCACATCCACTGTGCTCTAGATGTGTGTCAACCTCAGGAGAACCACTGTACATAGGTTGAAGGGCTGGACTTATGTTTCTGTACTACCCGGCTCTGGAGGAGGACACATAAACTAGTGTTTTTAGATCACTGGTTCCCAAGCAACATGGGGGTTTCAAGCTTTCACCAAAATATATACTTCATTTTTATTTTGTCTTTTCAAACTACTGAATTGATTATTCAAATAGAGCAATCTGAGATCCGGGCCCAACCTGCAGACGGAGTTGACACTCTGCGTTAAGGAGTTAAGTGTTTGGGTATATTGACAAGTCACTAGAGGGAGGCAGGGATTTCTAACTATTGTTAAAAAAAAAAAACCTGCACACGCTACTCTGGTGAGGCCAGTGCTGCGGTTCAATAGTTGGCCGCTTTCTGAGCGGCGTAATGTTTATGGACTCAGCGGCCAACAGAGAGTGACTGCTTTGATTCAGGACTGATGCAGTCAAGCACAACGCTGCCTGAGAGTCTCCACTCGGGGCTAGAAAACTACTCCGGTTCTGCTGGTGAAGAACTTTAGTGTCGTCTTTCCTACAGAAACACAAATGTGACACGTGACAAACTGATTTGATAAAAAAAAAAACGTTGGTTCTCATCCTCATGACTGTTTTTACGATGGGAATGCACTGGAGATGTCTTGCTACTGAAAAAGCAATGGAAGCTTCTGAGATTGCACTTAATCCCGTTGGGTCTTTATTTCGTACCAATCAGACGAGATGATGTGGCGAGTCTTGGACACTGGTTCGATTAACCTCAGTTTAGTTTAGAGAACCTGAGGTCTCTGCAAAGTCCTCGTAGGGACTAGAAGGATGTTCTTTGTTGTTCGTCGGCCACTTAATGAGGCTTCAGGAAGTGTGTGTGTGTGTGTGTGTGTGTGTGTGTGTGTGTGTGTGTGTGTGAGAGAGAGAGATCGTAGCAGCAGTCTCCCTGAAGGCCCTCTACACGTGAGCAGCTGGCTGCAGGGGGTCCCTTCGTTGTGAGAGCCGAGGGGCTCCACGCCGGCGTATTGTAAGCGGTCTCGTCCGTGCTGTGTGTCGACGTCGTTCCGGTTACTGTGCATGTTTTGTGTCCCTCGGCGCCGTGGGGGCTCGCTATGACAAAGTTTAAAGGTGGTGACATCACATGACGCGGCAGCTGGTCACTGGAGGGGAACCGTATAAATTGGCGTCCAGTGCTTCACCTTGATTGGTTCCTAAAACCTAATTTGGATTTGAGCTCCGCCCACTAATCTCTGCTCGCTCTTATTGAGGCTTAGCAGCGACAGGCAGCCGGGTGTAAACGCTTTAGGCTATCTGCGCTTTTTTCTTTTTAGGAAGCTGGACTTTTTAAATGTGCTTTCTTTAACCCGTCCGTGTGTTTTTGTAAGCATGTGTGCGTAAATGGCGTCAAGACTGTTCACTGTAATGAAGGAAAATTCCACTTTAATTTTGTACTTTAGAGATGTATTCGTATAGCAGCCCTTTAAGAGTACATAGATTTTATATGAATGAAGGATGTTTGTTGTAAATGTTACAGTTTTACCCGTCAAGAAAGTTAGTCTTCTTCAGTTTGGGTGAAAATGAGCTGATGATGTGGTCCAACACACTTGTTACCTTGACTCAAAGATATGAAATCTCACAATTTTTAAATATTAATTTATTGCGAACTAAGGTGAGGTTTCTTGAGCAAATGGAAAATGAGCTGATGAACCTGTTAAAGTAAATGGGGCCACGCTTGAGGAGCCTAAAATCATGGCAGCTTGTTTTAAATTGTAAAGTTCTCTGCATTTCCTCTAAACGACAAGTCTGTGATTGTGTGTAATTATTTCAATGCAATGTTTCATGTAAATAAAATGTTTTTTTAATAACTTTTCTGGACTTTACAACACAACGAAAGATTTAGATATTTGGAAACTTTTTAAAAACCTAAAAAATATCTACAATCTGTTTTAAAAATATTCTCCACACTGAACAGCAAACGTAATAAAACCATTACTTTGGCAAACGCTGGTCAACAGTCCCAGAATGCATCAGTCATGCGAGTTCAACTTGGCATCCAGATGTTCTGATAAACGCCGCATTGACGTCCTGTGGGATTGAAACTGGTGCGGCTCCTCTTCCGGTCGCCGCGGCCCGGAGACGGATGTACGTGTGACGGAGGCGGCCGTCACTTTGCCGCCTGGTGGGACAGCAGCTGCTGCAGGTGCTCTGTGGCCCTGCAGCTCGACGGCTCCTCACTGCCGAAGTACAACAGCTTGTGGTAGTTGGCCTGAGGGACCTCGCATAGAACCCTGACCGAGAGAAAAAACAAAACTCTTTGGCCACAACGTTCTTTTTTTTTTTTTACCCCCCCAGAGGGAACTGGGCATGGAAGGGAAAAAAAAAAAAAACAAGTAAACCGTGGGGCTTTACCAGTCATCGATGTCATCTGTTTCGGGGGTCACCTGCTGCCACTGACCAATGGACCACATCCTCACCACGTTGCTGTGGGAGACGCCATCGTGGTCCCGGCCTGCATCGGCGTGCCTGTTGGGAATGTCCTCGTAGCACAGGAAGTAACTGAAAGGGACGTCTGCCATGAGAGACATAGGATTGGGAAAGTAGAACAATGGGGAAAAGAGGGACCACCGATCTGGACTCACTACTCCGTGTCGCAGACGATCTGTCCCTCGCCGTACTCGTCTCTGTGCCGCTCCACGTTCCAGCGCATGCGCTTGTAGAGGCCGGTGTCGAGTCGAGCCAGGTACGGCGTGGGCTTACAGTAGCGGAACGCCTTCACCCTCAGGGCGCCGAGCTGACTCTGACCGATGCAGAAGTGAGACAAGCTGGGGACACAGATTAGGGGAGGGACTGTCACAGGTAGAGCTGAATAAAAAGTGAAGTGGCCTAAAATGAAAGACCTTAAGATTGAGAAGGAGGCCGATAACTGGCCAGAAGCTAAGACAAATTATGGAGCTGATGTGCCAGGAAATTAGGAAGAATATGATTTACATGTAACCAAATACTGAACATTTGATAACCGGGTGTAACGGACTGTAAATATACAGGTCAAAACTTGTGTGCACGCACCTGATCGGGTTGGTCTCGTCCAAACAGAGGACATTACAGCTGGCGTAGGTCAACAGCAGTTGCTCCAACCTGTCACACAGCTGCTGAGAGAAGTCCAACCGCTGTACACGCTACAAACACAAGTTTACACTTAACACCTTAAGTACTGTGAGCTCAAGTCTTCAAAAGTTGTAAGGATGGTATTAGAACAGTGGGGCCCCCCCTGTTATAGTGGGTGGGGCTGGTTATGTTTTCCCATAATTAGGGCAAAATATTTTTTCACTTGAAATGAAAAATATCTAAAGGATCCTTTTGAAGCTAAATCAGGAGGCCGAACCAACCCGAGAATTGATTTCAAAGGCAAAGGGCAGAAGTGTGTTCTGGGAGGCGTGGATTGTGGATTCCAGGACGTTGAAGAACTGCTCACAGGTGTACAGGAAGATTCGCACCTCAGCCGCAAGCGCCTCCCTCGTCAGCTGATGCTGACTGCAAAAAAAACCTGTAAAATACCAGAAATAGAAATCACTCGACTACTTTCTAACTGGATGGCAGCCTACCTGTCGAAAAGCAAGTTGTGCAGGTCATCCGCTTTGCTCATGAGGAGCCGAAGCTGCAGCTCCATGGACTGCAGGCTCCACAGGACCCCCGGGAAGATGCAGGCCTCGCTGTCACTGCCGCAGGGCGCGTGCTCGCCGCCAGGCGGCGCCGGAAGAGCAGCGACGGCCAAAAACGACGGCTGCTCCTCCTCTGAAAGGCGAATGAATGAACGTCATTAACCTCCTCCAGCGAGTTACGCCATCTCCACGCCATTATTTTGACATAAACAACCCATTGGAATGTAAAGCATTGGCGCACGCTAGTGCCGTAGTTATTTGGTTGTTTTAGCAAAACAACTGTGAAAGAAGTGATATTAATAAAACAAATGAAAGGGTTCTGTATTTCATTAAAGCACGCTGTCGCCAGTAGTTTACCTCTCTGCCCGGTGACCTGAAGCCCCTCCGTGAAGTCGGACTCCCTCTCGCCGCTCGCGTCCTCCTGCAGGACCCCAAAGGCCCTTTGTCCCGACGGCGAGTCGGAGGCAACTTGGGCCTCAAACTGAACTTCAATGCCCGTCATGCTGTCTGTTGTTGATAAATTGGTATGATTTAGGGAATCTGTTGAAAATAATACGCCGAATTAACTGAATGTTTAAGAATAATATATGTCGAATCGCCTTTCAACTGTTTGTTAAAACTGCTATATTAGCAACCGCTATGTCTCATGGATTCACGTTAATGCTAGCGAGCTAGCTAGCGATTCACCCGAGAATTAGCGTTAGAAAGCTAACGTTAACGACTGGACAACAGACGGCTATTTTTTAAACTTAAAGCAATGCACGAAATCAATATATATTTCATCACGCCGCGGTCCGTTGATTGTGACTTTGAGATAACGGTTGAGCTAAGCTACTAGCTAGCGGGAAAGCTACCTGTTACCTTCCAATCAGACGGTCCAATCAGAATGGTATATTGCAGGTGTCAAAGGTCAAAGCTGAAAGGGCCTCTGCAAGAAATTAAAAAAAATATAGCCTTCTTTTTTTATCATTGCTTTTGTTGAAGGTTACAAAAAAATGAAAAAATATCAATTCGTTTTCTGCAGAAAAATTATCTTTTTTTTATGTTGTGTTGCTAAACCCACCATCCCAACTCAACAAATCCCAAGAAACATTTGCACCTTTTGACATGCTTAGCTAATTTTTTTAATTATTTGTAACAAATACGGGACGGAGAGCTTATGTATGATCAGGCTATCATAAATCATTAATAACTTCCCAACACACTAATGAAACAATGTTGTAAATCTATTTGAATCATAGATAGATAGATAGATTGATACTTTATTGATCCCTCAAGAGGGAAACTTTGAAATCACAGCAGCATGTACAGGGAAGAAAATAGAATAAAAAGATACACATTATATAGAATATAATAATATATAAATATTAAATTATTAAATTAAATTAAGTTAAATAAACTAAAACTGAAACAAAAGAATAACCTTCCAAAAGAGACAATAATAAAATTTTGTAAAAGGAGAAGAGGAAGAGGAAGAGCAGCAACATCACAGCAGTACAGGGTTGTTATTGTCATTATTTAGCCAGGGATGATTTATTGTAAAGTGTTATTGCACTGGGCAGGAATGACCTCCTGTATCGGTCCTTGTGACAGCGGAGCTGAAGGAGTCTGTTGGAGAACGTGCTCCGCTGTCCCTGTAGCAGGTGGTGGAGGGGGTGGTCAGGATTATCCAATATGGATAACAGTTTCTTCAGTGACCTCCCCTCCAACACCTTTTCCAAGCTGTCCTGTTTGCAGCCAATGATGGAGCCGGCCTTCTTAACAAGTTTGTTAAGTCTGTTGGTGTCACCGGCTCCAATGCTGCTCCCCCAGCAGACCACGGCGAAGTACAAAGCACTGGCCACAACAGACTGATAGAACATCTCCAACATCTTGCTGCACACATGGACGGATCGAAGCTTCCTCAGGAAAAAGAGTCGACTCATCCCCTTCCTTTAGACGGCGTTGATGTTGGCCTTCCAGTTCAGTCTGTTGTCGATGGAGACACCGGGACCTTCTGCTGCTTCAGGCTCAGGTTGAAGAGGGGTTGAAGGACCTCATGTACATTGTTTATGTTGTTCTAACAAAGACCAAAATATGTGAGCACATTACACCAATTCTTAAATCCTTACATTGGCTCCCAGTATGGCAGAGAATTCATTTCAAAATCCTACTGCTCACATATAAATCACTACATGGTTTAGGGCCAAAGTATATCACTGATATGCTTCCACTACATAAGCCTTCAAGATCACTAAGATCTTCTGACACCAATCTGTTAGTGATTCCCAGAGTAAATACAAATCATGGGAAAGCATCATTTAGTTACTACGCAACAAACAGCTGGAATAAACTTCCTGAAGATTTAAGACTTGCCCTAACTCTGACCACGTTTAAAACAAGACTGAAAACTTTTATGTTCAGCTTCGCCTTCTGCTAAATTTGACCTACATTGCACTTTTAACCTCTGCCTTTAATTAAACAATTTAAATAAGATTTTAATTTATAATTGTATTTGCTGTTTTTAAATTGTCTTTTAATTCCTGCATTCTATTTCACTTTATTGTATGAAATGTTATGATGTGAAGCACTTTGAGTCTGCCTTGTGTATGAAAAGCGCTATATAAATAAAATTGCCTTGCCTTGCCTTGTTTGCCGCTGCTGGCTGGATTAGGGATTCCAAAACAACATTTGGTTGTATAACAAAAATGACAAACCTTTATCTTATCTTAAAATCTAATTTTCCTTGCTGCTCTAATAATATATGTGCCAACTTCAAGGGACTATGTTTAGTTATAGATCCTCCTGTCATGTCCAGTGTCAGGATAACGCGTCTTTATCCTACAGCATTGAGGTCACAATCTGCTGGAAGCTGGACTTTTTAAATGTGCTTTCTTTAACCCGTCCGTGTGTTTTTGTAAGCATGTGTGCGTAAATGGCGTCAAGACTGTTCACTGTAATGAAGGAAAATTCCACTTTAATTTTGTACTTTAGAGATGTATACGTATAGCAGCCCTTTAAGAGTACATAGATTTTATATGAATGAAGGATGTTTGTTGTAAATGTTACGGTTTTACCCGTCAAGAAAGTTAGTCTTCTTCAGTTTGGGTGAAAATGAGCTGATGATGTGGTCCAACACACTTCACTTGTTACCTTGACTCAAAGATATGAAATCTCACAATTTTTAAATATTAATTTATTGTGAACTAAGGTGAGGTTTCTTGAGCAAATGGAAAATGAGCTGATGAACCTGTTAAAGTAAATGGGGCCACGCTTGAGGAGCCTAAAATCATGGCAGCTTGTTTTAAATTGTAAAGTTCTCTGCATTTCCTCTAAACGACAAGTCTGTGATTGTGTGTAATTATTTCAATGCAATGTTTCATGTAAATAAAATGTTTTTTTTAATAACTTTTCTGGACTTTACAACACAACGAAAGATTTAGATATTTGGAAACTTTTTAAAAACCTAAAAAATATCTACAATCTGTTTTAAAAATATTCTCCACACTGAACAGCGAACGTAATAAAACCATTACTTTGGCAAACGCTGGTCAACAGTCCCAGAATGCATCAGTCATGCGAGTTCAACTTGGCATCCAGATGTTCTGATAAACGACGCATTGACGTCCTGTGGGATTGAAACTCGCCGCGGCCCGGAGACGGATGTACGTGTGACGGAGGCGGCCGTCACTTTGCCGCCTGGTGGGACAGCAGCTGCTGCAGGTGCTCTGTGGCGCTGCAGCTCGACGGCTCCTCACTGCCGAAGTACAACAGCTTGTGGTAGTTGGCCTGAGGGACCTCGCATAGAACCCTGACCGAGAGAAAAAACAAAACTCTTTGGCCACAACGTTCTTTTTTTTTTTTTACCCCCCCAGAGGGAACTGGGCATGGAAGGGAAAAAAAAAAAAAACAAGTAAACCGTGGGGCTTTACCAGTGATCGATGTCATCTGTTTCGGGGGTCACCTGCTGCCACTGACCAATGGACCACATCCTCACCACGTTGCTGTGGGAGACGCCATCGTGGTCCCGGCCTGCATCGGCGTGCCTGTTGGGAATGTCCTCGTAGCACAGGAAGTAACTGAAAGGGACGTCTGCCATGAGAGACATAGGATTGGGAAAGTAGAACAATGGGGAAAAGAGGGACCACCGATCTGGACTCACTGTCATGATCTGACTGGCTTTGGAGGTGTTGTTTCAGGCTGGGAGAGCAGGTTTCCGTGGTTACCTGGGCGGAGTCTGGTGGCTGCCTGCTGTCACAGCTGTCCTGCATTTACCATCGTCAGGAACCCCTCTTAAGGAACAGCAGGAGCACCAGTCTTCGCCAGATCGTTTTGCCTTCCCAGTGGTAACTCGGCCAGCTCTCACCCGAGATCGATTCTCTAAGGAAAGAGTTTTTTGCATTGACCCTTTTTTATGTTTTGGTCCCATCCCAGCCTGCTTCCCGGAACCTGACGGCTTCCCCTCTTGCCCTCCCCGGCTTGGGGGAACTCCTCCAGCCAGCCGGATCTTTACCTCTCCCTCAAGCGTGGATTCTATCTACCGTACCGCTCCTGCTGCCTGGACCCCTGTGCCTCTCTGCCTCTCCAGCATCTTCTCCGGCCACGGATCCCGAACCAAGTCCCTCTGCTGGCAAAATAAAATCTTTTTTCTCTGAATCCCGCTTTTGAGTCCAACCCTCTTTCTGGCTACCACCCCATGACATTACGATCTGGCCAAACATGGACTCAGCGGATTCATTTCATTCAGCCTTATCCCACCAGGGACTGCTCTTGGGAGAGCATGAGAAGGCTCTCCGATCACTAAATGACCAACAGGGACACTGTAACCAACGTTTGGACCAAGTTCTCGAGATGATTGTGAAAATGAATGATCGTCTGTCTACTCTCTCCACAGCGTCACCCGCTGACGGAAACCCACCTATGCCACCTCAAGTCCCGGTGCCCCCCACACCTCTGGCCGAGCCTCAGTTCCGGAACGTCACCTTCCCTACTCCGGACTCCTATGCTGGTGACGTTGGGGGGTGTGAGGGTTTTCTCCTTCAGTGTACTCTTGCCATGACTCAGGCTCCTCGCTCCTTCCCCTCGGATTCAGCAAAGATTTCTTTTGTGATTGGCCTTCTGAAGGACAAAGCCTTAGCTTGGGCCTTGGCCTTCTCCAGGACCAACACCCTTGAGGGTTATCCTTTCGCTGACTTTGTTGAGAAATTTCGTACCACTTTTAATCATCCCCTTGGCCATAATAACGCCTCAAAGCGCTTATTAAACTTGCGGCAGGGAACTCAATCCGTCGCAGACTTTCTCATCGAGTTTCGTATTCTCGCTGCTGAGACAGGTTGGGGTACAGATGCCCTAAGAGGTATCCTGTTGAATTCGCTCAATGATCAAATTAAGGACCAACTAGCGTTCCGTGACGAACCAGCCTCTTTCGAAGAATTAGCTTCATTAGCTGTCAGGGTCGACAACCGCATCCGAGAACGTAGGAAGGAGAGGGACTCAAACTCTCATAAACCATTGCACGGTTATCCTTCGCCGAACTCAAATTTTCCTAGGCCTCACGAGGGCCGTGCTCGCGCAGGGGCTTATCTTCCACCACTTCCGCAGGTCTCTCATCCGGGCGACAATCGTTCTACCACAAACACCAAAGTTACAGAGCCCATGCAATTAGGTCGAACCCGCTTAACGCTCGAGGAAAGATCGAGGCGCATGCGTAATAAAGAATGCCTTTACTGTGGTTCCCCTCGTCATTTCATTTGTTCCTGTTCAGTTCGACCAAACGATTACGCCCACCAGTAGACGCGAGGATACTGGTGGGTGGAACTGACCTTCCTCGTCTCACCCTTCCGGTCACCCTAGAGTTTGAAAGAACCTCCCACGCTTCCCATGCTTTGATTGATTCTGGTTCTGAGAAGAATCTGCTAGATCCTGGTTTAGCCACTCTACTGGCCCTGCCACTCGTTCAGTTACCCACTCCGATCTCCGTTTCTGCCCTGGATGGGGTGTCTTTGGCTACCATCACTCACAAGACTAAACCTTTAACGTTAATTGTTTCTGGAAATCATCGCGAGAGCTTAGAGTTCTATTTGTTCCCAGTAACAAATCATCCCGTTATCTTGGGTTTTCCTTGGCTCGCAATTCATAATCCACACATTCACTGGGCTAGCCAAAGAATTGAGAGTTGGAGCCTACATTGCTTGTCCTCATGTCTTCGCTCCGCTTCACCCGCCACCAACCAGGCCAACAATCCACCAGAATCTCCGGTCGACCTATCCAACATACCTGTGGATTATCATGATTTAAGTTCTGTGTTTAGTAAAGACAAGGCTCTCTCTCTTCCTCCACACAGACCTTATGATTGCGCTATCGATCTCCGTCCTGACGCTCCGTTACCTTCCAGTCGCCTGTTCAATCTATCCCGTCCTGAGAGGATGGCGATGGAGACATACATTCAAGAGTCAGTGACCGCCGGTATTATACGCCCCTCCTCGTCACCAGTTGGAGCTGGTTTCTTTTTTGTTGCCAAAAAGGATAAGACACTCCGTCCCTATTGACTACCGTGGCCTTAACGAGATCACTGTCAAGAACAAATACCCCCTACCGCTCATCTCCTCTGCTTTCGAGCCCATACAGGGATCCACCATCTTTTCCAAACTAGACCTCCGCAACGCTTACCATCTGGTGCGCATACGTCAGGGTGACGAATGGAAGACCGCTTTCAACACCCCGTTAGGTCACTTTGAATATTTGGTGATGCCCTTTGGTTTGACCAATGCCCCGGCTGTATTCCAAGCCTTGGTTAATGATGTCTTGAGAGACTTCCTCCATAAGTTCGTTTTTGTTTATCTGGACGACATTCTCATTTTTTCTCGTTCTCTGGAGGATCACAAGCACCACGTTCGAGCTGTACTACAGAGATTGCTGGAGAATCGCCTTTATGTAAAGAGTGAGAAGTGTGAATTTCATACCCCTTCCGTGTCATTTCTGGGTTATATTTTTGAGGGTGGGCAGGTGAGGACGGATCCTCACAAAATTAAAGCAGTGGCTGAGTGGCCTGTTCCATCCTCCCGTAAGGACCTACAACGGTTCTTAGGGTTCGCAAACTTTTAAACTTTTACCGTCTCCCTTGGTTACCAACCCCCTTTGTTCCCCGAGTTAGAGAAAGTTTTGGACGAACCTTCCATTCAGCACCATCTGCAAAGAGCACAACAAACCTGGATCACCACCCGTGAAGCCCTTCTTCGGACCGCTGACCGAAATCGCCGCCAAGCTGATCGTCATAGATCACCGGCACCCGAGTACACCCCCGGCCAGAAGGTTTTGCTTAATACAAAGGACGTTCCATTAAAGGCTTCCACCAGGAAACTCTCACCCCGCTTCATCGGCCCGTTTGAGATCCAGGCTGTGATTAGTCCTACTGCTGTGAGACTCAACTTGCCCCCTTCCCTCCGTATCCATCCCACCTTCCACGTCTCCCAGATCAAGCCTGTCTCCACCAGTCCTTTGTGCCCTCCGGCTCAACCCCCTCCTCCCCCCCGGCTGATCGACAACTCTCCGGCTTACACTGTGCGTCGGATTCTCGATGTCCGTCGTTGTGGAAGGGGCCACCAATACCTCGTCGACTGGGAGGGATATGGCCCGGAAGCACGTTCCTGGGCCCCTCGGTCCTGGATCCTGGATCCGTCTCTCATCTCTGACTTCCTCCGATCCCGGCAGGGTGAGTCTTCCGGCTTGCCTGGGGGCAGCCGTTGAGGGGGGGGTAGTGTCATGATCTGACTGGCTTTGGAGGTGTTGTTTCAGGCTGGGAGAGCAGGTTTCCGTGGTTACCTGGGCGGAGTCTGGTGGCTGCCTGCTGTCACAGCTGTCCTGCATTTACCATCGTCAGGAACCCCTCTTAAGGAACAGCAGGAGCACCAGTCTTCGCCAGATCGTTTTGCCTTCCCAGTGGTAACTCGGCCAGCTCTCACCCGAGATCGATTCTCTAAGGAAAGAGTTTTTTGCATTGACCCTTTTTTATGTTTTGGTCCCATCCCAGCCTGCTTCCCGGAACCTGACGGCTTCCACTCTTGCCCTCCCCGGCTTGGGGGAACTCCTCCAGCCAGCCGGATCTTTACCTCTCCCTCAAGCGTGGATTCTATCTACCGTACCGCTCCTGCCGCCTGGACCCCTGTGCCTCTCTGCCTCTCCAGCATCTTCTCCGGCCACGGATCCCGAACCAAGTCCCTCTGCTGGCAAAATAAAATCTTTTTTTCTCTGAATCCCGCTTTTGAGTCCAACCCTCTTTCTGGCTACCACCCCATGACACTCACTACTCCGTGTCGCAGACGATCTGTCCCTCGCCGTACTCGTCTCTGTGCCGCTCCACGTTCCAGCGCATGCGCTTGTAGAGGCCGGTGTCGAGTCGAGCCAGGTACGGCGTGGGCTTACAGTAGCGGAACGCCTTCACCCTCAGGGCGCCGAGCTGACTCTGACCGATGCAGAAGTGAGACAAGCTGGGGACACAGATTAGGGGAGGGACTGTCACAGGTAGAGCTGAATAAAAAGTGAAGTGGCCTAAAATGAAAGACCTTAAGATTGAGAAGGAGGCCGATAACTGGCCAGAAGCTAAGACAAATTATGGAGCTGATGTGCCAGGAAATTAGGAAGAATATGATTTACATGTAACCAAATACTGAACATTTGATAACCGGGTGTAACGGACTGTAAATATACAGGTCAAAACTTGTGTGCACGCACCTGATCGGGTTGGTCTCGTCCAAACAGAGGACATTACAGCTGGCGTAGGTCAACAGCAGTTGCTCCAACCTGTCACACAGCTGCTGAGAGAAGTCCAACCGCTGTACACGCTACAAACACAAGTTTACACTTAACACCTTAAGTACTGTGAGCTCAAGTCTTCAAAAGTTGTAAGGATGGTATTAGAACAGTGGGGCCCCCCCTGTTATAGTGGGTGGGGCTGGTTATGTTTTCCCATAATTAGGGCAAAATATTTTTTCACTTGAAATGAAAAATATCTAAAGGATCCTTTTGAAGCTAAATCAGGAGGCCGAACCAACCCGAGAATTGATTTCAAAGGCAAAGGGCAGAAGTGTGTTCTGGGAGGCGTGGATTGTGGATTCCAGGACGTTGAAGAACTGCTCACAGGTGTACAGGAAGATTCGCACCTCAGCCGCAAGCGCCTCCCTCGTCAGCTGATGCTGACTGCAAAAAAACCCTGTAAAATACCAGAAATAGAAATCACTCGACTACTTTCTAACTGGATGGCAGCCTACCTGTCGAAAAGCAAGTTGTGCAGGTCATCCGCTTTGCTCATGAGGAGCCGAAGCTGCAGCTCCATGGACTGCAGGCTCCACAGGACCCCCGGGAAGATGCAGGCCTCGCTGTCACTGCCGCAGGGCGCGTGCTCGCCGCCAGGCGGCGCCGGAAGAGCAGCGACGGCCAAAAACGACGGCTGCTCCTCCTCTGAAAGGCGAATGAATGAACGTCATTAACCTCCTCCAGCGAGTTACGCCATCTCCACGCCATTATTTTGACATAAACAACCCATTGGAATGTAAAGCATTGGCGCACGCTAGTGCCGTAGTTATTTGGTTGTTTTAGCAAAACAACTGTGAAAGAAGTGATATTAATAAAACAAATGAAAGGGTTCTGTATTTCATTAAAGCACGCTGTCGCCAGTAGTTTACCTCTCTGCCCGGTGACCTGAAGCCCCTCCGTGAAGTCGGACTCCCTCTCGCCGCTCGCGTCCTCCTGCAGGACCCCAAAGGCCCTTTGTCCCGACGGCGAGTCGGAGGCAACTTGGGCCTCAAACTGAACTTCAATGCCCGTCATGCTGTCTGTTGTTGATAAATTGGTATGATTTAGGGAATCTGTTGAAAATAATACGCCGAATTAACTGAATGTTTAAGAATAATATATGTCGAATCGCCTTTCAACTGTTTGTTAAAACTGCTATATTAGCAACCGCTATGTCTCATGGATTCACGTTAATGCTAGCGAGCTAGCTAGCGATTCACCCGAGAATTAGCGTTAGAAAGCTAACGTTAACGACTGGACAACAGACGGCTATTTTTTAAACTTAAAGCAATGCACGAAATCAATATATATTTCATCACGCCGCGGTCCGTTGATTGTGACTTTGAGATAACGGTTGAGCTAAGCTACTAGCTAGCGGGAAAGCTACCTGTTACCTTCCAATCAGACGGTCCAATCAGAATGGTATATTGCAGGTGTCAAAGGTCAAAGCTGAAAGGGCCTCTGCAAGAAATTAAAAAAAATATAGCCTTCTTTTTTTATCATTGCTTTTGTTGAAGGTTACAAAAAAAATGAAAAAATATCAATTCGTATTCTGCAGAAAAATTATCTTTTTTTTATGTTGTGTTGCTAAACCCACCATCCCAACTCAACAAATCCCAAGAAACATTTGCACCTTTTGACATGCTTAGCTAATTTTTTTAATTATTTGTAACAAATACGGGACGGAGAGCTAATGTATGATCAGGCTATCATAAATCATTAATAACTTCCCAACACACTAATGAAACAATGTTGTAAATCTATTTGAATCATAGATAGATAGATAGATTGATACTTTATTGATCCCTCAAGAGGGAAACTTTGAAATCACAGCAGCATGTACAGGGAATAAAAAGATACACATTATATAGAATATAATAATATATAAATATTAAATTATTAAATTAAATTAAGTTAAATAAACTAAAACTGAAACAAAAGAATAACCTTCCAAAAGAGACAATAATAAAATTTTGTAAAAGGAGAAGAGGAAGAGGAAGAGCAGCAACATCACAGCAGTACAGGGTTGTTATTGTCATTATTTAGCCAGGGATGATTTATTGTAAAGTGTTATTGCACTGGGCAGGAATGACCTCCTGTATCGGTCCTTGTGACAGCGGAGCTGAAGGAGTCTGTTGGAGAACGTGCTCCGCTGTCCCTGTAGCAGGTGGTGGAGGGGGTGGTCAGGATTATCCAATATGGATAACAGTTTCTTCAGTGACCTCCCCTCCAACACCTTTTCCAAGCTGTCCTGTTTGCAGCCAATGATGGAGCCGGCCTTCTTAACAAGTTTGTTAAGTCTGTTGGTGTCACCGGCTCCAATGCTGCTCCCCCAGCAGACCACGGCGAAGTACAAAGCACTGGCCACAACAGACTGATAGAACATCTCCAACATCTTGCTGCACACATGGACGGATCGAAGCTTCCTCAGGAAAAAGAGTCGACTCATCCCCTTCCTTTAGACGGCGTTGATGTTGGTCTTCCAGTTCAGTCTGTTGTCGATGGAGACACCGGGACCTTCTGCTGCTTCAGGCTCAGGTTGAAGAGGGGTTGAAGGACCTCATGTACATTGTTTATGTTGTTCTAACAAAGACCAAAATATGTGAGCACATTACACCAATTCTTAAATCCTTACATTGGCTCCCAGTATGGCAGAGAATTCATTTCAAAATCCTACTGCTCACATATAAATCACTACATGGTTTAGGGCCAAAGTATATCACTGATATGCTTCCACTACATAAGCCTTCAAGATCACTAAGATCTTCTGACACCAATCTGTTAGTGATTCCCAGAGTAAATACAAATCATGGGAAAGCATCATTTAGTTACTACGCAACAAACAGCTGGAATAAACTTCCTGAAGATTTAAGACTTGCCCTAACTCTGACCACGTTTAAAACAAGACTGAAAACTTTTATGTTCAGCTTCGCCTTCTGCTAAATTTGACCTACATTGCACTTTTAACCTCTGCCTTTAATTAAACAATTTAAATAAGATTTTAATTTATAATTGTATTTGCTGTTTTTAAATTGTCTTTTAATTCCTGCATTCTATTTCACTTTATTGTATGAAATGTTATGATGTGAAGCACTTTGAGTCTGCCTTGTGTATGAAAAGCGCTATATAAATAAAATTGCCTTGCCTTGCCTTGTTTGCCGCTGCTGGCTGGATTAGGGATTCCAAAACAACATTTGGTTGTATAACAAAAATGACAAACCTTTATCTTATCTTAAAATCTAATTTTCCTTGCTGCTCTAATAATATATGTGCCAACTTCAAGGGACTATGTTTAGTTATAGATCCTCCTGTCATGTCCAGTGTCAGGATAACGCGTCTTTATCCTACAGCATTGAGGTCACAATCTGCTGCCATGTCTGTCCTCTCGTTCTGCTGGATAATTTTCATCATGCAAATCGGTTAAGCAAACAACGTCCAGTTCGACTTCTTTGTCAAATCTACGAAAGACATCCACTCACGCCACCAACACATCATTCTAGCTTCCCCATTATGGGCTTTTCTCCCTCCCTGCGACTCTTTCCATCTCTTTCTCTCACACAAGCTTTGTATTAATATAGTACCGTATCTGTGGGACGAGATCAACTTCAGCTGGTTTTCATAGCATTTTCATTGACATAATCAAACTGCCTAATAGACTAGACTAAAAATGTCATACCCGAGTAAGATTTGACACCAGTGTTAGCGGTTCACTAAGTGCTTTGTACTTGGATTATTTTCAGGAAAGGGAATCCTTTTGACAATGACCACATCGACTGAAAATTCTTTATTACCTGTTCATTTTTAACGATCTTTTCTGAACAATGTCACAAAAGTGAGGATTTGACCCTCGACTCTGACAACTTGACTTGAGACCTGCTGTGCAGACTCAAATTTGGAATGGTTTACACTTAGTTGAGACATGCCCCATCATACGTTAAACAGCCCTGCTTGGCTTTTGTTGCTTAAAAGCACAAATAAAAGGCACTGCATTAATATATCTGTGCTTGGAATCTTAGGTGACCTCAACTTACAGACAAACGTTACAAAAAAGACCTCTGAAGAATGTTCTATTAATTAATTAATATTATAATTAATAACATTCCCGACAGCCCAGCTGTGTTTGCTGACATGCTAAACTGAGAGAACATGATGAACATTTTAACTTTATAATTGTGAGTATGTTAGCATTGTGCAGCCAGACACAGTCATCAGGGAGGAGTGTGATTACATGAAAAACCAAACACACTCTACCACTTTCTGTCTTAGTAATACTCCTATTACATAAAGAATTTAAGTACTTCCTCTATCCTTTCATGTATTACTGGGTTTTCAGTAGTATGTGTAATTGTTATTTACTTGTATTTTACTCCAGCATTTCCACTTTATTCCACAATTTTACGACTTATTTTCAGAGCAATTTTCCGTAGCTTTAGGTAGTTACTAAGGGATGTACACATAATCGATCAGTACTAGTAACCCATTAATATGATATATGTGGGCTTTAATACACTAACATATCTGCATAATCAGTACTTCCAATGCAAGGTGAAGAGCCGAATACTTGTAGCACCACTTTATTGTTGTCTTTATTGACACAGACGCCGACTCAACATCACGCAACACGTGATCAACAGTTAGCTTCAGAAGAACAGGTCACATGACTCATCCAGGGCGCGTCCACGTGCGGCCAATGAACGGCCCGGCGGCATTGCCGGAGCGTCGGGAGCGCGCAGCAGGTCACAACGTACAAGTGAAACGAGCCGCTCTCCCGTCAGTGACCCGGGGCGTGAACGTGGATGTTTCCCTTGCTCATCCCGTGAACCGCCACGAAGAACTCGTTTTTAGTCCATGCTCGCACGTGCTTGACGTAATCTATCGCCATATTAAATGCTCTGTTGCCCCTTGTGTTTGAGTGGACGAGCGGCCGGCGAAGGACTGACAGGCGGCTTCTTCTTTTTGTGTGTGTGCCAAGTGATAGACACGAGATACCGAGGCGTGTTCACGTACCGCGGATGTCCCCGGGAAAAAGAAGAAGAAGGGGCTTCCTCTCGCTTCACGTCGCGCGTGGATGTGACTCTGTGCCTCCGGTCGGGTTCGGGACCTGGCGAGTTTCGCGGGTCTCTCGCTAGCTGTTGAACGGC